AAGTATAACATAACCACATCAAAATCAAGCTCATAATCTCATTCAAGCATTGGATCTAATAAATGCTGGTTCTTGCATGATGGAATGCTTCAACTTTCAACTCCGGGGTTGTTTGTATAAGGTTGTAGGAGGAAAAGGGGATGGGGTATCTAAAATAATGACCGTCCCGGAGATTTGCATTTTCTTCCAGTGTACTGTCCCAGTCCGGGACAAACACCGAAGCTGCTCAGGACACTGTTGGTTTTCTTGCCAGTAGACAGGAGGCATTGTCGGTTCGGTATTCACGGCAATAAGCCTCGTCTGGATTGGGGTACAGGCGTCAAATCATGCGAGGGGTAGGTAGCACACAAGCAAGCAAGCGGCAGCGGGGTTTAATGGGAGATTTCAGTACCAAGGGCAACTTGGTCTCCTGGACCGACAGATTTCCACCGAGGAGCACGCTTGCCCTGTTGGATCCAGTCTCTGATCACGCAGGGAGCTTTGTCGTGGCCCTGGCACACTTTCTTGCGGTTGAGGTGCTTGAACCGGGGCCCGAGGGGCCCGTTCACGAAGTGATACTGACCGGCAAAGCGATACTGGCGGGAATCGCCCAGCGGATAGAACTTGTCGCCCCAGTGGCCTTTGTAATAGAACCATTCCGTTGGCGAGTTAGGACTGACTGTCGATGCGCGGAGAGTGTCGTTGTCAAAGTCGTAGGTGTAGGAGTGCGAGTTGAGTAAAGGATCCCACAACGGACCTCGATCGGTCACGTCGTGCAACAGTCCCCAGGGTAAGACATACTCGTGTATTCCCACTGCGGCATACATGGCATGGCTGCCTTCAGCAGAGTAGATCACAGGCTGCCAAAGACTTAGTATGAGCTAGTACGGGGGACAAGTGTAAAACTCACCCGTTGTCCGATCTTCTCCACTGCTTCGTAGCTGTAGGCCTCACCGGCGGAGTGGGCGCTGAAGAACAGGGCTTTGGGCTTTCCATTGTAGAACCGCACCAGGCAATGCTCCCAGTCGCCCACATGGTTGCCGAATCGCACGTTGACTACCGTGTTGCCCAGGTTGAAACTGTAGAAGTAGAACCAAAAGGCGTCGACAACACCGTCACCCTTGTCCATCACCAACAGGATCGCTGGGGCATCGCTGCGACCCCCACCCACCGCTTGGGCATGAATCTCTTCCCCGCCATATCGTTTGCGGAGTTCTTCAAGGATATGTCCTGGGAGGAGCTGTGGATCTTCAGTGTTTTCCGGGCGGTGATCCAGGTCGAACCACGGGGCCCGATCATCTTCGGAGATCTCGCCGTCTACTCGATCATCCCAGTCTGCCCACAACTCTTCCACATCTTCTCCTTCTGTCCGTGGTATATTCTTCTCGCCTTCCAGCCATGGCGGACGGGTCTGCACATTATCATTGCTGGTCAGGAACACATACCGACCCTTTTCCCACTGGTTCAAAGTATCCAAATTACTCAAGGTCGGATGGTCCCATTTCGCTTGAATCGGAGTGTAGTTCAACATGGGAGTGGTGTGGTATATGTGTTCTGCAATGTCGCCGGGCCAGAACTGTTCCCCAGAATAAAGATGGACGAGTGGGGCATAGTCGAAAACATAGTCGGGGATCTGCCGCCGAGCCCGCTCCTCGGCATCCCACGCCCGCGATCGATTGGCCCCACTGGTCCAAAAGGCTCGCCAGGGTTCCGACCCGGTATCATTGGATGCTGGCCATCCCGTGGCTGGATCGCGGTGTCCGAACGGACCATCAGCAGGTTGAAAATGGGCCACGCCGCAGAGACTGAGCCAGCGACAGGCCTTGCGGTCCAGCCATGAGCGCGAGCTGGCGATCCAGCTGGGATCGTCGCGGTCCTCCTCGTACCAGATGAACGCAGTCGGATTGAGGGCCCGGGCTATACTGTTGATCGACACATATGCGATTAGGCTCGTCAGAACCGCAATGGTCGTTTTGACCTTCCGGGCCATCTGCTGCAGCGAATTGACATAGACGGTCAAGTCTGTCGGGCGCGAGGCAGCAGCACAGGGCTCATGAACGACGAGCTCTGCAGTGGTGGTTCCGGTCGAGGCCGGGTGATCAGTGGAGTGCTTGGCTAGTAGGGTCGCGGCCGTTGCGCATTCTGTAGGATCTAGACGGGTAGGACGAGCGACCACGAGAACGAGCACAACGCACACCAGGAGTGCGGGCGGCAGGCCTATAAGAAGCTATTGGTAAGTCCAGGGTTTCCGAATCCAGCGGTCCCATCCCGTGAGCAGCAAAAAAATAATTACAAAAAAAAAAGGTTTCGACAGGAATTCAGAGCAAGTCAGACACTGAGGCCGGGAACGTGCGGAAGCCGGAGGGCGACCAGAGATGCCGAGCCGGATGCGATCAGCGCTCCCTTACAGTCATGGGCATCCGTACAGAGCCGGAGGGAGAGAGACGAGGACAGGCAGGAACACTCGGACTTACCGGATGGCCTCATGGCGACGGAGGGATGACTGATTGTTTGCTGTGAAGTGAGAGAGCGATGTTGGTGGGAAGAGAGCCCGACGTGACTTCACACCGCGGGACAGGAAAGGGCCTCCGTCAGCCGGCCAGGGTTCGCCGCAGGGGTTCCACGGCCGACGCGGTCCCTGAGAACTCCGGAGCTTACGGAGTGCCTATAGCGGTGATAGGATGAATCAGCTCCCATTACTCGCCGTATACTATTCTACTTCATTCCGACTATCGCCAAACACACCCCGGCGGTGACCACTGCATGCGGGGCTGACTCAGCTATCTTATCGCTCCCATGTTTGCGCTCTGAAGATTGTTGGTGACGAGTCCATGTTCCATCCCTGCCATCGCCACCATGGACGACGATGACGAGTACGAGTACGAGTACCACGACTTCGACACAGAGGTATGCGTGCGTTCTGGGTTACTCCGAGCTTCACTGACATCCCCAGACCTTCTACCTCAACCTCGACCTCACCTCCCACCACGGCCCGCTACGCGCGCCTCGCCGCCGCCAGCCCGCGTCCTCCTCGAACGATGCTCCCCTTCCGGATGAAAGCAACCCAACTAATGCCAACAATGACCTCACTCCCCTCGACAGCGCTGAGACAGAGCCCCTGCCGACCGAGCAGATCCAGATTCTCGGTCTCCACACCAGCAATCCCATCGTCTCCTACCATAACCAAGTTTTCACCTGCGCCTGGGCCGACCAGATTGGCACCGAACTCGTCTTCTCTCATCCGGATCCAGATGCCGACCACCACACGGCACCTTTGCGAACAGGCGAGTCTTTTGAACTGCTCGCCGCCAACAGCGTGAAAATTCTCGGTCGCAAAGCGAACCTCACTTCCAGCTCGGGAGTAGCAGGCGAACAGAATCTCGAATCCAACCTCTCGGCATCCGAGTCTACCCCACGGCTACTGCCCCGTCGAGGCGCTGCGCCAACGAACCAGACCCAATTCCTGGAGAGATTGCAAAACATCAAAGCGGCCCGAGGCGAGACCGACACCGTTCGCACGATCATGAGCACGCGGCGCAACATGAACCTGGGAGAGCGGCTCAAAGGCTGGGCCCGGACCGAAGAGCAAGTTGCGGAGATCCAACGGCTCAATGAAAAGGCGAACGGCGGTGATCTCGACGCCACGGCAGCTCTCGAAAATTTGTGGATGCAGCTGCAAATCAATCAGCCCGAACCCGAGGCTGCCGAGGAAAGCGCATCTTAGGCGGTGCCCGCGAGGATCTGAGGGAATAAAGCACCATCTCGGATTCTGGTCTCATCCGGCTCAATGGCTCGCGTTTCAAGTGCGCTCCAATAATTGTTCCTCGAAGGATTCCTCGGCTACTCGCATCGCACATGAATGACCAAAGTACGAACCACCTCACCGGCTGTCACAGTGCTGGGCCGGAAAGAACTTGGTCTAGAACCGTTTCCGTTTTTCCGACAGTCCACGCACCGCGGATGTTGATCGGGCCATTGATCAACCCACCGAGTGCCATGTCAGCCTCCGAGGAGAAAAACAATGGCATTATTGAAAATGAGGAATAATGCATTCCCTCAGCATGCACCATCATATCATTTGCATCATGCAGAACAGTTCGCGTTCCAACGCTTAACCGCGCATCTGCCCAGCGGAAGGCCCCCAAGCGCCACCTTCTCCGCCAGGATTGTTGTTGGAGTTGGGAGGCTGACTCCGCCCCACACAAATTTGCCCTGTGAATCAATTCATGTGACGGATTTATTTTGAAATTAACTTATTTCATTTCCTTCGCACAACGTCATGGGCGGGGTGTCTCCAAGATTCCCGTCCTGTTCTCAATACGGGAGCGATTCCGGGGCAATGCGTGATCCTGTTCTCTCCACTGTTTCCAACAGATAACTAGCTCTTATCACATCACACGCGACTCGCATGGTTCGTGCAACCTTCTCCTCCTGGCTGTTCATGACGTCGTGATCGGCGAGTGTTCTTCATATGGACTGGGCCCTACCGCGATTGTTTTCTACGATCTACGGGTTTCCTCATTTGCCGGTGGTTATCCTTCTTTGGACCCCTGTACTCGGCTCGTATTGCTCAGTTCGCTGCGTTGGCCCGGGTGCATATCTGATCAAATGGGGTTACCCGAGCTATCAGACTACTTACTGTAATGATCATGGTAATGTCTTGATTTCCGTCTGAAGAACGGTGGAGAATTAAACGATCAAATAGCCAAGACTTTTGTATTATTCAAATCCTCGAAATAGAAAATCAAGGGAATGAAAGCCTTGCAGAAGAGACACACAAAAGGCTGAAACAATGCACACACTCCATGCTCGCTAATAAAGTAACGCCATAACAATAACCAACAAAATAAATAACCCGTCCATACTCTATCCCAGGTGGAAAACAGAAAAGGCAGGGCAGGGCGCTGGGATTTAGTGTATGCGTGATGTCCCGTTGAAAAAAAAGAGACAGCAGAATTAGAGATCCAACCAGCCAGGAAAAAGTGTTGTTACAAGCAATAGCATAGAAATATCGGATAGAGTCAAGAATGCACGTCGGACTTGCTCTCCTCGTCATCCATGTCCAGATGCCGATGCTTATCGTTGCTGGCCAGGTCGATGTACGAGGGCGGCGGCGAGGCAGGAAGCTTGATCTTTTCGACAACGTTGTAGTAAGGCGAGACGTAGTAGATCTCGGTCGATTCGCCCAGTCCTTTTCTGCTGCACTGGAGCGGGAGCTGCGAGAATTCCTCGTCCATATTAGGGACGGGGTTGATAGGTGTGCCGGGGCGGCTAGCGACTGGCGTAGGGAGTTGACGGGCCATTTTGGATTAATTCGGAGTAGAGAGAAGAAGGGAGAATTGTCTAATTATTTATGGTAAGTAGGTGTTCTCAAGGGTGTGGAGTCGGGTGAATGCTTTCTCACGGACCTCGGCTCGAATTTGTTGAGCGATTGCGGGTGATTCTGGAAGATCTGATTGATGAACAGATCGCTGGCTATGTGCATTGAATTGTTAGTGCTTGTTTGGTGCATGCTTGCGAGGCATATGTCCTTTAACTCCCTTTCCGAACTTGCCCGAGTGCGAGCGTCGGCAGTATACGGGGATGGGACCAGGTATGATGTAACGAACTGAAGACGTTCGGGGAGGAGGAGCTCCGGAGAGGAGATACTCACATGAAAAGCGTCTTTGATGGAGGAGATGCAGAGAGAATATGTTTGGATGTCTGGAGGAGGGAAGGGAGAAAGAGGGAGAAGAGAGGTAGATAGATGAGCAGGTTGGTTGTCCAGCAACGAACAATATCCTCAATAATAGTATGTAGTAGATGCAAGAGCTAGTTGCAGGGGGCAACCGAGTACAAGTAGGAGATCGATAGATGCAGAAAGAAAATAGTCGGCAAGGTGCACGGGGCGGAATATAAAGGCATTGTTCAAATGGTACTGCTAACGGACCAACTACCACATCCCCGGTTCCGCGATCTCCTAGAAGATCTGCATTGCTGCCCCGAGGCAGGTAAGAGAGTAGCCATGTCCACATCGGGCGGAACCCCATCAACATGGCGAGACAGCGAGGGATCAGTTCTCTCCGCTCCAAGGGTCAAGGGGGCCGGGGAAAGGATGCCGGGGCTAGCGTGGAATCATCCTGTGCTTCTAGGGGCATCCACTGGCCCAGTCTGGCGGGCCTGCCCCATCCACTTTTCCAATTTCTTTCGTCGGCCGTTGCCGTTGCTACCCCCTTATCATCCCCGGATTCATTATTCAAGGGGCTCCTCTCCCTAGTCTGGCCCAACTATTGAAATCGAGAACACATTCCTGCGGAGGCCGGGGAGTTCGGGGCTCCGCATATTTCACATTCTTCGGGGAACTCCTTCAGATCCCGCCAGTGCAAAGGTCCAGGCCTGCGCGATCGGCCATCCCTATCTGGGGGGAGGACAGGGGAGTGGCGGTCAGGAACTTCTCATCGACAGTACATGGTTATCGATTGTTTTGCTAATCTATCTGGAACTGGGCTTGGCCAGCAGACATGTAGATAAGCATTCAAGTACCACGGTGATGTTATACTCCGGATTCTGGAGAGAACACACACGTAATCCAATACCGGGAAAGGTCAATGCCCGATCTACGGGGAATGCTCGATCGAGATTTCCAGGAATTCGGAATAGGGCGGGCAATGGTACAAAAATATATACCTCAGACAACACAGGAACACTCCTGTGCATGTGACGATGAAGATAAGCTAATTCAACAATATATATTATGATTCTATCAGCCTAGATAATATACGAGTATAGACTCTTATCCGAGACTCTATTGTGGATTCGTGGACTGTGATCAAACCCCCAATTGCTGCGGACGGAGCATGTCAAGAAACTGGGCGGTCTAAAAGAGCTTCAGTCACATATACAGCATTCCAGTTTCACTATTTGATATACAATCCCAATTAACAAGGTATAATTCATATATTTACAGGGCACCTCCATGCAGACTTATCCGAACAGATACTCCTTCCAGCTCATTTTCCAGGGCTTCCAAGTCCCGCCGAATCGATGATTGATACACGCCTGTGTACTCTCAAAGCCCTCGGCTCCACTATGCCGCTGGCCATTGCCCCAGGAATTAATCGGTAGCACACACAAACCACCAAACTCCGCCCCCGGCCGGGCCGCCGAAGCACCGACGCATAGCGGCTGTTGAATTCCGTGGAAGGGCGCCCACGTTACGCGCTCCAACTTGGTCCGTGACCTGGGGAGTACCAGATCTCCGAGCCCTGCATCTGCCTGGACCGATTCGGTGACCAACGGATGCTTGGCTGGCAAAGTCCGGGACATCACATCGAGAATGGCATCGGTGAAGACGCCCGGCCCCGTGACCTCCAGAGTGGTCATTTCGTTATACCGCCCTCCAAACCAGCTGTCGTCGATGTGTTGCTTCGTATGTGACAGTACCCGGATCACCACTTCTCGCAACAGCGGGCTAAATCGCCGAGGCGCGTACATGGTATATTGGAGGAAACCATATCGCCGGGCCCAGCGCCAATACTTCATTTCTTGTTCCGAAGCAAATGGCTCGTCTATTTCGACACCAACCACAAGGGAGACATCGGGGTTGTCAATGTCGAAAATCGAGTCCCGCAGCGACGGGCATTCTTTAATGGGATGTTTGGGGAAGACATCGATGTCGGAGTAGTAGCCGCCGTAATACCAGAGGATTAGGTATCGCAAGAGATCGCCGCGTTGGACGTAATGAGGATAGGAGTGGTATAATCTGGCTAACCCGGGTATGGACGCAAGGGTTTTGGTGATGAACTCTTCAGCCCATTCGTGGGAGACTAGCTATGATGTTCGGAGCACAGTTAGCACAGCGTTCTCTGGCCGATCCATGCGATTTCTTTACCTTGTATGCCCACTCCTCATTCCGCTCCTCCAATTTGAACGAATCGTCCCCTCGATGCTCTGGGTGAGCCAGGAGAATTTGCCAGATCGTGTTTGGGGCCCCACCCGCGGGGTCCCGGGCCAGTTCTTGGGTCTCGAGGTCACGAAAAGCGTTGGTCAGCGAGAGTTCGTAGTCGGAGTCTGGGTTTGCGCGGAACGAGGAGTGATGCCAGTATCGCGGACGGTCTGCCGGGTAATCACGATCCGCGTGCAGCATGCTATTCAACTCAGGCAGACAGTGAATCAGCATGAACACGACCTGGATTGCCAGCAGAGTCGCAAATTGAAAGCGGCGTGGAAACCATAATAAAGGCATAGATGATCCCCTCAGCATGGTGTGGATGGTGAGCCATGCTGGGAAAATCTGGGAGGAAAAAACCCAATCAGCCGTTTATGTATGCGCAGGCCTAACTGGCCCCAAAAAGAACGGCTGTGTTATCGGGTTTGTACCCTTGGCAGTCTGGGTGTGACCACTTAGATGAGTTCTAACTACATACGGAATACTCCGTACCCATGTAGGAACCTAGTCCGTAAGTTACCGGAACGACTTAGGTACGTACTCGGCCAGACACAAATGATCCCAATGATCCTCGACTCGCGTGAGTGAGCTTATTACGATCGAATCCGGCACGATCCCGATACATATTGGGGGTAAAAGCTGCTAAAGGGGCAGATTCGATAATTCTCTTGTCTCCGTGCCAAGATCTGAATTGTGCGGCTGAGCGCCAAGTTTGGGGGCCGGTTCAGAACTAGTGCTTACAAGTCGTCGGCTAGTGGTAAAAGGGGTGAAAAACCGAAACCCAGCGTCAGGCCACGAAACTTCCTGAGTCGGTGATTATATTGCTGGTTTGGGGACCTTGCCCCCTGACTGGTGTTCTGATCGACGGCCCAGTTTGTCCCCAAAACAGCTCCCCAGTACCAGCACAGCGGCTGCCTGGCCAAATTGAGAAAAGATTCAAGCAGTGACAGTAGTTAAGTACGGGCTTGGCGCTCGGTAAGCTTGGCGCATGGCGCTAGGTAAAATGAGGCCTTTAAAGTACAGGTATACTGGATTTGGGTCTATTGGGGCGAAATGACTGATGCCCCTATATAAGATCCTCAAGGTCACCGTCAATAATCTTCATGTGGTCCAATAGTAAATCCTGTCATCTCCCACCTTAGTTAGCGAGGATTCAGAATGCAGCCACAGCGAGGCTTGTCGTGTCTTGCATTTGTTCTTGGCGCATCCGGAACTCGGGCTAGCGAGCCCTAACCCGCTACTCCCAATCGGAGACCAACCCGTTACAGGTCTGCAACTTGACTACCAGCTTCACACCCCAAGGCAGACCCAGATGAGTTGGGCATGATGGTGACTGTGTCGAGTGTGATCATCGCATCAAGATTGACCAGGCTATTCGTCTTATCTTCAACTCGCAGCCGGAGTCGAGCGCCAATGGTGAAGCACTCTTGCTCCCCCCAGCTGCTTAGACAAATTCTCAGCGCCTTAACTGAGCCTCCAACCTGGCGCGAGCCATTATCACTATCAACAAGCAAATTCGAAATGAGCGACTTGGTTAAATTTAGAGCTAACAAACAAAGCAATTCCTAAATAACGATGTTGAATCGTCTAGCGACTTATTGAACCATCTCCGGACTGGAGGTTCCCTCCCACCTATCCTAAAATGCGGATATTACACCGAACGCAGTAGCTGTCAAGTATAATCATAAAGACGCAAAATATCCCTTCTGCCACCGAAAACAAAACAACTCCCTAAAACCTCTACTGGGCCTTTGGCCATAAAGCCAGCAGCGGTACCTAAAGAGTTGTTTTGTGTTCGGTCGCAAAAGGGCTATAGAGCTTCTTTATGAGCACACGTAATAGCAACTGCAGGCAGACGAATATTCGAACATCCCGTTAGGGAGTGAGGAGCCATCTTATCGTCAAATTAGCATTTGATTCCATGTCAAGGTCGCACGGTAGAACGGAGACCCACGTGAGCCGACAGACTAAGAAGTCTGAAGAATACCAAGCGTCACAAGGACGATTTGAACAACCGCGATATTGTGGTCGCTGTCAATGAAAACAGCCCCGATTATGGCTTCGACAGCGGTGGCCATGACCTTATTAAAGACCTGGCCCTGTTGAGATCGGTTCACATGGATATATTCGTCTAGGCCTCGAGAGCGCCCAATCAGTGCAAGATTCGCATTACTCGCATTCATGTCATGGAAAACAGAGGTGGTACCTATCATTAGTTGACACAATTAATAGAATGACCCAGAAATCGGAATATATGGAGATTACCTCGAGCGCCATTACGATTGTAACCATCTAGATAGAAACTAAGTCTTATAGCAGCATCTCCAACGTGAGCTAGATCTCTGTTGTCACGTTGATCCTCGGTGGCACCTCCAGATTCCATTGATTTGTCCAGAAGACTCTTGCTCTTGAAGATATATCCGAGGATACTCTCAAGAGCTTTGATTTTCTCTGGTGTCAGAAAAGGAGCCATTGTACTCAATCTGTTCAGGATGAAGATTCAAAGGGAGTTCAATGTTCAAGATACTGGAAGCCAGCTATGGCGGGTGATGAATTATGGAATCATGGATGGTGTCGTATCTGCTGTATATATATTTGCAAGACTCCTCTCACTACTTGTCAAAGTGACTTCGTCTTCGGGCAGCCAAATACGCCGGGACACGTTAGCAGGCAGCATTGCAGCCGCAAGAATCGAATGAAATGGTCGTTCGTGTCACCTAAAAAGTGACGATGCCTCACCACGTCACCAAAAAAATGAGGCTGAAAAATTGCCAACCAGACCATCCCGACGTGGTTATAGATGGCTAACGGCGGTCAAGGTGAAGCGCCAATTGCTCTTGCCCATAAAACCGTCGTAAGAAAATACTACCCGGTGACCGACGGAGACCGTTTTATGATTTGATGATCACCACAAAAACCCATCGCTAAACAGGACCTATCGGGCAACCCCATCCATGCCCGAAGAGATCTCGATCACCTGCCACCATAGACCGCCTTCTCTATCTTTCTCGGGACACCGCCATCTACTTCCATCCTGTTCTTCTCGCCACCGCCGACGATTCTGCTGCTCGGGTTCAAACTTTTCCGCCCGGGCCCACTACCATGAGGCGCAGGCAGTGGCTGTCTGGACAGGGCGACGTCATGCGGACCGTCCTGTCCCCAACCCTCCGCCGTGTCGGACGTGTCTTCCAATCCCCGTTGCGCCGAGATCCACCATCACGTAAACCCCCGCTGGGCGAAACAACAGAGAGACCGATCACGAAAACTGGCGGTCCAATAACTTCCCCGCGTGAGTCGATCCAGGAACCAAAACCGGACTACTCCAACCGGAGGGGCAGGGCCAGAACCGGGCCGGGCTGATCACGACAAATGCAAAAAGAAGTGCCTGGAGTCACGAAACCCGTGACCCATCGCATTCTTCATATCAGCTGACTCTGAAGAGGTAACCGAGTCTAGCCTTGGACTCCGGGTATACGGTGATCGGACTATACCTATAATTAGTATTCGGATAATGGTACTCGCATCAACCAAATGGCACACTCTCGTAGAAAAATGAGGCAATTATTCTTCTGCGGCCCGCATGACGCGGGATTTTTCCCTCGGGGCGTGCATAGCCAATCCCAGCCCAGAGCAGCGCCGGCCGTTAGGTAAGGCCAGTGGGGCTGGGCCAGACTTCTCGTTACTCCCGCCTACCATCGGCCAACGACCAAGAATAGCATATAAAATCTTCGACGCTCCCCCGGATTTTGGTGGGAGATCATTCCGAGTATTCCATCCAAAAGTCCATGGCGACGATCGTGTCTCAGTGAGTCCCCCCATTCCTCCCCTTGCATGGTCTTATCGCTCGCCCGGCAATTGCCATCCGGGGCATGGATCCGATAAGAGCTCGCTGAGTCGCCCGCTAATCTTTCTCGGTGTCTAGTTGTCTTTGTATTTTCTGTTAGAATTCTCCTTCACTTTCTCCTCTCCTCCTCCCCCTTCTTCTCATTATGGCGTCTCCCGCTCCGTCCTCGACCGCCTCCGAGAACGGCACCACGCTGCCCTCGAGGCCGCAGCCGAAGCTGTTCGCCAGCCACGACAGCTCTGGCCCGGGCACCCCGATTGGCTTCCAGCGCTATCCGCACAACAAGCACCTTGACCATGTCGTCGGTGCGGCTCTGCGGAATCCCTCCCCCCAGCCCACTCACCTGGGCATCCCCGGCAGCCCGTCGCCTCGGGTGCTGTCCGAGGAGGATCCCGGCTACATCGCGGCCAAGTTTGAGGGCAAGCAGAAGCAGATGGAACAGGTCATGGACCAATTGGAGGAAAAGGGCTTCTTCCCCAGTGACTTTGTCATCTCCGAAACGTCCTGGTTCTATAACATGCTGGGCATCGACGACACCTACTTCCAGACTGAGTCGGTAGAAAACATTGTCACCCAGATCCTGTCTCTCTATGCCGCCAAGGTCGCCGCCTATGCGCGGGATGACAAGCAGCTCGAGATCCGCCTGGACAAGGAGGCTGAGGACCATGCCGTCTATATCGACACCAGCAAGCCCGGTATCTCCTCGGTGGATGGGCCCCGGTACGAGCAGCGTATCGATGCCAAGTACATCAACACCTCCAAGGGTGCCAACAGCTACCGTGTGGAGACCTTCCGCTCACCCACCACGCTGCCGGGTGACAACGAGCAGCAGCTGCGCTGCTACTTCGTGTACAAGTGCCAATACGCCAACCCCAACCCTTCCCCCAATGAGACCAACATTGACATCATTGGTGAAAAGCGATTTCTCCAAAAGGCCACGGAAAATACCAAGGCCATCTACCAGGAGATCATCACCAATGCCGTCAGCCGGTCCGGTCCTGTCATTGAGATGTTCGAGATCGAGGGCAGCCGGGAGAAGCGCCTGGTGATTGCCTACCGGCAAGGTTCGGCCATGGGTCTATTCAGTGCCCTGTCCGATTTGTACCACTATTACCGCCTGACCAGCTCGCGGAAATACCTGGAGAACTTCTCCAATGGCATCACCGTCATCTCGCTCTATCTTCGGCCATCGGACAAGCCCGAGATTGCGGCCAAGTACCCTCCTATCGAGGCGGCGATCCACCAAATCATGAAGGAAGCCTCGCTCCTGTACTGCATTCCGCAGAACCGCTTCCAGCATCACTTCGCCACTGGCCGTCTGAGTCTGCAGGAGACCATCTACGCCCACTGTGCGTGGGTGTTTGTGCAGCAGTTCCTGAACCGCCTGGGCTCGGAGTACACCTCACTGGCTGCTCTGCTGGATACCAACAATAGCGTGCACGCAGAACTGCTGTCGAAGATCAAGAAACGTCTGCGCACCGAGACCTTCACTGCGGACTACATTTTTGAGATCATCAACAAATACCCCGAGTTGATCCACCAGCTCTACCTGGACTTTGCCAGCACCCACTACGTGCAGACCCAGGGCCCCACCGGGGACGATTTCTTGCCCACCCTCAGTTACCTACGTATCCAGGTGGACGAGGTCATGGACGGCGCGAAGCTCAAGCAGCTGATCCGCGGCACGGCGCACAACGAGCACGACGAGATGGTCATGACCTCGTTCCGCGTGTTCAACTCGTCGATTCTCAAGACAAACTTCTTCACCCCGACCAAGGTGGCCCTCAGCTTCCGCTTGAAGCCGGACTTCTTGCCAGAACACGAATACCCGCAGCCGCTTTACGGCATGTTCCTGGTCATCAGCTCTGAATTCCGTGGCTTCCACCTCCGCTTCCGGGATATTGCCCGTGGAGGCATTCGGATTGTCAAGAGCCGAAACAAGGAGGCATACAGCATCAATGCCCGATCACTGTTTGATGAAAATTACAACTTGGCCAACACGCAGCAACGCAAGAACAAGGATATTCCCGAAGGCGGCGCCAAGGGTGTCATCCTCCTGGATGTAGACCACCAAGACAAGGCGCGGGTCGCCTTCGAGAAGTATATTGACAGTATCCTCGATCTGCTGCTACCTCCCGTCAGCCCCGGCATCAAGGACCCAATTGTCGATCTGCACGGCAAGGACGAGATCCTGTTCATGGGTCCCGACGAGAACACTGCTGAGCTGGTCGACTGGGCCACGGAGCATGCCCGTAACCGTGGTGCCCCCTGGTGGAAGTCCTTCTTCACCGGCAAGAGCCCCAAGCTGGGTGGTATCCCACACGACGCTTACGGCATGACCACGCTCTCGGTGCGTGAGTACGTGCTCGGCATCTACCGCAAGCTGAACATCGACCCATCTACGATGCGCAAGCTGCAGACCGGTGGTCCGGACGGTGACCTGGGATCTAATGAAATTCTACTTGCCAACGAGAAGTATTCCGCCATCGTTGATGGCTCTGGTGTGATCGTCGATCCGCAAGGTCTGGACCTTGCGGAACTCGTCCGCCTGGCCAAGAAGCGCGTGATGATCTCGGAGTATGACACATCGAAGCTGTCGCCCGAGGGTTACCGCGTGCTGGTCGATGAAAAGAACGTCAAGCTGCCCAGCGGCGAGACGGTTCACAACGGCATGATTTTCCGCAACACCTTCCACCTGCGCCATCACGAGCGCTTCGACGTGTTCGTGCCGTGCGGTGGTCGCCCCGAGTCCATTGATCTGTCCACCGTGGGCAAGCTGATTGAGGATGGCAAGTGCATCGTTCCTTACATCGTCGAGGGCGCCAACTTGTTCATCACGCAGGACGCCAAGCTGCGCCTGGAAAAGGCTGGCTGCATTCTGTTCAAGGATGCCTCCGCCAACAAGGGTGGCGTAACCTCGTCCTCCCTGGAGGTGTTGGCCTCGCTGTCCTTCAACGACCCGGAGTTCGTCGAGCACATGTGCATCCGCGAGGACGGCACCGTGCCCGCCTTCTACGGTGAATACGTCAAGGAGGTCCAGGAGATCATCAAGCAGAACGCCAGACTGGAGTTTGAGGCCATCTGGCGCGAGCACGAGCAGACCGGCGTGCTGCGCAGCGTTCTGAGCGACCGTCTCAGCGTTGCCATCACCAAGCTCGACGAGGAGCTCCAGCAAACCGAGCTGTGGGATAACGTCGCCCTGCGCCGCTCTGTGCTTTCGGATGCCCTGCCTCATCTGCTCCTGGACAAGATCGGCCTTGAGACGATCCTCGAGCGCGTCCCGGAGAACTACCTGCGCGCCATCTTCGGTAGCCACTTGGCTAGCCGCTTCGTGTACCAGTATGGCAACCAGCCGAGCCAGTTCTCCTTCTTTGATTTGTGAGTTCCCCTCCTTCTCTTTACGAATGACATATACTAACTACCTTTGTAGCATGACCAAGCGCCTGTCGAAGCTGGAGTCATGATCGACCGTCCGTCTTCACTTGTTCTTTTCTTCTTGTTTTTTTCTGCTCAATTTGGAATTTTTGGTTGGTTGGTCCACCACCACCACCACAGAAAATCCACCCGGCACGACTGATGGTATACCTTTAATCCGGGAAAGACTTTTCCCCTTGACGAATGTATGGTTTAGAAAAAGTTCTTGAATTGTGTTTTGTTGCATTGGGCCCGTAGGGGTTTGTTTGAAAGAGTACTGTTAGTGATCCAAATAAATCTGGGGATTGTTCGATCTATGCAGGGATGGCCAGATCGACCCGCCGTCGTCATTGTGCTGTAATAGTGCCACGCGAGGGTGGGCCGTGGAGAATTTTGCGACCCTCGTCAGGGGGTTGTTATACTCCCGATAGTCTTTATCATCTTATATCCTATCATAATACCGTTTGCCCGTCTTTAGCCATCCATTATGCCTCTATCGAATCTAACTTTCTATACTTTTCGTAATTGACTTTCCCCGGGACTCGGCGGAGACTAAGTTCTTAGCGCCTGACAGAGAAGCTTGTTTGCCGTGCGTCACAGTTCTTTCCCCGTCTTTTCCCCTCAGCCGATGGGTTTGGCCGTTTCGCTAGGTGCCTTTGAGCGCACCGATGAAAGGGAGGAAATAACTAGATCCATCATAATGTTTCCGCGGATCTGCCCAGGCACGCCGCCCGACCACGAATCCCGGCGGCCAACCAGACTTGGATTGGCCAGTGGCGAGCGTGGGTCTGTCTAGTCCCTGCGGAGGCCGTTTCGGCCTGTCGTGTCAAGTGAGAGAAAGAAAATTACCGCTGGTCTGTCCGCTTCCCCCTTTCCCTCCGTCCATTCTGCTTCCTTCTTCTTTCTTTCCTTCCCCGGACTATGAGGTATCGCACTTTGTGGGGTACCACTGTTCGCCCCCAGTGCCCGACTGCGTAACTGTTCATTATTTTCCTGGTTCCGTTCTTCTCCTTCTTGCTCTATTATCTGCCTCGGCATCTCGCCCACCATGCCCGAGCAGTCCCCAGATGAAAGCCCCGCCTCGAATGGCGCTAGCGACAGCCCGAGCCCAAATCCGGATACCCTGTGTCGAGACGAACCCAGCGAGAAGCAGACGATAACCAGCAGCAACAGCAGGTTCGTCCCGGAACGCTGGAGAACCGCGAGTCAAAGGATCCGCCATCGGACGGCTGCGCTAGCCGAGAAGCTGGGTCGACCCCATGAGGGAGGGGAGGATGGCTTGGACGGCGGCATCTCGCCGGAATACTATGGTGCGACGGATGATATGCGGGGGTTCGAAGCTCGCCAGGCCCAGGATGAAGAGAGTCGTTTGCTCGATATGGACCATGACTCTCAGGCTCGGAGGATAGTGCAGCAGCTGGGTCTGCATCCCCACAAAGGCCGTGCTCGTCGGAAGGCTCAGGAGCCTCGCTCTGGCACAGTGACTCCGGATAGTGGCACCTCGACGCCCGCTGGCCCCAATGGAGGAATGCTGTCGCAGTTATTGCGTATCTATGCAAACAATATGGATGCGAGCAGGCTCAGTGTGGCTTCGACGGTTTCAGACACAGAGCCTGATGAGCCTGACTCCACTGCCGCCAGTCCGCCGGGGACTGGAACTGGCACTGGCACTACAACCCCAACGGGCAAGAAAGACAAGGTGAAATGGTACGCAAACAAGGACGAAAAGAAATCGAATCACGGCTACACGGCGTCCCTGATCCATGCCTCCATGGACATGGGCCGGGTTGGTGTGCCAGGTGCACACGGACCGGCGCCCCCCATGAATCCCAAGGAACGGAAGAAAAAGCGCAAGAGTGATAAAAACGTGAAGTTGACGGTACACATTGCCGGTCTCCTGGCGCGCCAGCAGTATATCATGCAGCTCTGTCGTGCGCTGATGATGTACGGGGCTCCTACCCATCGACTGGAGGAGTACATGACAATGACCGCCAACGTGCTGGAGGTCAACGCGCAATTTTTATATATCCCGGGCTGTATGTTCATGTCTTTCGATGACCCTCTCACCCGCACCGCCGAGGTGAAGATTATCCGCGTCGTCCAGGGACTGGATCTGTCCCGTCTGGCGGAGACACACAATGTCTACAAAAATGTGGTGCACGACATTGTCGATGCAAAGGAAGGTACCAATCAACTCGACCTGATCATGCAGCGTCAGCCGCGCTACAGCCCGTGGCTCAAGGTCCTTTTTCACGGATTGGCCAGCGTCGCCGTCGGCCCTTATGCCTTCTCCGCGCGCCCTATCGATCTCCCCGTCATTTTCTTCCTGGGCAGTCTTGTCGGGTTCATGCAGCACATCCTCGCACCGGCCTCGGCCACGTACGCCAACGTGCTGGAAGTCTCTGCCGCCATCCTAACCTCGTTCATTGCGCGTGCCCTTGCAAGCATAAAGCACGATGGCCAGTGGCTGTTTTGTTTCCCAGCCCTGGCCGAGTCGGCAATTGCCATGATTTTGCCCGGCTTCGCCGTGCTCAGCAGCAGTCTCGAGCTGCAGTCGCACCAGATGATTGCCGGGTCCATCCGCATGGTCTATACCATCATCTATTCGCTCTTCCTCGGCTACGGCGTCACAGTCGGCACGACGATCTACGGGATGATGGACCGCAACGCCACTACCCAATCGACATGCCCGGCCGACACCCCGGAAAAATGGGGCAACGAGTATATTCAGCATTTCCCCTTCGTCGCGCTCTTCTGTCTCTTTGCCGCCTTGATCAACCAGGCCAAGTTTAAACAGCTGCCCGTCACGGTCATCATGGGCGTCACCGGATACGTGACCAACTACTTCGTCACCCAGAGGATGGGGTCCAACCAAGTTGCCAACACCGTCGGCGCGTTTACAATTGGTATGCTGGCCAACTTATACAGTCGCCTGTGGCACGGCCACGCCGCTGCCGCGATCATCCCGGGCATCTTTACGCTCGTGCCGTCTGGCCTCGCATCTTCGGGTTCTATTATTCAGGGCCTGACTTATGCCGAGGAAGTCGCCAATCACACGGCTAATTCCACGACCAGCACGATGTCCGGTAGCTCGCTGACTGCGCTGGGCTTTGGTATGATCCAAACGGCTATCGGCATTTCGGTGGGATTGTTCATTGCTGCGTTGATTGTATATCCGCATGGCAAGAAGCGCAGTGGAATCTTCAGTTTGTAAATCTGACGACACATATTATTGAGCGATGTTTTTTTAAAATTTGTCATTTAATCATGATTTCCCTTGTTGTCTTGTTCCTTACTTAATGTTTTCGGGAGCGATGCATGGTGTGTTGACAGACCTTCACTCATTGAGCAATTTATCTGTTCGCACAACACATATATACCTATCCAAGCTTACTTTTTTACAATGCATACACACCAAGGAACATGCATAGTTTACCGCAGAATGGAGTCATTCTGCCTCTGTGTTGATAGATATATGTATATCCCGATGCTCTCTCTCTCTACAGGGACCGAAGACGTAACCATAGACAAATAAATAGACCCATAGACAGTACATATTATAATACAAGATGGGGACTCTACACCCCGACATCATTCACAATACCCTCAAACCGCATCTCCCCGTCCTGTTCAGTACACGGCAACTCCGCTAGCCGCGCCCATTGCTCCGGATACTTCTTCTGCGCCCACTCCACCACCTGGTCCTTCCAGTAATCGAATGGGATGGCATTGTAAAAAAGCCCAATCCTATGAATTGTAAGCGAAACAAAGCCATGAAGAGGGATATAACCGGGTACTTACGTATCGCGCATAGGCACCTGGCCGGTCTCCTCCTCCATGCTATCAATGGCCTCGGTCGCCTGATCGAATTCGTATTGCGCCGCCAGAGCCTGGATATACGCATGATACAGCGGCCGGTCGACGGTGATCTCCAACTTCTTGATCTTATCCATCATCTTCATGGCTTCGTGCGCACCGTTGCGGTGTTTCTCACAGACCTTGAAGAAGCAAACGAGGGTCTTGTTGGACGGCCCTTCTTCCGACTGCAGCACCTCCCGGAACATCTCCATGCTTGTCTCTGTTTGGCCGCAAGCAGCGTAGGCGAGCATGAGACCGTTCAAGATGCGAGTGGTCATAACAACCTCTAGATCCAGTCTCAGCATGTTGTGGACTAGCTCCAGATTGCTTTCGTCGCCCGTTTGTGCAATGCCCTGCAAGCAACGTGCATACGTATCTGGCTTGGGCCGCTGGAGAAGATTTTCTGCTTGGCGCATGTGCCCAAATACCAAGACGGCGAGGTCGTTGCGCTTTCGTTTGAACAAACTGGTCATGATCTCGGTTCGCATGTTGACACCCGTCTCTGGGAATGCGACCTTCAGCAGTTCATACACATCCCACACATCGGAATCGCTTTGGCTTAGATCGAGAATGAAGTCGGTAAGCGCTTTCCGAACTTTGGACTTCTCTTCCGAATCATAAGTGCCCAGTCGTGGACGCAGCAGTTCCGAGACAGCGTCCCAGTCGTGGCGGTAGAGAAGCATCCGCGTTAATACCGCAACCGTGTCAGCTTCCAAGCGCACATTTTCTTGAAACAGCGGGTCAAGAAGAGACGATATCTGTTGAAACAGGGCATCTTTTTTCTCGGATAGACACAGCATCGTGATGAGTCGATTGACAAGCGGGAGGTTCTCCTGTGGTAACGTGCTAGGGTCAATTCGCTCCTGTAAAAACTCAAGCGTCTGCTCGACGTCACCAGACTGAACTCGGGACTCGAATTGCAGCATATGGGTTCGTTCGGTTGGAGCAATGCCCCACTTATCCGCAAGCTGGGACAATTCGGCCGCCAATTGCGGGTTCTCGGTGGCGTTGGCATATTCAAGAAGATGGTTCAGGGTAGTCGGATTAATGGCCTTCTTGTAGCGAGGATCCTTTGCAATCAACGAGTCAAGCTTCTCCTTTAGAGCAACGGCACCACTGCCGTGTGCTGCCTCCCAAAGTAAGGTGATGTACACCGTGTCCGGCTTTTGTGGGAGAGACTCAAATATGGGAGTCGCCCATTCAGCCTTGGACTTTAGGATCGCATATTTGATGACAGCTTTCATGGTGGAGAGGGAAGGCTCGAGGTCATCGAAGATCGGGCACTCGTAGACAGTCTGAACCGCGTTGAACTGGTCCTGTTCAATGAGCATCTGGATCAGCTCTTCATGAGACGCTTGGTCAAAGTTCATGTCATGCTCTTTCAAGTCATCAATGACTTTCTTCAGCTGACGTTCATCATTTTTGATGGCGAACCCCTTCAACACTGCGAGCCACGGCGATGGTGTGGCCTTGCGCAGACGGTCCCAAAACTTGATCACCACGGCGCGGGCCTCTTCAGGGTTACCATTTGCGCATAGTAGATTGATGTAGAGATTTAGAGCCGGTCGACTGATCTCATTGGGACCAAAGCCGTGATCGACACAGAGTTCGTGGTAGGCGTAGCGTGCCAAATTCTGGAGGGTCGCGCGAGATTCAGGCAGACACTGTGCTTCCGAAAAAACAAAAAGCATTTTCTCGAGGTTCTCAGTTGAGAACACATTCTGCCAGTCTCGCTCCTCCAGTTCAGTCTGTAGTTCCTTCAAGTGTTTCCATGTCACGATGAGCAGTCGGGCCTGATAGCCATTAATCACTCCCGGAGTTTCAACTCGTGTCGCAAAGAAGGTCTGGAACGCTTTGGCGAGGACTTCACTGGGAGGAGCTCTGGCTTTGTCCTTGATCGACTTCAAGAGATCCGTCATTGGCTTCAGGCCTCGTTCCGAGGGCAGTGTCGTCGGTCGCGCCTCGGGAGTGGGCGCCGCATTGAAGGCGAAGAGATTCCGTCGCGTCAGATCCTGAAGGCTCGGTAGGCTCAGACGCACGCGTGCGGGAGGAATTGTATGCAGGAGGCAATGTCGACGACAGGCGGAAAAGGAGAGCGGCTCATTGTTGATGAGGGCCTTGAAGACTCGACGGGAGAGGTGGGACTGCATATTGGGCACCTTGAGCAGCCCGATCAGGATACAGCTGAACTGGTACCAGGTCAGGTCGGGTCAGGACAGGTTAGGGTGGTTGTGAATTCAGGAAGTTGGTTGTTGCGATGTTTTGGCGGAAAAGGAAAAACTGGCAGAAAAAAAGCGAACGGGACTAATCGACATCCTTCCTCCTGACAATCCCCGAACCATCTGTCCTATCGAGCACCATGTCGCTCAATATCTTCTCGTCCTCATTCCTGCGCTCAGCCCCGGCGCTCTCGAGCTGCCGCTGGAGTTCGACAAGTGCCTTGCACCAGCGACTGGGGCTAGGCCAGAGGCAACCGCCGAGTATGTCTACCTTCCTAAATGACCATTCGGCTGGACTTGAACTGACGCAGGATCATAGAGCCGAAAGTACAGCACTCCCGACGGCTACCCAGTCGCCAGAAGATCATTGCGGAGCAAAAAGCACAAGGAGAGAGCAGAGCCCTGGAGAGGTTTCACACACGCGACTGGAAGGCCGGCGACGTCTATGCCCCCCACGATCTCAGTCCACAGGAAATGAAGAAGTGGTCGAAGCGGCAAAGCCCGTCGAAGGATGCTTTTGATGCATTGAATCTGAATCCATTGGATCTGTACAAGGTATGCGATGCGCCCTCCGGGGGTGGTGGATCAGAGAGCCGCTGCTAACACACTTGTTTGTATACACAGAACTTCTCCATCATGTCCGAATATATCTCACCATTGGGCCGCATCAAGCACCGCAGCGAGACCGGACTGCGGCCAGTCAACCAGCGCAAGATTGCCAAGGCGATCCGGAGAGCGAGAGGTCTGGGGCTCATGCCCAGTGTGCACAAACACCCGGAGATCCTGGCGAGCGATTCGCGGAGTCGGGGTGGCGCTGATGGTTTTTGACCTGTTGATGTATTATTATTATTTATTTATCCCTGTCAGCATCTTTTCCCCAACTGTACAATTTATTATCCTCTTATATGTCGTCACTTGTAGACTGTTGCCTCGCCCCGCCCTGAGGATCAACAACACCGCCTTGTTTCTCCCTCGTCTTCTTCCTCTTTCTCTTTCCTCTCCCCGGCCGCTCCGTGCAACACCACCATGTCAGTCACCAACGGCATGTCTTGAATCACCTATGTCCCACCTGAATTCCTAGCTAACTCTCCCCTAGAATCCATCTGGGCCGCCAGCCCCTCCACCACCCGCGGGCAGCCCACCCAGCTGTCGTCGGACGCCAAAGGCGAACGACTGGCCTACGCAGTACGTCTTAGGACCATCAAGCTTGCCATTGCGATGTCTATGACAATATATGCTAACATCCGTTCGTGCAGGCCAATAAATCTATATTCCTGCGCTCGATCGACGACCCTGCCATTGCCAAGCAGTATACCGAACACAAGGTCCAGACCACCGTTGCCCGCTTCTCGCCCTCCGGGTTCTACGTCGCCAGCGGTGATGCCGCGGGCATCGTGAGAGTGTGGGATTGCGTCGGTGATGGGATCCTCAAGGGCGAATACAGCATTATCAACGGCCGCATCAACGATCTGGCCTGGGATGGTGATTCCCAGCGCATCATCGCCGTGGGTGACGGTAAGCAGCGGTATGGGCACTGTATCACCTGGGACAGTGGCAACACAGTTGGAGAGATCTACGGCCACACCCAGCAGATCAATTCCGTGGCGATCAGGCAGCAGCGCCCTCTGCGCGCAGCGACCGCGGGCGACGACAAGAAGCTGGTCTTCTACCACGGCGCACCGTTCAAGTTCAACATGGGAATTGGTGATAAGCATTCCAACTATATCTACGGTGTGGGTTTCAGCCCGGATGGTTCGACCTTGGCCAGCGTGGGCGCTGATCGGAAGATCTGGCTCTACGACGGGAAGACGGGAGAAATCAAGGGTCAGATTGGCGAAGGGGAGCACACAGGCAGTATATTTGGTCTGTCCTGGTCCAAGGACTCCAAGAAATTTGTGACTGCCAGCGCCGATCGAACGGTCAAGATCTGGGATGTCGAGGCCGGCAAGGCCGCCCAGAGCTGGACCCTGGGCGAGGAGGGCGCCATGGCTGTTCGAGATCAGCAAGTGGGCGTGGTTTGGCCTCCAGGCAGAAGTGATAATCTGCTCATCAGTTTGTCCCTGAGTGGAGACCTGAACTACTTGGTCGAGGGGACTCCTAAACCTCGGCAAGTCGTCCAAGGTCACCAAAAGAACATAACCTCCCTGACCCAGTCCGCGAGCGGCGACAAGGAGACGTTGTGGACAGGCAGCTTTGAGGGGCGGGTCTGCAGCTGGGATGTTGCCTCTGGAACTGCTGAGGAGATCGAAGGTGATAGTCACTCGGGGTACATCGCCGGGCTGGCACCGACTTCGGAAGGCGCAGGTCGGATTTACAGTGTCGGCTGGGACGATACGATCCGCTCCGTTGACATCGCCGCGAAGACATACACCGGCAGCACGACGAAACTCACGGGACAGCCCAAGGGCATTGCGGCCGGCGAATCGACAGTGCTGGTTGGTGCCGCCGAAGCGGTCGAGATCTTCAACGATGGCAAGAAGACGGGAGAGTACAAGACCAAGTTCGCCGTCACCACCGTGGCCGCGCATGGTGCCATCGCGGCCGTTGGCGGCGAGGATGGCTCCGTGGAAATTTGTGACGTGTCCAGCTCCAGCTTGTCATCGCGCAACTCGATCAAGGCCTCGCGCAACCAAATCTCAACCATCTGCTTCTCCCCGGATGCCTCGCTGCTGGCTATCGGCGACCTGCGGGGACGTGTGCTGGTGCACAAGGTGGCCGACGGCAGTCTAGTCACGGATCGGTGGACGGCACATAATGCCCGCATCACGTCACTGGCTTGGAACAAGGCCGGCTCCCATGTGGTCAGTGGGTCGTTGGATACCAATATCTTTGTGTGGAGCCTGGCCAACCCCGGCGACTGGTTAGAGGTCAAGAACGCGCACAAGGAGGGCGTCAATGGCGTTGCATGGATCGAGGGCAGCACTAAGATCGCGTCGGCCGGCGCGGATGCTGCGGTGAAGGTGTGGAAGGTGGAGGGTTTGAAATGAGGGAGGTAGTTATATCAAGTATGAACGGAGTAGTGCATCGCAATAGATATCTTAGCGTAGCGTCTCAGTCCCACATCCAAGAGAGCATTAACCAAAGATATCGCTAATCAACAAGAAGCGCCATTCGAAACGCCCCTGGATACCAAGTTTCTGAATTGATGGACGAATTATAGCAAGTCCACCCTAGAGGATGAAAGAACCATGATTGATAAACTAAATCGAATCATTTCAAGGGTATCGAACCAGTTCGGCCGGCCACCCATTACCACTATCATTTTTTTTCCAAAAAAAAAAAAAGGGTTGCTAGGTCGTCTTGTTCCCAAAAGAAAGTTATACTATACACTGCACTGCAGGGCCATATTGGCCGGGAGAAAACCAAAAAAACATAAAGAGAGAGAGAACAAAAAGACATATCTTCACAGAGAAACTCCAGACCCAGATGCAAAAATGTGCTGTCAATGTTGTGACAGTCCCTTTGGTAGTTCCCAGACGCCATCCTTCTCCCATCCAGACCAAGAGTATAACATAAAAAGAGTGGTAGTTAAGAGGTGCTCGCTAAAAGAAGCATGTTTGCAACAGACCAGATCTAGCCCTCATGCAGCCATGGATAAACATTCGTCGAGTAGAGAGCTCAACTGCTCCCGGTCTGCAGCAGCACCTCCCTCCCAATCAGACAAGTCGTCCTCCTCCTCTTCGTCGATATCCATTGCGTCAACTGGGGGCTTTACCTCGTCATGAGGCTCAACACCGTTCTCCAGACGATCTGGAGTTTCGTACTCGTCGTCGAGGTAGCCGCCCATGATCTGGTCTATGATCAGAGGCATGTGGCCGAGGACACTGCTGCCCAGCTCGAGTGCCAATCGAAGGTCTCTAACTCCTAATGGCCTCCGAGTGCGGGCCTCTTTGGCTTCAATCGGAAGAAGACCGGTTGCGCCATCCTTGCTGATTTCACCGCGGGTATAGGCAAGCTCTTCAAGTTCGAGTTGCTGCCGGTATTTCCGCATCATCATGCCGTTGATAGTACCTGACGGACCATTCGACCGAGTGCGCGAGAAGACAGCGGACAGGACTTCCTTGACAAATGTCTCCGTCGCAATTGCCATGAATTCTGCACACGGCAGCCCAGCACCGCTGGGAAGGGATTCTTCGTAGCAAATGGGGACCATGCGCGCGTGAATCGATTCTGCGTCGGGGAACTCGCCAGTTTCGGCACCGAGGGGTTGTGCGTAACGCTTCCGAATCTCTAGTTCCCAGTCTGTGTTTTTTTTAAACAATATTGTTAGGGCTTCCTTGGCTTTTTTTGAGAGTGCAAAAAGACTTCATGGCTGGGTTCGCCGGAGGGCTGTGGTGTCTTACTTGTCTTGTTCAAACCACCTGCACTTGCGGGGACCTGACTAGGCAATTTAATCTGCTTCGCCTGGTAATATTCCTCTAATTCGTTAGGCATCGCTTCGTTGGGGTCGCGCTGGGAGGTAGGCAAGACATGATTAGCACTTTTGTCTCATTCACCCCACAATATCGGGTCCTATGGCCGCATACCTCTGGGACGCCTTTGATGCGCCGACGATCCCTCGGAGGCAGTTGCATAACCTCCGTCTTCAACCTTTGTTCTGCGGCATCTCCCGAGATGGGTTTAGAGACAACAGAGGGCTTATCGTTCGCGGATACCCAGCTCGCCACGCCATGGTCGGGGAGGTCTCGCGTGAGGTTTCCGATAAGCGCGCAGACGAAATTATTATGGAGGTGTTCTGTTTTCGTATCGGCGCAAATGATATAGTCGACTCGCGCCGAGAACTCGTTTTGGTTCAAATGTCCTAAAGCGGGCAAGAGGTCAGGAGGTTAGCACGCGATACATCTCAACCGCCTAAGATTCAAGACAATGGCCCTCGAATCAAGTCGCAACGAAATATATGTTATGCAGTATCTTCGTACCTAGTAAGAAGAGAGCGGTGGACTCCTTGTACTCGGCCCACTTGCTCCCAACAGCGGCTTTCAGGTCCGTGTAGGCATGTTCCAGGTCCAGTCGCGGCACGGAGATCAGGGCTCGGGAGGACTTCTGTGTCGCTGCGGCACTGGTCGCGGTGCTTTTGGAAGCGGCCCCTGAGTTGGACGCAGCGTCTGTCCGACTCAGGGCCGCCGGGTCGATCTGCATGATGGCGGGAATCGCAGGAGCGCGACGGACGAAGCCGAAGGGCGCGGGAGGGAAGGGGAGGCACCTAGGCCTTCATGAAGGGAGGGAGAGTCAACTAGACCAGATGAGAAGATGGAAGATGAGGATACATGGATGAATTTAGATGGATTTGGGCGATGGCGGGAAGATGGATGGAAGAAGACTGACGATGATGGACTGGGCGGTGGCAGGGAGACCAGGAGTCCGTCCCCACTATGGATTTCATTCACCTTCACCAACTATATAGCATTTACCATAGTGATTCACTTCTACGCCAGCGCCACCACATCTTCACTCAGAACCCCGAATAACTGCCCGATTACGCCGATGATGGCCATGATTTCGCTCGACAACTGTCCAGTCACCAAAACTACGCCCCCAAGTCAGCCCGACAGCAAAAACCCCGATCGGCTTAGGGCTACTCACTATATGCATAGAGGAGAGCGCAGTCCTCATCCGTGGTTTTTTGAGACACTTCCCGATCCTGCCGATAGCGATAGATGCGAGCAAGTAGCCGGTCGCGCGCATGATCGATGCTGGGAAGCACGTCGCTCAGCGGATACTCGAGTTTCATCGACGAAGCCATGACTAACGTAGTTAGTACTCGCTAACCCCTAAGGATCAAGCATAAACAACCGACCGGAGAGAAGATGGCTGATGCGGGCAGAGAGCTGCTGCCGTTCAGCTGCGGTATAGCGAAGCAAATTGATCTCGCCCTCGGTGGCAGTGACGTTCTTGACAAGCTCCAGATTCATCGCATGGAACGCGTTCACCATGCTCCGGGTGCGACGGATGATGTTGCCATATTCTGCGTCCGGAAAAACACTTCTCAGTTCAAACTCGGAGCGCGCAGAGGCCTGCAGGGACTCTATCTTGGCCAGAAACCGTTCGATCTCCAGCTTCTCCCGAGGATTCATGTATCCGACAGTGGTGCTGCCTTGGACCATCGATGACAGCGGGTCCCGCTTCCAGATGAGACTCAGATGCAGCCAAAGGAGACTGAGATTGTCTTTCAATCTTCTGCGTGCACTAATCGGCCAGAACACTCGGGTGATGATGATGCCCCAAATGCAGCCAGACAGGACAGCCATCACCCGATGCAACACGATCTCCGTGATAACCGGGTGCCTTCCCCCTTCGTCCTCATCGTCTTCGACATCATTCTGCGTCAATGAATAGGCGTACAGCACTGATAGGTTGTAAGTAAGCATGATGAACCGTCCCATAGGTCCATTTCCCTTGACTATGGTGAGGTACGCGGGCCAGAGCGCCATCAGCCACCCCAGAAATGCGAGGCCAAAGACATTGCCCGCCGTCAGATACCAGGCCACAACGGCACAGAGTGCTCCGAGGATCGTTCCCAAAAACCGTGCATATCCTGTGGTGTTGGAGGCACCGATTGTCATAGAACAGACCAACATGTATGACACCAGGCCCCATTCCCCCCTCCAGTGCTGGTAGAAAGGTCTGGTGGAGGGAAGAAATGATGGCAATGCATATAAAGCGGCCCCAGCGCCCACCTTGATGGCGTATTTGGTGTCATCCCGACGAAAGAATTCCAGGGATTTCCAGACGCGGTAACCGAGCCTTCTCTTTGCGTTCGCTGTGGCAGATGGATCTCCGTGAATAGTTCGATTGACCCTTGGGGAATCTTCATCGATTCTAAGACCGGCGGCGGAAGGTGAGTCTGAGACTCGATCAGTTTCAACGCCCACTGGATATCTTCCGGCGCATACGTACCGATAGTGAAGTTTCCAATTGTATCTGCTTCTTTCCCCTTTGACCACCTCCAAAATTTCAACCAGTTCCAGGATCTCCCATTGGGTCGCTCTTCGACTTCCAGTTGCAATTCATCTAGAATTAGCAGCAGGTCGTATAGCTGCTCTCCAAACTCCAATAGTGAGAAACTGAAGTGAGCGCAGCTGGCCGATACTTCCTCCAGATCGGCAGCGGCGTCATGGCTCTGCAGATTCATGACTTCTTTCTGCTGATACAGCACTGTAAGCGTCCTCTCCCGCGATTCTCGGTAAAGTTCGAGAGCGCGACTGAGGCTTGTCTGGAGCCGACTATCGACCGAAACTTTGTAGTCCGGTGCCTGGCCGAAGGGAATTTCGTTAAATATTTCTTTGAGGGTAAAAGCCAGTGATCGCTGTAAACCGGTCAGTTTCGACGTGTGAAGCGGGGATGGTCACAGTTGTCATTACCATAGAAGGACCTAAATGGCCAATAAAGATGGTGAACACCTCTGCTGGAAGGAGAGCAGCGGGTCTAGGGCTGTGTATAAAGCTTCCGTTTGGTGACAGATCTTCCTCCGGCCGTTCCTCGATGGGCTCTAGAAAAGATCCTTCGGCAAAGGACCATGATCGCTCCAGAGGCGAAAACAGGCGGAGACTAGACGATGCTTGTTGGTCATCCAGCCCGTACTCGCGCGCGATTGTCTCTTTGATCAGACTGAACTGCAGTTCGGCGGCGCTGCGCAATCCGCCCATGTTATGAGTGATGTCTTGCACCCAGCGCACGAGCTTTTTCTCCAATCGATACTCCTTCTCAGTGCCTGCCACATAGTGCTCCAGCTTGGCCTCTCGGACCAGCTTATCCAGCTGGCTGTAGGCCTTTTTATGTTTTGTGTCCGCGTCCCTGAACTCGGTCGACTTCAATTCTTCCTCAGACCCGCTGAGAAAGCTCTCGGTGATCGCGGCCAGCATCACGGCCAGCGTGTCCGTTACGATGACCAGATTTGCACGGAGCTTCTTCCGTGCCGATATGGGGAAAACCACGAAAGAGACGGTCATGGCCGCTACGACGCCCATCAAGACCATTTTCAGGACCTGCGAGATCTTGGCGAACGAAAAGTCACCGCTCTGCACGGCGCCCTCTTTGGTCAGGACCGTGATGGTCGACAACGAGGTGAGGGAACATGCCACATTGACGAGGGGATCGCCCAGGCGCTGTTTGGTCCATCCCACGAAGCCCAGTCCACCGCCACAGAACACGATGAGCACCAAGCCATGACCGAGGGCCGGCAGGTGCATAGTGTCCTGGAAGAAGACCTCAACCACCATGCTGGTAATGGAGAGAAATGCGGAATAGCAAAAGGCCAGCAGCGCACAGAGCAGCGCCTTGTACATGCTTCCCTGGGATCTGGCGGGGTGGAAGTAGACGGTGATCGTGGCCACCATGTGCTTGCCATCCTGGTGGCCTAGGAACGCGGAGATCGGGGGGATGAAGGTGGCGAGAGAGCCGAGCAAGTAGGCTAAACTGCACTTGACGACTCCGATGCCCGGCTCGGAGGTGAGGAACTGATGCGCCTGCGTCCACAATCCTCGCGACCAGCTCGAGATTACGGATTGGCGGTTGGTTTGGCCGGAGAGCAGCCCGCGCCGTTCGTCATGATCGGTCGTTGAGTCTGGTCGCTGCGTGGGGTTGCGCAGGCTCACGAGTCCCTTCAAGCGCTGGCCCGTTCGCGGGAGGACAAAAGTGGCCTGCCGCAGCTGCCAAAGAAGGTTGGTTAGTCGGACGGGATGAGCCGGAGGCGCATACCCACCTTGGGGCGCGAGATGCTTCCCGAGGGCATCGTGGCGAGATATCTAGGCTGGTCGCATGGTCGCCCGAGTGGTTGTTCATGGTTTGTTTTGGGCAGCGAAAATAAACCAGTCCAGACCGCCACGGCCATCCCTGCACAGACATCCAACATCGTTAACTACTACGTAGGTATTTATAGATCGGTCTAGTCGTCAATTCACTCTTGGCCCCAAGCCAACAATATTACGAAACTACGAACGGGGCGATGGAGAGAACAGCTTTGCCCAACGTTATAGTCTCAGTCAAAACAAGAAACACCCGTTAGGACAAGAGGAGAACGTCAAGTGCGATACACACGGATAACCCGTGAATTGGATTTGGTTTCCATTATGTTCATCATTGGGCGTAACGGGGTGGTGGCCCAGAAAAACGCCGGCTAAGAATACATTCAAAAGACGACCGACTAGTTGACGGTCTCCGCAACGAGCTTCAGGATATCCTCGGTCGACTTGTGTGCACGAGCTGGGTCTTTGGCAATCGACTGCCAGACCTCGCCATGCTTCGGCTCCGTCGACATGCACTTCGAGATGACATCGGATCGTTTTTCCTGCAAACGTATTAGCTTCGGGTGGCTGCAAAAGGGGTAGAATAGGCCACCAACCTCAGTCCCGTGCTGCATCAAGAATTTATAGTACCAGGCCCAGCCATCACCATAGTCACTGTCGGCCACAATGGCTTTCTCAAACCAAGTCATCGCCTTCTCCAGACGTCGTTCACCCCAGAAGATGCGCGCGACGGTGATGAAGAGAATCGGGTCGTTGTCAACCTTCTTGATCGCCTCTAGGCTGCGCGCCTTACGCTGCGCCCGCGGCTCGAGGTGCCAGATGCTCTCGCTCCACAGCAAGCCAGATGTCGGGACTTCTTGTAACGCCCTGGCCATGAGCACCTTGGCCTGCGCGAGGTTGTTGGCACGGCGCTCAACCCGCACACTTTCAGTCCAGAGCTCGGCGCTCTTGGGAACAGCCAATCGAGCTCGATCCAGGACGGAGCGTGCTCGGACCACGGCACCGGCTTTTTCTTCTAGCCGTGAAGCGAGGAGCCAGAGTGCAACAGACTTGGAGCACGCGCGAGTGCCGGTACCGTATGCCTCGCGTGCTTGAGGGAACTTGTTTTGAGCCTCGTATATTTGGCCCTTCATCATCCACAGCTTGTCAGCTTTGGGATAGAGCTGCAGCCCCTGGTTGACGAGGTCCAGCGCGTCGTCAGTATTACCCAATTGCCGCTCAAAGGCAACACTCTTAATCCATACACGGTCGGTGCCAGCCTCGCGGCGAGCTGTGGCAAGAAGCTCCCGGGCCTGATCTGTCTGGTTGGCGTCGGCTTCCAGCTTGACAGCGGCAAGCCAGATATCTTCGTTGTTGGGATTCTGGTTGAAGGCCCGGCCGAGAACGCGCCGAGCATCATCGACTTCTCCTGCCTGCCACTTCTCTTTGGCAAGCTGCAGCCAGATCTCTTCACTCTGGGGACAGGCCTCAACAGCCTTCTCAAGTACTTGCCACAAGGCTTCTTTGCTTCCGTGATGGCGTTCCAAATCCGCTGCGGCGAGCCAGATTGACCGGCGGTTAACGAATACCCGCAGCGCGTAGGCATAGATAGCCCGCGCCGTTTCGTATTTCCCACGGGCAATACTCGACTTGGCATCATCCATCCAGACATCTTTCCGATCGTCATCCTCATCTAGACCCCATCCAAGCGTCTCACGAATAATTGCGCCGCAGGTAAGAATAGCGCCTTCTTCTTCGCACCGCTCGGCCTCGGCAATCCACTCTTCTCTCTTCAGCATGGCATTCTCTCGGACAAGAGACTGGATTGCACGCTTCATGACATTGACCCTTTCAAAAGTGCCCATCTGCTCCTGAAGACGAGCGGCAGCAATCCAAATCTCGTGGCTTGCTGGGACCGCCTTGCGCGCGGCATTCAAGACCTTTTGCGCATTTTCTGGAGATTCAAGACGTGCAAGGGCCAGCCAAAGCTCCACGGAAAGAGGAATCATCTCGACAGCCTTGGCCAGAAGTAGCCGGGCGTCAGCTGGATCCTCTTCCAGGTTTACGGCCTCTTTCCAGATTTGCACTGATTGGGGAATATGCAGAATGGCTTGTCGGAGAACATTCTTTTTGGCTCGAGTGTCAGTTTCCAATTTCATTGCCTCCGTCCAAAGTCTCGTGGAGCGGTCATTGTTCTTGATGGCATTTGCCGCAATGACCTTGGCATTGTGGCCTTCATTGACACGGATATTTTCCAACCATGCATCTTCACTCTTCGGACAGAGCTCACAGCCCTTTGCTATAATGTTCCGGGCCGTCACAATCCGACCAGCCAGCTCCTCGAGACGGGCGAGAGCAATCCAGCCCGGTGCATGCTTGGGATTCGTTTTTGTGACGGATTCCAAGAGTACGCGAACTCGCTTAATATCACCCACTTCGACTTCACCAGCCTTGAGCTCTGATTGGGTCAGGCTGGTCAGATAGCCCTTGGGGTCGATGTTGGTCGCGCTCCCAGACGTGGTGTCGGCAGACGAACCCAGCGCAGCCTGATCCAGCCTGACCTTCAGCACTTTATCACGCGCCGCACCGATATCTGCAAAGTTCGTCATGCTACCATCCCCCTCCGGAGCTTCGGTTTGGGTGCCATCGTCGGCGATCGTCGTGTCGAACTGGGCCGAATCGCGGGCACCGGCAATGACGCTATCAGGAACCGCATAGAAGCGCTGCCGTAAGTTCTGCTTCTGACGTCGATTTTTGCCCGTGAGATCACCGACCTCGGGCAGGTTGGCCCAGTCTTCTTCGGATACTGCGGCGAGAGTCCGCTTCACATCGGCAAACTGTTGCTGGATCTTGGGGTTCTGTCGTTCGTAGTCTTCGCGTTCTTGTTGCTCGCGGATTTCCCTATAGGTGGCGAACGATTCTAGTCGGTACTCTGTCCAAACAATGGGGGATGGCCCATGAACAATTGTTTTGACCACAGTGGGGGAGTTACTAACCTGCGTGCTTTCCGCCGCCTGTCCATCTTCTCATCTACCTCTCGGTAGACGCGATCTGCTTCGTCGTCCTCTTGGTCGAACTGTCCGTACGCAAATAATCCAGTCTCGTTGTCGGGATCCTGGAACCGTTCATCTTCCTCCTCTTTTTCCTCTTCCTTCCCTCCTTTCTCACGACTACCACCGTATGCTGTTGGTTCGGGGGCTCCCAGGGTCCGTGCTCTCTGTTGCAGCGCAGCCTGGATCTGTTCGGGTGTAGGACCTTCGCGCGCCGGGCCAAGGTCGGAGCGGGTGGTGAAGCCCGTGGCACCACGACCCAGACCGGCGACGTAGTTCTCTGGCGCATGTTGGCTCAAGAAATCCTTGCGCCCGGACGCCATGGTGGAAGGGGGAGGAGGTGAATGCAGTAGTTAACTAATTCGTTCGCAGGGAAGAGAAAGGTCCCGCAGAAAAGTAGGACCGACGCCGCCTTATCTTATCGCCACAAAAAAATGCAGCTATTTCTTTCCATCGATCTGTACATTCATCCCACAATCATCCCAAGAATAATGCCCAAGACCAAACACAAGAAGCGCAACAGCGCTTCACCCGCAAATCCCTATGCGGACGCGGCGGCCAAAACCCAGGCTGCGCACAGCATCTTCAAGATGAACACAGACATTGGCCAGCACGTTCTGAAGAACCCTGGCATCGCTGAGCAGATCGTCAACAAGGCCGACCTCAAGCAGAGCGATGTAAGTGTACTTTACTTTCTCTTACAGGAAGACAAGGCTAATCGAATTGGGCCAGATCGTCCTCGAAATCGGTCCCGGGACGGGCAACCTGACAGCCAAAATCCTTGAGCAGGCGAAGAAATGCATTGCCGTCGAGCTGGACCCTCGAATGGCAGCCGAAGTCACCAAGCGCTTCCAATCAACGCCTGCACAAAAGCGTCTGGAGGTCATTTTGGGCGATGTGATGAAGACTGAGCTGCCGTATTTCGATGTCTGCATCAGCAACACGCCCTATCAGATTTCCTCCCCTCTGACCTTTAAATTGCTGGCTACATCTCCGGCGCCTCGTGTCTGCATTCTCATGTTGGCCTCCCCATAATTGCACGCTTCATTGCTTGGAAACTAACAGTATCTGATTTCAGGTTTCAACGAGAATTTGCGCTGCGTCTATTTGCCAAACCTGGCGATAAACTATACAGTCGACTCTCCGTCAATGCCCAAATGTGGGCCAAGATCGATCACATCATGAAGGTCGGCAAGAACAACTTCAAACCTCCACCCATGGTCGAGTCCAGCGTGATCCGCATGGTCCCCAAGAATCCGCGACCACAGATCAACTACGAGGAATGGGATGGTTTGTTGCGGATTGCATTCGTCCGCAAGAACAAGACCCTGCGGGCTAGTTTTATCGGCACCGCCAGCATCATGAACATGTTGGAAGCTAACTACCGCACATGGTGTGCACAGAACGACATCCCGGTCGAAGATGGGCCGGCGGATGCGGATGGCGATGCGATGGATACGGGCAACGAGCCGGAAGAAATGGAGGCCGAGGAGGCCATGGAGGTGGACGAAGACGATGACGTGCCCGATTTCTTCAAGGAGGAGACCAACGCCCGCCTTCAAGCTGCGCTCAAGAACCAGCCAGCGCGCAAGAAGCGGGGCAAGGTTGCGGAATTGGTGCGTGAAAAAGTCCGTCAAGTCTTGGAGGATGAAACAGGTCTGGCCGACAAGCGCGCGCGGATGTGTGATGAGAATGAGTTCTTAAAGATGCTGTGGGCGTTCAACCAGAAAGGGATCCATTTCAACTGAGGATCAAATCAACACCAGGGCCCTGTCCGGCATGCCGGAAAGGCGGCTGAAGGTGGCTCGTCACGAATTATGATTACTATCAATAAAAGACACCATTTTCCGGTGGCTCGCCCGCAGACCGAAGATGAGCGCGCGAGTCCTGGAAAAGGCTCTGCCAGATGAACGCTTCACTCAGCAAGAGTTCGATGTCTTTCTCTGTCCAATCCTTCGTAGGCAATGCTTGCAGGAACATCATGACTTCCTACAAAATGGGTCAGCTGGAGATCGTAATTAAGCACGGGGGCATTTACCTGAAAATCCATCTTCACTAATTGATCGGTCCACTTAACCAAAAACGCAGCACAGACGTAGAGATGAAAGCGTGAGAAGCCCTGCTCCTCGGCCTGGATAGGTGGTCAGTCTCATTTAGCCAGCTCCAGAAAAGATAGACAAACCATATATGTGTCCCACATGCGAATTGTGTTCTTGATGCTCATTTCCCGCATGAGCAAGCAGTTCATCCATCGGAAACTGAATTGCATAAATTCAACCCCTTCCTTTTCCAAGTGCTTCGCCAGGGTAGAGTCAATGCGCATCGTCAAATCGCGCAAGGCCCGGACCTGACGGTGGATTCCCGGCTGGGCATAGATATAGTTGTCCTGGATGCCATCTAGGAGCTTCGTGAGACACCAAAAAGTGTCCGCCTCCACTGCATCCAACACGCTTTTCGGTAACTGGCCCGGGTCCATCCCTTCCTCAACATTCAAATCAGTGATGTACACGCCCAGGAACACTTGCCAAAATGGTGTCACCAGGTCGTTGATGCCTTGCACATAGCCACTCGCGGGGTGTCGAATAGCCCAAACGTAAAGGATTCGCTCCAAGGACCGCTGCGTGGCTTCGTAGCCGTAGAGAGGGAGATGAGGGCTTGTGCGCGGAACATCGATGCTGATCTGGTGCCAAATGGCTTCATCCAGCCCTCTACCACGCCCAGTGTTCGATGCAGGAGGATTGCTTGAGCTTGCTCCGCTGCCTCGTTCAAAGGCTTGTCGGACCCCGTCCAAATACTCCTTGCGTTTTCGCTCCAGAGTGGATATGCGTCTTTCGCTGTTCGTGGGTAGATATCCCAGCAAAAGCTGCCAGGTCATTGGCCGGACCTCCTCTGGGACTCCAGACCAAGCCAGGTCTCGTAATTCACTTAGAGACACGGTGCTCGCTTGCAAGATGCGCTTGAATTTATTGATCCGTGAGATGCGACTCGAATGTATCTCCCTTTCTTTAGCGGAAGCATTTGTAGGTGGTGGGAAGTGATTGATCAGGTTCAGGGCGTTTGCAGGGTCTGAATTCATGTCAGAAGAGTTCTTCGCGTTCACCTTCAGATCCCACCTTGTAAAATGTCTTTGAACTGCGGCCGGAGAATCTTTCCTTCGCCCATGCGGGCTGCGGGATACATCGCAGCACTCCGTTCCTCGGCGATGTCGGAGCTATTCGCCCGTGGTCTGTTATTGGCCCCTATCCCGAATCCAAAGCTCGACGAATATCCTCCAATCCCGCCGCCCGGGTCGATATTCTTGGGTTTCACGGGGTTCGCTTTCTTTCTCCTCATGCTAGCAAGACTGGGCAGTCCAAACTCATCTTCGTCGTCATCGTAGACAATCTCATCATCCTCGTCATCATCGTCGTCCTCCTGGGAGGGGTCCCGACTCCACTCATCGACACCGTCAGGCATGATCCCGGCGTATGGCTCGCGGGGAGGTGAAGCAACCGAGGTTCCAGACCGGCTTGCCAGATGCGATGCGACGGATGGGGCGTTCGCTGATGGCGGTGTTCTCGGCCGTGCGTGGGGCGATACCCCTCTGTACCAGGAAAGAAACACTTGTCAGTTGGCGCCTTCTCGCGGGACCCAATTAAAGCAGACTTCACGAAGCCGAGAGGGAACAGACTGTAGGATATTTGCGTGCGAGTATGAAGCGCCCACCACGGTGTTTTGACCATAGATCTTCGAGGGCCCTGGGTTCAAGGATGTGCTCCTGCCGGGCCAGAAGGGAGACTCTGAGCGTCTTATGAAGGAACCCCGTTAACATTATCCATCAATCAGAGATCTTGGGGGTGAGCTTACTCGGAACTGTCTGTCGAGCGGGAAGGTTTCAAGCATGAGCTATGTCATAACCCTGGAGGGGGGCGGGATCAGATGCAAGGGGACGCGGTACGAACCAACCTGAACCATTTCCTGGCGACAGGGTCAGCGACGAGATGATGAGAATAGGATCGGAATCACGCACCTGTGCCTTCTTGCTAGCCATAGCGGACGGTGGCTGATCTCATCGACAAGTCGATGGCCCGAGCCTACACCGGCCGTGCCGGGGGTGGAGCGGTTGGCGTGGTGGAATTGACGAGAGAAGGAGCGAGGTCAGATCATATCATCAACCTAGACAGACAATAATAGTCAAAGGAGAGAAAGAGAGAGAGAGAGTTTGTACGTGTGTGTACAGTAGGTAGTAAAGAATGGGAAGTAACCAACTACAAACGACTGGCCTCAGTCACCCGCACTCGTACGTAATCCACTTTCTTTCCGCCCTTGTTCTTCTTCACTTCTGCTTTTTCCGCCTCCCACTCACCCAACCATCTCCCCTTAACTCCCATCGCTTGACATCATGACTGAACCAGGGGACGAGGAAGATCTCTTTGCGGATCTGTACGTCTTGTACTATCATCATTTCTCAAGAGGCTTCGCTCACCAATCTTTCTCTCTTCTAGGTACGACGCCGATGAATCGACGAATCGCACGACGTCAGCAGTGGATGTTCCAAAACAAGACGATTCAGCTTCCCTGGGCCCAGTTGCGCAGCCTCCAACCAGTTCAGGCTTCGATACCGCTCCCGAGCCACAGGCCGTACAAGACCCTTACCAGGCATCTGGATTTGACCATGGCTACCAGAATGGTTCCGGGAGTTTGGATGCTGGCTCTGCCCCCAGCATGGCTGCCCCTGCGGATAATGAACCCCAGGCAGGGACAGGAATCAAAGAAGACGGGTAAGTCCACTGATTGTGCCCCTGTATGCTCCCCCCGGAGGCCAGATCCTGTATCTTCGGTCGCAAGTGGTTGTTTGGTATGTGTCTGGGTGGTGTGTGTTGCTATTCACGGTAAAATTGGTTGGTGGGCGGTGGGATCAGACGCGCCTTGGCTATGATATGGCTACCGCGAGCGTTGAAGGCTATGAATCTGGTGGGAAGCGAGTCGTTCGATGGTGTGGGCTGTGAACAGCCAGGGTCATCAATCCTTAGTCCATGTGTCCGCCTGAACGGAGGACGTCTGGAACTATGGGCGCTCTCTTTCCGATCATTGATTTATCAGCCAGCCAGCCGAGAGGGCAGCTGCAAGCAGGGAAGAACATGGCTCAAACTCCGGAATGGGCTCAATTGAGTGAACCAACAAAACCACGAGTGACCGAAGGCTCTATCCGCGACATTGCCAGCAACCAGATATAGTACATCCGATACTATATAGCTTCTTGTCGATATTCGTTGATAGAGCAGAGCAAGAAGTAGCAACCGTGCTGTCTCCTCGGAGACCGCAAGAGACAGTGTCAATTCACTTATTTCGCCTGACTTCCTGCTTCCGCTCAGCCCGCTGAAGATCTCATCGACTTCTGTAGAGCGATGCACAAGGTCACCATCGGCTCTTTTTCTTGGTGGCTGCCGAGTTGGGATCATATCTGCTATGCGGCGGCCAGCATTGGACAAGGGGAACTATACAGCCCAGCATTAGCATGCTGTACTCGTGAATAGCAGCTTTAGCACCACCAGCTTCGCATTAGCCAGGACACACATGCATTCTGACATTCATTCTGTTGCTTGTATTCGACTCGAAACTGACAGTATGGGATGCTAATCATGATCATGGATAGGAAAATGTTTATCGGTGGTTTGAATTGGGAGACTACAGATCGTATGCACCATGTCCAGCTGGAATATCCTGTTTGTATCTAACCTCGGGCCACAGAATCTCTGAGAGACTACTTCTCTCAGTTCGGCGAGGTCCAGGAGTGCACCGTTATGCGAGATAGCGCTACCGGCCGCTCGCGTGGCTTTGGATTCCTTACTTTCCGAGACCCAAAAACAGTCAATACGGTTATGGTCAAGGAGCACTACCTGGATGGCAAGATTGTAAGAAAGCTTCAACAGATATGTGGAAAATGTGAGCTGACACGCCATAAAGATTGACCCCAAGCGGGCAATTCCTCGCGACGAACAAGAGAAAACCAGCAAAATCTTCGTCGGTGGTGTAAGCCAGGAAGCGACGGAGCAGGACTTCAAACAGTTCTTCATGCAATTCGGCCGGGTCGTCGATGCCACCCTCATGATCGACAAGGACACCGGGCGTCCCCGCGGGTTCGGGTTTGTCACATTCGACAGCGAGGCTGCCGTCGAAGCAGCTCTTTCACAGCCTCTGGACATACTCGGCAAGCCAATCGAGGTGAAGAAGGCCCAACCGCGTGGCAATCTTCGCGATCAAGAGAACCAGCGCGGCCGCGGCCGGGACTTCAACCGCGATATGGGTCAGGACGGCGGCCAGCAGCAAGGCGCGCAGGGACAAGGGATGGGCGGCATGACGCCCCAGATGATGGCGCAGTACTGGCAACGAATGCAGCAGTATTTCGCAATGATGCAACAGCAGATGGCCATGGCCAATTCTCAGGGCCAAGGAATGGGTGGTGGCATGGGCATGGGAGGCATGAACCCTGCTATGATGCAGCAAATGCAACAGATGCAGCAGATGCAGATGAAACCGCAACAGGGCAGTGGCGGCATGAGTCCCAACCCGCAGAGCCCCGGTCCCCAGCAAGGCATGCAGAACATGATGAACCCGGCTATGGTGCAGCAGATGCAGCAAAACCAGGGTCAGGGACAGATGAGCGGCGGCGGCGGCAATGGTGGTGCTAGCCCCGGCCCCAACGCAGCGTACAACTCCCAGGCAGCTGCTGCCGGTGGCCCTGGATACAACGCACAGGAACAGATCGCCTTCGAACAGCAAAAATATGAGCAGCAGCAACAGACTCGCCGCGTCATGGACAACCGTGCATTTTCGCCCTACCAACAGGGCGGCCCGACTTCCTGGGAGGGTATGTACGATGAAGTGCCCCAGCCCAACATCCCCACAGGGCCTCAGGGTATGGCCCGTGGTGGCAGTATGGGACGCGGTAAGGCAACCCCTTCACCCTTTACGTTCATCATTGCTAATGACAGCAATTACTACAGGCGCAACACCGCAGCCGCAAAGCACTGCGCCCGCCAACGCCCCAACGGGACCGCGAAACGCTGGCAAGCCTGGCGCCAATTACCGCGGCGGTGGTCGTGGAGGACACCGGGGGTTTCACCCTTATTCTCGCGGCTAGATGGTTAATGTCGCATCAACAATACGATTCCTTTCTCATGTTGTCTAGTATTTTCTTTTCCTGTCATTGTTTTCTTTCTTTTTTCCCTGATAACCTTGGTCGGGTCTGGTTTCTCATGAAGCACTCGGATGGCGAATCTCATGGTGCGTGGTCTTTTGATTTCTGCATGGGAGAGGGCAAAACCAGAGCGAAAGGCTGGGTACGGTTGTTTCAATAGTTTCAAATGGTCTTCAGGCTCCAAAGTAAAGCCCATCGATTAACGAACCTATTGAAGTAAAAGAGTAAAAATAGTGGTAAAAATGGCTACGCGGTGGTTGTCAGCGTCAACTTATCTACGGTCCAAGGACAGTTGTTCGAAAGAGACTCCAATGGCTGTTTTTCACAAAAATCTATGAACATGCAAGCAACTCCCACCAAACACGCTGAACGAGCCAAGAAAGGCTGGATGGGCCAATAATCAATACAGAAAACGGAAAATGCAGGACAGTAGAGTTGCAGAAGAGAAATGGGAAAGGAGAGTGAACTCTGTCGGTAGAACGAACAGGAAACGATATTACACGAATCCCAAAGTGACAAGGATAATCAACAGATCAAACACGCTTGAAATCTCAGAAACAGGTAGTAATGCTGACTGCTCAATCACAGGAAAAGAGAGGTGTGAGAGAGAGGTAGGAAGGATGCAACTAAACGTACAACAGGTTTAATACGCCATGCCGTAGCCAGGGGTAGTAGGGTTGCGGCCTTCGATACTACGACGAGACTGATGACTCTCGTGGCTGTAGGTACGGCCATGTCCCATGTCGGAATAGTCGGCGTACACCAGGTGGTCACTACTGCCGGCTGAATTGGGCCGGCGAGACTGGTCTCGGTATTGCTCGTACGGTCCTGTGAAGTTGAACTTGCTCATTCCCGTATACTCGTGCTTTTGTGGGTGCTCGATCAGGAGGGACTCTCGTGCATCCAAAGGAGTGAGGTCGTCCATGTCGCGGCTCAGTTTGGCTGGTTGAAAAAAAAGGTTAGTCGAGGTTCAAGGGTTAGGAGTAACAGACGGTCCAACTCACCCTCTTCCTTTCTCCTTCTGGTGTGGGGGTTCTCCCGGCAGCATGTGATGATAGCATTGATTGCAATGAGAATAGCAAGGACGCCCGTCAAAGCGGATTGGAGAACAATGAGGACAATTCCAGTGACAGTCTTGGTGGTTTGGGACAGGCCCAGTTCCTCGACAAAGACCAGCACACAAGCAACCGACAAGACTCGGACAATTTGGATGGTGATGTTGATTCCCAGGCAGGATTTGGTGGCATATGGACGGTTCCACACCAGCAGGATCAACAAGAGAGACTCGACAATCAACTGACCCGCACTCTGGACCAGGCCGTGACCTTGCGCACCAGCAATGATACATCCCTTGGCGAACATGTAGATAATAATGGGGACAAACAGCCACCAAAAGTCCTTCTTGTAGTTGTCATAGAACAGGCTGTACTTGCGCCATGTTTCCTTGTCTTCGTACAAGCCAGAGGTGTCACCTTCAGCTTTCTTGTACTTGCGAGCCATGTAGATGATGCGAGCCCCAAAGCCGAGGAGGATGGCCGTGAATGTGGCAAGGGTAACAGCTGCGAGGAGTTTGGCGGCCCATGAATCACCGTTCTTGAGCTGGTAAACACAGTATAGCACCCAGATGCTATAGAGAACAAGAATCAAGTTGGTGATCGTCCGCGCCATCAAGCCCCAGTAATCATTGCGAAATGTGGCGAGTTTCTTGGGGAAAGAGCCATATAGCCCCCAGATTTCCAGAATGACTTTGATGAGGAGAATGCCCACAACGATGACGGCAATGACAATGGCGAAGATCATGAGGACGGTCATGAACGTATTGGCTGCAGGAATCATCAGCTCCTCCGAAACGCCTTTGATTCCATCGATCACCTTGTGGAGGCCACTCCCGTCATCACTCGAGGAGCTATTATTTGTACTAGCGTCGAACGAGGTATCGATGGAACGCGAGACCAAGTCCGCAACTTGGACCACCTGGTCAAGGGCCCGCCTTTTAAGCCACGACGAGCCGCCGGATGATGAGCTCAGGTTCTTCAAGTACTGGAAATTGGCGTCTGTCAAGTTGCCTCCAGTCATTTTGCGAAAGTTGTCAATGGAGTTCTGCATGTCCGTCCACGGGATCAGGCCCGTACTCCAGGCAAAGTTCTTGCTGAAGCTCTTGTAGACTGTGGGATAGCTAACACTCAACATGCCATTGGTGGCCATGGTGTGAAACCACCCCATCACATCACCGAACCCCGGGCTGGCGGAAGGCGCGCCGGGATGACCCGCCGCGCCCATGGCAGACAGTCCGCTGAGTGCAAGGGCACCGGCTGCGATGCCCGCCGAAACATAGGTCACCGCAGGGATGTTGGTGGTCTTGCCGTTGGACAACTGGGACTCCACGCAGGCGACGTCTTCGTCACTGTCCTTGGAGTTGAGCACTAGCTTTGCCTGACCATCCAAATCAGGAATGGAGAAGGCAATGGAAGGAATTTGGCTTGCATATTCGGACGGAATGGCGAGCTTTCCCTGGGCCGAAAAGGAGCCGGACGGAACTACAACCAGCCAGGTCAGATAATTGAGAAGAGAAGCCAGACCAATTAAACTTACCAGGACATAATCTTGCAACGTGCACCTCGTCGTGGCATGGATCAAAGGACTTGGTGTAAACCTGCTTGCCGTACGCCGTGACGGTTATGGTGGCCGTGACATTCTGCACCTTGTCGTTGGTGCCGGCCACATCGAAAACCACTTCGTTGTTTGAGCGCGTGTAGGACACATCCAATTTCTGCACTTTAATGTCGGAGTCCGCCATGCACATATCGAATCCGGCCGTGGTCAACGTATCGGAGGCTACCGCTGCGGCAGGCAAGAGGCCGAGCAGAGCACTCCAGAGAAGATGAGTTCTCATGGTGGTCAAAGTCTCCCCCGTGTGGCGTTGGGCCAGATCCAAATATTGCCCAGTCGGACGGGGTTCTGCACGATAAATGTTCAAGAGGCGCGTGTTATTTCAATTCAGCAAGGATGGAAACGAGAGAAAGAAAAATGCAGGGTCAACCTGCAGAAGAAGATATGAAGAGGGAAAAAAACACCGGAGCGGTTCGCTGAGACAGAGCGCCCTGGATGGTGGGTGGAAGCGAGCGTGTGGAAAAAGAGCAGCAGCGAGAGACAGCAGAGAACGAGGGAATGGGTTAGATATTCGAGGAGAGGAAGAAAGGAAGAACGAAAGGAAGCGAGGATGTGAGGGAGTAACGAGTGAGGGTGTAAGGAAGAGATGGGAGTGTTTTGACCCCCCTGATATGATGGGCGTTTCAGGTTCTAGACTGGTACGACGGGAGCAAGTACCTTTCCACTATGGATACCTGAGAGAGGTACTTCCCGCCAGGTACTACAATAGCCTCCCGCTGGCCCATCATAATCCATGGCTCAGGTCGTCTCAGATGCTCCACTCGGTCTGGGCCTTTCGATGTGCCATATGTATCAGCCACGCCAGCGACTCCGTGAACAATTCCTAGTCGATTGGTGACTATTATTGTTGTTACTATTATTATTTATTTTTTTTCTTCTGGACTAGACACAACTCCGCGGTGGGCCTGGCAGAGTTTTTTTTTTCTTTTAGTTTCCCGCTCTGTATATACTGACAGGATATGGGTTGGGGCGCGACTTAATCAATGTGAGACATGGCAAATCCTCCATCATCCAATATAAAGTGAAATCACCGCTTCGTCTGTGCCTCGCGCATAGCCGCCCGTGCGCTTCGGCTGCCCCCAAGCTTCGGCCCTTTGGGCGCCTCCGTCGCGCTCGTCGGTTTCGTGGTGCGCACCCGCCGCCGTGACTGGATTGCGTCCAGGAAATCTCGCCGGAACTGCTCTGCAATCCGATCGTCCGCCGCCTGGTCATCTCCCAATCCTTCTTCCTCCGGCTCATCATAAACATCCACTGTTAAAGGTTAGCACGCATTCTCTGTTTCTTCCAAAAAAAAATACCAGCATACGTTTGCTCTCGCGCAACACCTCTTCCACAAGTCGATCTCGCTCGATGTCGGCGCTTGTTCGTCGCTTGCGATGCCGCCACCGCTTAATCTCATGATCTGGCTGTTGCACCTTGGTCGCGGCTATATCGTCATCACCCGCGAGTCTTCGTGTCGCAGCTTCGGTTCGCGCAATATTCTGCAACTTGATCTCCTGGCCAAGGTCGATTTCATGAAGTTTGCCTAGCGATGCTGGCTCGCGTTGCTGCTGCTCCGGGATTGTTCCACCGGCGCTTCCTTCTGCAATCGGTGGACCGACTGTTGAAGAGTCTGCACCTGACTTTCTTTGAGCGCGCTTAGCCAGTTCGGACTCTATATAAGCCATCCTTATCTCGTTAGTCCACATCTCCCGAGCACCAAGAGCTACGGCGAAGGAGGGTCCGTACATATGCTTATCAACATCGACTGTCTGGCCGGTGTAGCCCGTAAATCGGTCGCCCATAGCCTGAAGGCGCTCATTCTCCGGGTCTTCAGCGGGAACCAGCCTGGACTGGCGGCTCCCGTCTGCGCCAGGGCGTGCGGTGGAGAACTCGATCCCGCCTTTTCGAGGTCGTGGTCGACGAAGAGGACCGGTTATATGTTGTTGAGAGTAGTCGGCTTCCGGCGGGGACTCTGGCGCGCGATCATCGTCGATGGCGGGAGAGTGGCTAGCAATATCGTCGGATTCGTGGTCAGGGCGCCGCCGAGCGAACTTACGCCGCTTCATGGGACGGAAGAGAGGCTCAGAGGTAGCATCAGCATCCATTGAAGCTAGTTGTGTTCAAAGATCAGCAAGTATGGTTTGTGGATGTGTAACTGTGTAGAAGTCGAGGAAGTGAAGGGGCAAATAATCGTCCGCCCCCGTCACCGCCCGCGCAAACCACTCAGCACTCACTCTCACCACCAGCCTTCCCTCCTTGTCTCCCTCTGCACCCGCGCAATCCTCACGATGAATTCCTCCAACCCTCCTCAGGCTGCCGAATATGGTGGAGGTATGTCCACCAATTTCATGCGACCCCTCTTCTCACTTGCAATTGTCCCCGTCTCTGTCCCGTCCCGCATCTACAAATACTGACTGCTCGCGCCGGTAGATGAGGTTTCTGCCATTGTTCTAGACCCAGGATATTCCACCACTCGCGCTGGCTTTGCCGGTGAAGACGCACCCAAGTCTCTGATCCCTACATACTATGGCAAGTACAACGCCGACGGTCAAGAGAAGCTGATCTTCGGTGATGATGTGTTCGTCACCCCACGACCTGGCCTATCGGTCCACAATCCAATCGGCAAGGATGGCATTGTTGAAGACTGGGATCTGGCAGAGAAAGTCTGGGAATACTCGTTTACTTCGCGATTGACTGGCGCTAAGCCCGGCAACCCTTTCCAAAATGGCTTGAACGACATCTCCAACGAGGAGCTTCCAACAGAGATGGAGGTGGAAACGGATGAGAAACCCCTGGCCGACAGTCCTCTGCTCATGACCGAGTCTGGATGGAATCCAGCCAAGGCGCGTGAGAAAACAATTGAGATCGCCATGGAGAGCTGGGGCTCCCCGGCTTACTACCTGGCACGCACGGGTGTCCTTGCCGCGTATGTCTTTCTTTTCACTGTCATGTTCTTTGTACAACGCTGACAATTTTGGCTGGTTTAGTTTTGCCTCTGGGAAAGCTTCTGCTCTCGTGGTTGACATTGGCGCTTCCAATATCTCCATCACGCCGGTTCACGATGGTATGATTCTCAAACGAGGCGTACAGCATTCTCCGCTGGGAGGCGACTACATCTCGTCGCAGATCCGCGCCTTGTTCAAATCCAACTCCCCACAACCCATCACGATCACACCGCACTACCTGATCAGCTCGAAGACTGCCGTCGAGGCCGGCCAGCCGCCCCAAGCGAAGTACAAGACCTTCCCTCCCGAGAAGGCGCCGGACGCGTCCTACCGCTCGCTCCTCGAGGACCGCACCCTGTCCGAGTTCAAGGAATGCGTGGTCCAGGTGTGGCCCGGGCCGAACAAGCTCGCTGCCACCGGTCCCACGGGCGTCTCCAATGAGGAGATGGCCCGAACCACCCCCGGCCGGCCCTTTGAGTTCCCTGATGGGTACAACCAAGTCTTCGGTGCTGATCGTTTCCGTGTGGTGGAATCGCTCTTCGATGCCAAGGCCGCCCTTCCAGACCCGGATTCGCCTTTCCCTGCCCCGACACAAGCTCAGACTATTCCGGAGCTCATCAAGGCCTCCCTCGGCGGCGTGGATGTCGACATTCGGCCTCACCTGCTGGCGAATGTGGTGGTAACGGGTGCATCGAGCTTGCTCTATGGCTTCACGGATCGTCTCAACCACGAACTGATGCAGCTCTTCCCCGGACCGAGAGTGCGTATATCCGCCCCCGGTAATACTGCCGAACGACGTTTCGCCTCCTGGATTGGAGGCAGCATCCTAGCCAGTCTGGGTACTTTCCACCAGATGTGGATCTCCAAGAAGGAGTATGAGGAGCATGGCCCTAATATTGTCGAGAAGCGCTGCAAGTGAGACTTTTCTTTCTAAAATTTGATTGGGTTCTTTATGGCCGTATTATGAAGTGTGTTCCTTGCTGTCATTGTCGGCCTCTGTGTTCTCATTTCGGGGCGTTTGTGTTTTTGCGCTGTTTTTAGGGCGCTTGGGGAGATATCTGAGCCAGTCCAGGTTGAGGCCCTGGCAGCGAGGCCCTGACGAAAAAACAGATTCTAGACGCTTTTTGTACGAATAATACCATTTGCCTTGCGGGTTGTCCAATGTTCGGATTGTTCCGCTTGTTTTATGCAGAGGTGCCAAGCTCACCATTATGTAAAAGTTGATGTATAAAAACAGGGTATCCTGGGTAATCCTTTCCAACCAAAGAAATTTCTTGCGAAAGAGTGGTGCAACGATATGGGGAAAAGCCCGTTCAAGCTCGGGGACAGTCGACAGTGCGAGGTCTAGTCTCAGCAGTGACCGGCCGACTCACTGGGTGAAACGGCGAACTGGGTGTCGGAGGTGGCACTGTTGGAAGCGCAGTGATTATTGAGCTCGCTTCATCGGCCACATCGCGGGCGTTATCTTTTTCACTGTATCGATCCAATTCCTCGTCTAGGTTCGTTTGAACTGATAACACATGTATCCGAGGGGCCGTTTCAGGTCTTGATCTGAACGAGTAGGTGTTCAGAAGCTCAGGCGCGTGCACCCATGACATCTGCCGCTCCAATTGGGCCTTGGTCAGAGTCGTTTTTATGTTGGCTGAACGAGCTCGTGTGTTTTTCGTGGATCTCGCTCGGAATATGCTGCGGGGCCAGTCCTTGGTTTTTGGTGGCAAATTGGGACTGTATGCTGACTTCTTAGCCATGTTGTCCCATGCCTCCACCACGCGGTCCGCCTTCAGGTAATGCGAAATATGCTCCTTCATGGTATTCCCTCGGCCAATAAGCGGTGTCTGGGTCTGCTGCTGTCCGGACTGTGACGCGGACTGTTGCGTGCGCGGGCGTCCACTCGTGTAAAGAGCCTTCAAATTCTCTATTGAGACGCTGCGTGAGGGTCGAAGCGTCCTCGAAGGGGCTGTTGCGGGTCGATTCTCTGTCGTGTTGAGTCTTTCACTGACGGATCTTTTTGGCAGGAAAGATCTGGAAAACTTTCTAACAAGTCTGCCTGGCGTTCGAGGGGAAGATGATGACGCGGGTTCAGGGACCTCGGCTACTACTCCCAATGCACTGCATGATTTGGCACGATTCAAGGCTCTGGGCTGAGAGTCAACGTTCGTCATAACGTTGGCGCTATTGGGGTCCGGTTCGCCATTCTCTGTGTCTGCTGCAAGGTCGGTCGTCTTTGAAGTCGTTGGCGTGGATTTCGGTTTAATCACGCTAGGGGCCCGTGGAAGAGGCTTGTTCGAAACGGGCCGAGATGAGAGGGTAGAGGGCCTTTTTTCAAAGAGTTTTTGCCTGACCGACCTGCGACGAACTGGGCCTCGATTGGGTACTTGGATGGAAGACCGCAAAGGCTTCCTGCTGGCTACACCCACTCGTCGTTGCATCTCGGTAACTGCCAGATTGAGATCGCTCAGTGCCTTGTGAAGAGATGTGGCTTGTCGACGAAGTTTTGAGAAAGCATCCATCCAACCTTCCATGTTGTCTGCCATGGCCCGATAGAAAGCATCAAGACTCTCTGACACAAAACAACCTTCATCCGCGAGCTGCCGCAAATAGTGCCAAAGGGCACGCATAGCCTCCTTTCCTTTGCGAATGTCTTTGAGAGAGTCGGTAATGGCAACCGTGAATCGTTCAATCGCGTGCTCGATCTGATCGTTGTAGGAGATAAGCGATAGTCGGAAGTTGCGGTCATCCAACATTTCATCAAACGCCTCTAGGTTCCCGAGAGGGAGACTCAGGTACTGGATTCTAGTGTAGACATCCAGGCGAATGATCAAGAAGTCCTCCGTCGTCCTCTCCAAAAATCCGTCCATCTCATCCACATGCGTCTGTAGGATTTTCATGACCTCTGCCTCTGATTTCGCCTGTCGCTTTGCTAGGAGATGCACGCCAAAGACCATCTGAGAGCTCAATTTCCAGAAAGGATGGTACCTTTCGGTTTCTCTTTGGCGCCATTTCCGGCCACACAGCCGTTCGTACTCGTCGTTCTCTAGTAGATCTCGTCGGCGCGACTGTGCATCCATCTCGACGACCCATTCGCTTTCTGGGCCATCATTCGTCTCCACGATTGATTCCTCGAATGGAGCCTGAAGTTGGGAGATTGGATGGGCGGGATAATCGGCTCGTTTTTCCTCCAAAGCCGCCAGGGCTGTTGGGTTTTCCATGGCTTCTGGCCTGGGAGTTGGCCTGGGAGCCATAGGTATGCACAGTATGTGTGTTGTGGATGTATAGAGCGCCGTCGTATATGGATCAAGTTTCGGAAGCCACCCTTCGGAAGGGCAAATTCTTGTTAAGCCGCAACGCGCAGCGGCTGCTCAGATGCATCCGTCCGGGACAGTCGAGGAATCGAATGACGATCCGAACTGAGGGTCTGGCGCTGATCGGAATTAACGCGAAAACGCAGAACCGGCTATCACTCGATCGCGCAGTATGTCGTGTGGGAGGTTGAGAACCAGCCTGGGAGGGGAATCAACCGAGAGTGAAAGAAGGAAGCGAGTTCTTTGATCTGCGACAATCTTTGTGTCAGGGGGCCCCCTGGGGGACATTCCCGAGGCGACAGGCGGTACTCGTTGACAAAAAAGGATGTGGAGATCCACTGACAGCTTTGATTCGAACCAGGGAATTGGAATTCCACCCGAAACAGGCTAGCCCACAGCGGATCTCTTGTCGCCCACGAGTGAAGAGCCCGATCGGACGGGCTCCACCGGGTTTCTTTGTCAAAATGATATTAGCCAGACTCGCGATCTCGCAGGGATAAGGATCGGCAATGTGTGTGCGAAGCCCACGTATCATGACCTCGGGCAGTCTGATTGGTGTCTATTTCCGTCGGTCGGTTTCGTTCTCTGCATCATTATTGCGGGTCCGGCTCTGCTCCCTCCTCCATGAAGATGGGATCCCAGAAGTTCGTCGGCAGGGATAGATCGAAAAACTCGCCAAAGAGCGTATCAATGTCCGTAAACCCTTGCAGAGGCGCCTCCAGATCGGTGAGTCCGGCTTCGAAGGATTCTGCTACATCAGGGGTAGGGGGCACAACCGAGAAGCCATCGCGCTCCTCAGGGGCGGCAGCTTCGGAGCTACTATTATTGTTCAGGGGGCCAGAAAAAGCTGGGGCCCTTGACTCTGCCGAAGCTGCATGGCCGGGGTAGGGTACATGATGATGTGATGGCTCGTGTGACTGGCCTGAGTGAGAGGGTTGGAGGCTATCAATCTGATGCACCGCTTTGCGCCCAAGCCGAGCCATCGCTTCGGCCCAGTACCAATAGACGCTCAGTGTTTCCAACAGGGAGCACGACGCCTCTAGGCTCCCCTTGGCTCGGTCAATGTGCGTGATCAACTTACTCGAGCGCAACTGACGGTAGGAGACACCCATTGATAAAGTGATCGCATACGGCACCAGGGGAAGAGGGGGCAATTCATCGGCGCATTCAGATGCGACAATGGAGTGGATCCGGACGGCCGCAAGTCCCTGCCGAACGGATGAGAGCTTGGAGCTATCAAGGTGTTCGGCGACCTTTTGCCGGCATGACAGAATGGCGACGGCATGATAGTAAAGTTCCAAGAAGCCTACATCAATTTTAGTTCCGGTTGGATATGAAATAAATAAAAAAAAACAATTGCGTGGGGATGAAACGCACCAAGAGTAGCAAAGTCCAGGTCTTCTTGAGTGTTCTCTCCCACAATATCCTCGAAGGCCGGGAACCCTTCCTCCCATCCACTGGTGGTGGTGTCAGCCGAGGGTCGATAGAACGAGATAACTGTTGCTAGCAGGTCGGAGATGGCAAGCCACACTGCAAATGCTCCCCGCGACTGACGGTCGTTGAAATTGGGTTTCCCGATCCCAATGTCCCGGTCGGCTAAGAGAACTGGCCGGCCCCCAATACATGCATGCATCTTGTCCAACGTCCACAGGCACCAAAAAAGCTTAGTGGGAGGATCGGTTGATGTGCGACCTGGCCGGTCAAGATGCAGACCAATGGTTTGGGACTGGTGAATAGCCTGACATAGGTGCATGGACGCCGCTTCCGCGCCTTCGTATCCCTCGCAGTGCAAAGACATCAATGCAAGCACGCGGATGCGTGTCAAGCGATCTGGCTCAATTTCAGCATCCATGGCAGCGATGAGTCCTTTGTAGATTTCGGAGCAGAATTGACGCGGCGCCATGATGGGACCGTCCGCCGTCAGGCGTAAATGAGGACCAGCAGCACGGTGTTTGGCTGCCACGAGGCATATTGCTCTTTCCAGGAACACGCTAGCGGAGCCCTCTACTTGTGCCTGAAGAAATGCCTCCGGATCAAGGAGTGGTACAATCCCATTGACCTTGGTGAGATATATATCTGTAAGATAGTGCCGGGTCGCCGCTGGAAGCCGCTCGCATGCCTGCATGGCACTGACATAACGTTGATGTAACAGGGACGCAACCGAATGGCCTGCTAATGCTGCCTGAGAAGGGAGAATTGATCGAGCAGCATCCACCCTTGGACCTTGATGTTGGTCGGCGTGGGAGTCGTCCCTTTGGGCAGCAGAACTAATCCAAAGCCCAATGCGGTCCCGCAGAGGGGTTCCTGTCGACTCGTCCAATCTTTCTCGAATCACCGATTCCGGATTGAGATCTCCGACAAACCGATCTGTTGCCGGGAAAGAGGGCGAAACTCGGCCGGCAGGCGTGGTGTTCGCCGGGCCGAGGAGTAAGCCGGTCGGAGCATCCCTGCCTCCCGATGACGATCCATGGGCACTAGGCTCAGCCAGCCTGGAATTCGGGGCCAGATGTCGACAGCGTTTCTTCGGGTTGATCAGCTCTCGAGCTCGACGGAACTTGGATATCTGGTACAACACACCTTTCGACGCTGGCAACTGGGACAAGCGCGCAGGGCCCGAGCGCGACTGCGCGACTGGGGAGTATCGGCGAGCCAGGTAAGTTCCATGACCTTGGCAGTAATACACTCAGCTCCCTGTCAGCACTACTGTTTGTTCGTTGTCGAATGGACCGTTGTGTAGTTATCTCAACTAATAAACGGAGTTAACTTACTTAACTTAGGGATCGGAAGTGACTAAGCATGGAACTACCTGATAGCTATAACCAACCTAGGTAACGGATTCATCATATCAATCCTTCTACAACCGCCGTGATACGGCAAGGAATGTTGGAAACAATGAAAATAGACATTAATGGGTCTGAAATTTCCGAGTACTCCATAGACGCCAATCAACAAGAGAAAGTCGGAGAAGTAATAGCTACTCTTCCTCTGCAGCTACCAGGGCTTCCAGAGCATCCGCATCATCAAATTCGTCATCCTCCGGTACATCCTCAGTCTGCTTCAGAGGCTGGTCTTCAGACACCAGTTTAGCAGTCGAAGCCTGATCAGCCAGGGTAGAATTCTCCTTATTCGAGGATGGAGTCGGCGTAGCTTTCGGTTTGGTCGGCCCCAGGCTCCAGTCGATGATCCCGTCGGCCCCGTAGCGCGTAGCAAGCCAGTCGTTGCATTTCTTAAAATGGCCGTTATCAAACTGCATCCCCTTGCGTTAGAGTTTCACATATGATAGGGGACAAAGGTCCACTCACAAAGCCTCGGTGAGCACTCAGTGGACTCGGGTGCACGGATTGCAGCACGCAGTGCTTCTGTCGATTGATGCCGGCAACCCGCTTGCCAGCAGGAGTGCCCCAGGCGAGAAAGACCACCCCACGCGTTCGGACTTTGGCAACCAGGTCAATTGCCTTCTGAGTAAGTCTCTCCCAGCCCTTGTTCGAATGGCTGTTGGCGTTATGCGCACGAACAGTGAGACACGTGTTCAACATCAAGACACCTCGATCCGCCCATGGCGTAAGAAGTCCGCCGTTGTCCGGCGGTGCCTGGAAATCCGGGTAGTTTTTCTTAATGCCTGCGTAGATGTTGACCAGCGACGGTGGAGCCCGCGTGGGCGGCCGGACAGAAAATGCTAAACCGTGTGCCTGGTTGTGGTTGTGGTACGGATCCTGGCCGATGATGACGACCTTGACGTTGTGCAGAGGGGTATGCCGGGACCTAGGTCGTGGTCAGGGTACGCAGATCACCGAGTCCATTTCAGGTGCCTTACCAAGAGTACACATCTTCCTCTGGGGGGAAGATTTTGGCCCCCGAGTCTTTCTCTTTCTTGAGAAAACGCTTCAATGCGAGGAACTCGGGGGTGACGCACTCGTCCTTGAGATGGGCCAGCCAACTTTCGTCCAAGGTGTCAATCTCCAATTTCAGTAGCTCCTTCTGCTCCGGGGTCAATGTCGCCACCCATTTGTCCTTGTTGAAACTGCTGGGGCGTGCTGGAGCGGGTGTTGTATTCGTCGCTTGTGTCGTCAACGGCTTCGCCTTGGGGGGCCCGAAGAAGGACACGATGCTGGCGTTGCCCTTGGGCTTCTTTGCATCCGACCCCGGGGTGGAGAGATGGCCCGCGTTGCGCTTCAGGGTGGCCGGGCTCGACATGGCAACGATACGCAAAGGGCGAGAGATACGGGAGAAGTGGAGCAGATGGAGCATACACGGCCGCCAGATTCTGTAGTTTTCAGAGTCGGGAAGGGGAAGCAGTCCATTGACCGCGTCGCGCGTCGATGACTCAGCACCGAGCATCAGCCCCAAATGGACCACTCGAAGGACTTACAACTACAATACAAGTGCTGATCGTGATGTGCGTAGCAAGACCATTCATTGACGGGAATACAATAGGCTATATTGATAGTACATTGCGTACAACTCCTCGTTTACAGCTCGTCATGCTCGGCCTCGGCAGGAGCAGGGGTCTCGGCTGCCGCCGGCGCGGTCACATCGCCTCCCTCCTGGGGCTTGCTCTCACCACTAGCCACGCCCTCGACCTTGTATTTGCCGTTCTCCTTGATGAAAGCGACCAGGTCCTCCACGGTGCGAGACCCAGAATACTCAATGGGTTCGTCCTTGGAACCGGCCGGGTAGAGCTTGATGGTAGGGAAGCCAGTGATCGAATCCGGGACGTCGTTGGCGGTGGCGTCGATCTTAGCAATGGTGACCTTCTCGGCCAGATCACCAGAGTACATCTCGGCAAGCTCGTCATACTTGGGCGCAAGAGACTTGCAATGACCGCACCACGGAGCATAGAACTCCAGCAGGACATCCTTGTCGTTGTCAATGACGAGCTCCTGGTAGCTCTTGCCGACAACAACGGTGACCGGGCCCTCCTGGGTCTCGGGGACGGGCTCGGACTTGATGCTAGGCTCGATCTTGCCATCCAGAACGTCCTGGATGAACTTGCCGACGGCCTTGGCCTCGATCTTTTTGCTCTGATCGTAGGGGTACTTGACGTTCTTGGTGGTATCCTGGATGGCAAAGGCCGGGAAAGTCTCTGGCTCCAGGTTGAGATTGCCGGCGTGGGCACCAAACAGCTTGGCATCCAGGGTGACAATGTTGATGGCACCGCGGTGCTTCTCGGCGATCGGCTTGAACTCGTTGGTGAAAGCCTCGCGCTCCTCTGCGGTCTCCGCGAAGATGTACGCCAGCGGAATACCAGCCTGTGGATGATAAGATCAGTCATGAAATCGGACTGGGAAATAAGAGGCACGCATTTGACGTACCGTGATATACTTGGAGTAAGTCTCAGGGCCCAGCTCACCAACAAGCGGAGTGCTGGCGATGTTGACCCATTCCAGAATGGCCTCGTTCTCGAGCTTGCCATCGAACACGGCCTTCTTCTCATCGAAATCCTTGTAGAGAACAATCGAGGGCTGCTTAACACCCTGCGCCTTGGCGAGGGCGGCGTCGTTGGAAGCAGCGAACAGGTAGTTGTCTCGCTGCGACTCAGCAAACGCGGTGAAGCTCTTGTTGGAAGCCTTGTCATCCGACGCGATGTAGCCAATGATCACAATTTTGTCCATCGTCTTGAATTCCTCCAAGTTCTCTTCGGTCACGCTCGACACAGCCGGGAACGACTGCTTGGTCATGTATGAGACGATCCTATCAACAACCCGTTAGCTTGTAGTCGATCGAACCAGGGACTGTCAAGACACCACGCACGATTCGGTCTGACGGGCACCACCATATGGCTTGGGGTCTTCCGCTCCACGGAACACCTTCAAAGTCGGGTATCCATCGACGTCGTAGGTCCGGCACAGCTCTTCCTCGGCAGTGCAGTCGATCTTGACCAAGGGAATGTCCTTGGCCTTCAGCTCCTGCGCTGCTTCTTCATACTTGGGGGCGAGCGCCTTGCAGTGACCGCACCACGGAGCATAGAACTCGGCCAGGACCAAGGGGTGCTCCTTCACGAAGCTGTCAAAGGTATCCTTGGTCAACGAGATGACCGTCGAGTCAGCATCCGCGTCTGCCGCCGGCTCCGAGGCCGAGACCGCGACCGTGACGCTGAGAAGGCTCACGGCCCAAGAAGCGAAAGATCGCATGATATGTGTGTATGGGGCGTGAGTGAGTGAGAAGTCACGACAGTTGAGAATACCCGTCTCCCGATGCTGGTGGTAGTTTGGCGAGGGATGTATCTACCCGGGACAGATAGATGGGTTAACGAAGAGGAAGAAGAAACAGAAGCAGACGACCAGGGAAGAAGGCAGATGCTTACCCAAACCGAGGGGGGAACTGGAGAAGTATGTATTTAAGTGGTTTGTTTGGGGGCGAGTTGAGGACAGATGTTCTTTGGGGCGGTGGAACAGCGCAGCGTTGTGACTGGCGGAGGTATGCAAGGCCCGCAGGGAAGGAGGCCAGGGCGAGAGGGACATCGGTCCCGGGGGTTGGCCTTCGTATTCAGCTACGGTGTTACACAGTGGGAGTAATAATATTGTATTGAAGACGAATCCTCGGAATAATCCTTTTTGCTTTCTACGACGGTACCACAAGGGCCCCTCCTGCGCCGTCAGGATGCGCCTCCCGGATGCTCCCATACCCCGTCGCCTCTGGAATGTCATCGAGCTCCGTCCTCAACGCCAAGGCATCCCGTTTTCCACGCTCGACATCGACCAGGAGCATGAGGGGGAGCGGCAGGAAAATGAGGACCGCAAGAAAAGCAAACGCCGGTCTGATCTCTCCATACCGGTCGGTGATAGCGCCCACAATGGCGGGCCCGAAGACACTCGATCCTTTATCGGTAATCGCAAAAAGCGCGTAGAATGCCGCCTCGTATCCCGGTGGAATCAGCTCGCCGAAGAAGCTTCGGCAATACGAAGAGAGGCCGCCCATGACCAGGCCGTAGACAGCACCCAGCGGGTACATCTCCCACGGTCGTTGGAGCCCAAAGCCTGCGCGCTGCACGGCAGGAATGAACCCGAGCAAGCCGTAAATTGGGATGAGCTCAAAGAGCAAAATACAGGCAATAATCGTTTGTGAGGCCCGCAGATTCAACAGCCGGGAAAGATAGCCCCAGGAAAATGCCCCAAACACCCCAGCCAGCATGACGATCACGTTGATCAGCCCCAGCGCAGCAGGCCGCATGTGGAGTTGAGTTTTGGCAAACAGCACGGCTGTGCCACTGACGGTTGCAATTCCATCGCTAAGAAGGAACCATGCAGCCAGAAAGATCACAAGATCCTTGAGATGACGTGCTCGTATCGCGGTCTTTCCCAGGGACATCCAGGCATATACAATGTATCCGATCCAGGTGTTATGCCGCTTCCCATCATTGGGAGCGATCAAAGGCGGGCCAGGACGAGGGCGTAGCCAGAGGGCCGCAGGGATAGTAAAGATGCACCACCACAATCCAATGAGAAAAAGCACCAGGCGCAGCGAGAATGTTGTCTGATGAGTGAGCATGACTACAAGTATCGCGATGATCTGCATGGTCACGGCTCCGATATAACCAATGCCAATACCATAGGACGAGATCTTGGTGGAGAGCTGAAGATCTAACGAGGTGGGCGAGGCAGAAAGATCAGAAGTCGCACTCCTCGACGCGAGCAATGGTTGAGAGGCATCAGGGGCTGCCTCGGGAGTGTCTTCAGGTACCAGCCCACTGGTAGGGGAGGATACCTCTCCGCCTGCCTCGAGGATAACAGGGTGGTGGCGGACCAGAACAGGGAGAAAAGAATTCAACAGCACAAAAGATGCACCGAAACAGGTATTTCCAATGATCGCTAGGAGGCCGCCCAGCAGATAGACTCTAGGGACCACAGCAAGAAACAACATCATCGAAACAGAGCCCAGAAACGCAAAAGTGACCAAAAGGGTCTTGCGGTAGCTTCCATGGTCGGCCGCGCCTGACATGGATATAATAAGGAGTGCTTGGATCAGCACGCTGATGGAAAAGGTGTATAGAGCAAAGCTTGCAGTGTTAATCTCAGCTCCGAGAACGTAAATAATGCACTGGTCGGCTTCCGGCGCACGGCCAGCCCCTGAATGAGCTGGCGTCTGCCATGTTGCGCTACATGGTGTTGTCTTGTCCGACAGAAGAAAGCCTCGATCCCGAGCCATCTGCTCCAGGGTGATCGGGAGGAATGAGCCTATCCGGTATCAGATTCAGGACTGGGACATTGAAAATGTCAAGAGAATCGGGGTTTCACATACCCATTGCGCACACAGTGAACACCTCGGCCGCCCAGCCATAGCCATACCAGCCCGCCAGCTCCTTCTTACTGGTCGGGCGGATATCGTCCCCGGGATACTGGGGCTGCAACGAGCAAGGCACGCCCTCCTCTTCCTGCATGCTCATGGTTTGATGGGTGATGGCATGGCGGGGAACAATGATTCGGTCGGGCGAGAAGACCTTAAGAGGACGAAGAGGATGAACGAGCGAGTGTGAGTGACGCAGTCATGTGGATGGATGGACGCCTCAGGCAGAGATCCCGCAGGCCCCAGGCATCAAGGCACTCAGGCACCTAATGCTACCGTCCCGTGCTTGCGCATCGCGCCGCCCATCCATCGTTCCATCGATCTTTCTCAGCCCGAGTCAGTCTCATCCCTCTCTCTCACATCCCTCCAGCTCTGATCCATCCTCACCCCCGACTGATCATCCGCCTCTCACCGGACCTGGACACGCTTTCCATCTTTTCCTTTCAGCCTCACCACGCCGTCGATTCGCTCCTTCGAACGATCCCTTCTATTTGGCTCCGTTAGTCCTCATCTCTTTGCGACAACTTGCGACCACCTGCGATCCCTCGGATTTTGCGCTGTGGTTCTTGTCGTCTCTCAACACAAGCTGCATTCAATTGAAGAGCGCTCTTGTGAGCGGTCCTTCCCCACGCTCCATTGTGTTGCCGTTTCGACACTTCGCCGACACAGGCCCCCAACTTGACTCGGGACGCTACGCGCGCAGCTACGTTGATTATGAACGTGGTCATCTGCGTGTACCACGGCCAGTGAGACGCATGGCAATTGGCTGAGCCTTTGCTCCTGGCTTATTCTTCAGTCTTGGCTTCCCTTCCTCACCCCCGAACGCCGGCTGTCTCAAGCTCAGAACGGCGCCTGGACTGGGCTGCTCGCTCTGTGCGGTGCAGAGGGCCAAGGAGGGGAAGGCGCGGAAGGATAAACTACAGCTAGGCTGTCTGTTTGGAGATGCCCGGCGTCATCATGGACAATGCCAACATCGATGGACCTATCCAGCGCCCTGGCATCGCTGATGCTATGAATGGTGCATCAACCTCAGCTGAGAAGACTGGCAATTTTTCCAGCTCCATTAATGGTCCGGTTCACCTCAACGGGACCTCAGTCGATCTTTCAAATCGCCAATCGAAAGCGCCGACGAGCAGAACGGCTGGATCGACACCGGCCGAGCCCTTTGAAATACCACACATCACCCAAGGGTTTTTCTCATTTGGGGTATTGGTCAATCGAGCGACGCAGCAATGCTGGAATGACCTGTCCGAATTGATAACAGAGTTGGCCGCCGTTCAAGTGGCTCCCCCTAGAATCAACCTCTCTGACTACTACCAATGGCAAGTCTCCTGGGAATCAGTCGTCGGAAAATGTGCACAAGAAACTACGAGTCCTGGACTTCGCCCATGCCAAGAGAGCCGAGTTTATCAAACTCCTTGTTCTCTCGCAATGGAGTCGCCAGGCCGTAGATGTCAGCCGACTCATTGACCTCCAGGGCTTTATTCGAACTCGACATCAAGCATATGCTGCTGCTGTCCAATATGTGGGTGAAATGAAACGGGACCTCGTTCGAGCGCAAGTGGCCAATCCAGATCTGAAAACCGCCCTGGAAGTGCTCTCGAAAGGCCGAGTGAAATCCTTACCAGATGTGAGTTTTTTTGAATCACCTTCTAACAAAGTCTCTCTTCTGACCTCCTGTTTCAGCTTGGCTACAAACCTCCGAAGCCGCTGACGGCACGCGCCACGCTTAAAAAGCTGCAAAAAATCAATCGAATCATCAGCATACGTCTAGCTTTGCATGATGAAGTCCCGATCCCTCTGCGGAACTATAGAGTTCACGATGGTCGAGTTACCTTCACTGTTTTCGGGGAGTTTGAGCTCGACCTCTCAGTTGCAGAGGAGGCAAAAAGCTCTCAGTTTTTCTTCGTTGACATCCGCTTTCTGTTCTCACCTTCATCCCCAATTCCAAAAGGCCGGATTTTCAACGAGCTGGATGCCAAAATTAACGACGTTCTTCGAGACGACGGTTTGATCGGATGCTTTGAGGTCCTACACGGCCTTGTGCTCACAAACAAAGTCAGCATCCTTTTCAGACAAGCAAAAGACCTTGCTCGCGGCCTCTGGTCGGACATCCTGCGCATTGAACTTCTCCATCGAACGCTTGTTGTCCAATATTGGCCGTTGAAACCGGGGCCTAAAAGCTGGATTGAGCTTGGAGTCCAGAGAGGTCACCGCAGCAACGATGTTAACAGTCAGGATTGCAGGATGACGCATATCGGTTTGCGCTGGATGCGAGATGGCCAGCAAGCAAACAGTGATGACATCCAGCTCGATCTGGACGTTCTTTCCATGGAGCGTATTTTGCGCGGTGTGATCGCACAGCATACAGCCCACTTACTTTCTACCGCGTACACCACACTCAAGAAAAACCTCCTTTTCTCGAATCATTCTCTTACCTTACGGGCACAGCTATCTCAATCAGAGCCTGGAGATTGCCATCTCGATGTCCAACTTACAACTTCTCGCCATCTCCGAGTCTCTATGGAGCCCATGTCGGGCGCCATTACATTGTCCGGGACACCTAATGCCATGGAGCGGCTGGAAGCCGACCGGAGCCCGAATAGGTCCTCAGCTGATGATATCGTATCTCGAATCTCAAGGCTTCGTTGCATTGCCGCTGTTGAAGAAATCGAAGCCGGCACAAAAGCGCTTGGCCTGGAAACCGTCAGCCAAAGAGGTCTGGGAGTTGACCCGCGCAAAATATTTCCTTCAAATATTTTGCGATCTACCTTCTTCACACACTACCTCTGGGATCGTCGTTGGGTTGCCGCTGCTACAAGTAGCATGGATGGTGATCATTGGTGGTTGATTCAGGTTCAGCCAGATAGGACAGTGAAATCTGCACCACCGTACGGCCCTGTTGGTCATAACGCTTCGAGTCTCCAGTCGGTCCACAAGGTTAGCAATACTCTGGTCTCTGAGGGGCGACTTGACTACGCTGCGCTTGCAGATCTAGTGCATGCTCTGACAGGAATGCTTTCAATCTACGCCAATGCACGCTGTCTGTCAAATTTGCCGAGTATGGACTTTCATCCATCTTTGGAAAATCTGCACCTCGGGACTCAATTTGAAGTGCCGGATCTTTTCTTCCGCTACAACGTCTCACATCTTCCTTCTGCTTTCCGGATAGCATTGCCTGCAGGGCTAGAGAGGAAATCCTATGTACAGGACACTGTTCGTCTGGCATTTCATGGAACTGATCGCCGTAATCGAGCTGCTCTTCTTGTGGCATACGGCACTCTGAGAGGCCGCATCAAAGCCATTGTTCCACTTATCTCAAAGATGGATCCCTCAATCATTACACAAGACAATGGTGGTGGTTTTGCACTACGTCTGCTTGTTCCTGCCGGTCACTCTGTGATCGTTGGGCTTCTTGAACGCCTACAAAGACTGGAATGCGTACTCTCGATTCTGCAGCCTCTTATACAAAGAGGAATGGAGCCTCGTTCCTTGTCCTTGTCAAGGATTGCATTTGCCTATGGGCCAGCAGGAAAACTCAATGCGCGCTTTGACATCAACGTCTCAGGCCCCTCATTATCCGCGCAAATTGATGTCGCGGAAGCATTGTCCAAGGCCCAGTCCCTCTTTCATCTACGCCTGGGTATCCATTTTGACGGTCCCAGCCCTCATCGCCGGATCCAGGAGTCTCTTACCGTCTCGTTGAACCATGGTTTCGCAAAAACGGGCGTGGTTCCGATTCTGAGACTCATGTCTGTCACTCTTCCTCTATTGCGTGCCTTGGATCAAATTACCTCCGCTGGCCAAGCGGATTCTCCGGTGGTGCACGTTATTGTGCGTAGTCCGAGCACATTTCAAATCCGCTATCCTCGGCTCAAGGCTCGGCTCCAGCTGTTTCCTCACCTGCATCGGGGTCATCTAAAGTGGGGATTGAGAAATGCGAACCGATCAAAACCAGCCGATGATAATCCAGTCGCAAGCATGATCCGTGAGAAGCTTTATAATTCCAAGGGCGATGGCTGGAACGGTCTTGGCGATGGTGCGGTGGCAGACATGGGTAAAGTGGGAGTTCTCCTTGTGGAGCTCAACAATGTCGCTCGCCAACTTGAGCTCAGCGGGGCATCGCTAGAGGAAGGTGGCAAGGACCAGCCAAGCATTGCACAGTCGACCGCAAAAGAGCAACACCCTGCCAAGGACAACGTGGGAGCTCGTGCTCCTTCGGGAAAGGCGCCTGGTGCGCATGCCAACCTGGATTCTAAGCTCAACGCTGGCGGAATGGGAAGCGCCGACATCATCACGATTGATTGAGGAGATCATTACGATCGCAGGCAGCCGGGGCGGGTGGTTCAAAGGGGAGACGATTTCTACGATGTCTTTTGATATTCGTTCTCTGACCGGACAGCGAGGCCGTCTCTAATTTCACGACTGTATTCCTAGACTTCATATAGCATAAGCTAATGATCACCTTCAGAGTTCCAATAATGTAATCTGTGTCATAATGGCTGCGCCTGTAGTCATTCATTCTTTTATGCCCGAGATGTAGACACGCAATGCATTATTAGGTACATTCATTGACTCATTCGTCTATAGGAGAGGACATTGAGACATCCAATTCGAGGAATCACCTAATACCGCTCCTCCCTCACTTTACCACGGTTCCTCAATACATCATACTCGACCCATCTCACTGTGGGAATGTCGCCCTCCGGAGTCAACCGTCCAGGGTTCATGACATGACAACCTTCGTAAGTCATGCAAAACGGAGACGCCTCGGCATCTGCCAGAATGAGGGCCGTCGGCAGCGGATATAATTGCAAGGCAGACCCATGATCCCACAGGACGGGTCGCAAGGGAAGTGGGAACGGGGAGATTGTCCCTTGGTCCAAGATGGTCTTGACCAGCTTGCGCGCCATAGAGGTAGCGGCACCTGTTCGAAGATTAGTGGCCTGGGCTACCGGCTCGGTTTCTTCGTTAGGTGTGATGGAAACCGCGCTGCCCGTAGGGCCATCGAGTGCTTCATGCATTGTGATATCAGGCTCGTCATCGGACTTGGTGTTCACTGCGGTGCGTCGCAATCTCCCTGAGATATCATCACGGAAGATGGCAATATCGTGTACTGGTCCAAACCATGTCAGACGTGTTGGGTTCGACGTCCAGAGCGCTTCTCCCACGGGTTCAGATGAATTTGAACGCCCAAGCTCCGAGTTGGCAGTTGCGAATGCACGCTTGATTCGGGAGGTGAACAATTCGGGGATGGGCTGGCGAGGAATTGTGGACGCAGCTCCAGCTGAGAATGCCGAGGCCCACGGGTCATTGTCGCCGGGGACAAAAACAAAAGTGGAATACTGTAACAACGCCGGAAAGTCCGACAACACCACCGCAAGCGAGTCAAAGTATTCCTTGTACTCAATACTTCCAGCCCGACCACCGCCACTGATGATGGCCTTTTGCACGAAGTTGCCCATCATGACGAAGACCTGGGGGCGCTCAACGCGAGAAAGATCATTGTAGACACCAAAGACCTTTTTCAAAGCGTCCAAGGTTCTCATGTTATCGAGGTTAACCTCGCTCAACACCGCAACCTTAAGCCGAGCCGTTGGCTCCGTCATATCCAGGTCGCCTCGGAGGCACTTTTCTTGGATTCTTCTCATTCGGACACCTTGTGCACGTTCACTTCCAAGCCCTAGGAAGTCGACCCATCCAAACCCTCCACTCGAGCTGATCTCTCCTCCACCTTGACGATTGCCGGTCCCTAGTGAGATGTCTCTTCGCTCACACGGCGGACCACAAATCGATACTCCAACAAAATGACCGCCAATAGCCCCCCAACCCCCGTATTGCCACCAAGAACGGACCCCTTGACCATTTCTTCCTCTTCGTAGATACCATCTACGAGCACAATCATCCCGGGCGCAAACCAGGCGCCGTCTTCAGGTATCATCCGTGCATGGCTGAGGTCCAGGGCTACACTTCCCGTTAGGTCCACAAGAGACAAATCCCCAGTCGGAGAGATAGAAAGCAAGCCGAGGAGCAGATGTGAGGTGCCGCTCCTGCCAAGTAAATTGGCAATTGGGGTGAGCTTGTAGCTCTGCTGGGTCGCCAGGTTAGATGATGAACGCTGCAGCAAAGGAACACCTGTGATCCCCGAGGAAGTTTGGAAAGACTCGTTGCGAAGTAGGCGCTGGTAAACAAGGTTGTATCGATCTCTGAACAGAGCTGTCTTGTGGGATGGTGGTGGAAACAAAGTGGGCTTCGACTTCGTAGCCTCGAAATACTTTTTGTCGATATTATAGGTCAGGCGCGGAATGTCAGAAGCTGCAATAACCTTGAGCCAGGTTCTGGGGTGAAGTGACAGGTGCGATTCGTCTTCATCGCCGTCTCCTTGGGCAGTAGTAAAGGAGCCGTTCGTATGACTGCTGAGCGATTCAATTCTTGTGCCCTCTCCGTTTCTGGACGTCTTGACGGGCCCATCGTAAGAATTCAGCCGCCCGGCGAGAACTCTCCCACCACTCATGCTCCCCTCCAGGGTCTGCAATATTGCTTTCAAGGACGCGCCTTTTCCTTCCTCGACAATGACTCCTCCGCCGGCCCTCTTCCAGATCTTAGCCACCTCATCGAGGACGCGCTCTGCCAGACCTTCTTCGCGCCAGCCTGAGCCACAGTTCTTGCCAACAAAAGCCGCCAATGTTTGTAGGGCCGAAGACGAAATTGTCAGGTTGTGCTTGCGGGTAAAGGTACGGAAAGCGACCGGTCGAAGTGTTGACGGAGGAAGTAAAATCGGCAATATCGAGGTTTTGGGTGGAGGCGCATTCGCCTTGGGGATTCGAAAAGGCCGCGCCGGGGTCCCAAATGCCGGTGATGACGAGGGAATTGGGTCTGCGGTGGCCATGGCCAAGCGATGGGGGTGAGGCGTTGTAGGTGTTGACGCATCCATGGCCAGGTCAGGTCTGCCCAGGGACAGGGCAGGCACAGCTTCCGGGATTTTCAGCGACACCGTAAACAAGAAGATTGAATAATTCTTGAGGCAGTAATCAGCAGCTCGGGGAAGGTATGTGGGAAGGAAGTGGTCGGTTGGGTGGGTGAAGAAACAGAATCCAGACGCGTGACCGACGCGCCCGCGAGCCCAGGCTTATCGATTAAACCGACTCTTTCTATGCTTCCTTGCTTCCTTCCTTCATTCACCCATCCATCCCTATTGCCTTCCTTCCTCTCATCGATTTGTCAATTCGCATCTCTCCTTCTCCCTCTCCCTCTCTCTCTCCCTCTACCAACCATGGCCGAGTCGTCCGAGCCGACAACCCAGCAAGACACCAAGACCCGTCTCGATGACCTGATCGCACGCGCCGCTGCGAAAGATGCAACCAAAGATTACAATTCCGCCTCGGAGCTCTATTCGCAAGCGACCGAGTTGCAGGCCGAGCTGAACGGGGAACTGTCGGCAGAGAATGCCGATCTCCTCTACGCCTATGGCAAGTCGCTCTACAATGTGGCCGTGAGCAAAAGTGATGTCCTTGGATCCAAGGTGGCCGGAGAACCTCAATCGCAAGCTAGCAAGGCGCCGCCTGCCAATGCAAAATCTGCTGGGTCGACATCCACCGGTGAGAATATTGTTCAGGACGCGATTACAAGTGCCAGGGCCAAAAATACGGCCAGTACCAAGGCCGAGAGCACCGAATCGGATGCGGCGCAATCCAAGCCGTACTTCCAGTTTACTGGCGACGAGAATTTCGTGGATTCTGACTCGGAGGATGAGGAGAATGAAGGTCAGGCCGGCGGTGAGGAGGATGAAGACGATTTTGCCAATGCCTTTGAGGTCCTCGATCTGGCCCGCATTCTCTATCTCAAGAGATTAGCCGCGGTGGAGGAGAGCCAAGATGGCAAAGGGAAGTCGACTGAAATGCCTGCGGACGTGAAACACATCAAGGAGCGGCTTGCAGATACCTATGATCTCCAAGCCGAGATCTCCCTGGAGGCGGAGAGGTTCAAGGATGCTGTTACCGACCTGAGGACGGCCCTTGATCTGCGGTATGCGCTATATCCGTTCGAGGACGCCTCGGTGGCCGAGTGTCACTACAAGCTCTCGCTCGCCCTCGAATTTGCATCAGTCCAGCAAGATGAAGGGGAAGAGAAGGCCGCCAAGATAGATGAGGACATGAGATCGGAGGCTGTGACCCAGATGGAACGCGCCATTGAGAGCTGCAAAACCCGGATGGCTCAAGAGGGAAAGAAACTGGAAACCGAAAAGGATTTGGATGAAGACAAGGCCACGGCAACGAGGCGAAAGATTGCCAATGTAAAGGAGATCATCGGCGACATGGAACAAAGAGTAACCCCCCCCCCCAAATATACTCAACCACCTGTTGCGGACTGCTGGCTAACACGGTGCAGCTCGTTGATCTTCGCCGGACACCGGTCTCGATTGAACAGAACGACCGGGAGAACGAAGCCATGCTCAAGGGCATCCTCGGTCAGATAGTCGGCCAGCCCGAAACGGATCAGAAAGCACGACTCGATGCGGTCAGCAAAGAAGCCACCGACCTGTCGGCGTTTGTCCGACGAAAGCCTGCCAAACCCTCTCAACCCTCAGCCTCTTCCACTGCCTCCAAAAGACCCGCGGAAGATTCAGCCACAGAGAATGACTCCAAACGCGCGCGAGTTGAGGATGCTCCTCCATCCAGCTAGACTGGCTCGATCTGCTTTGCCATGTTCTTCTACACTCCACAAAATTCCCATCAGTTTACCTGAGTACACATGAATAATCTAAGAAAACCGATAAGCCACCTACAGTGTCTTTATCTAGATGATGAGCAAGCTTGTTGCCGGTGTATTCAGACATTCAATAGGATTAAGAGTAGTAGTAAGTAGTACGGGTATCATCATCATATCGTGATCGGTCACGACGAGGTTCTCTCCAAATAGCCACCCTCCAGAAAGGGTTCTCCAGGGTTCATGACATTCCAAACATCCCCGGCCGCTCAATCTTGCGGCTTCGTCGGCGGTTGGCCAAACCCGGAGTCCAGATGCCGGCGAACAAGTCCTCGCACTCATCCTCGTCTTGGCTGTCAAACTCCATGCCGGCCGCCGAACCGGATTCGGACTCTTCCAGCACCTCTGCAGGAACGTTGGCGTTTGGCGGTGACTCCCAGCAGGAGGACGCGGTGATCTTCTTGGTTTCTAGAATGAACTTGCCGACCTTGTACCGTTGAGATTCCTCCTCTGCGGCCACATACTTCCAGCCCAGCACGCCCCCGCAGAATGTACAGCTGACATCGCTCACTGTATGAGCGCCCGTGACGAGCTGGCGCGGCACTGGGCGCTGGAGCACGGTGTTGGGAAGCGACGCGGTCGGGGACGATGATGCGCTGATAGATACCGCGCTAGCCACGGGCTCTGCTGACACCAGGTACGCGCGACCGTGGCGACCCGTAAAGCCCTTACTGATAATCTGAGAGGTCAGGCAGAGATGTGCTGCACAGTTCGAGCAGCGAAGGTACGAGACATGGCCATCCAGGTACTTGGGGTCCGGGGTGGACTTCGGAGGCTTCGGGCGAGAAAACCAGCTTCTCTGGTTGGAGCGGAAGGGGGAAGACGGAATGAGGAACTTGGGAAAGGGGGAGACTTTGACGGACTGGTCTTGGGACATGATCAGAGTAAGGAGAGAGGGAGGTGAAGAGGAAGATGAGGAAACCAATTATTGAAGGTATGACGGGGATCTTATGGTTGAATCATAACGACCCCGCCTGGGCGGCTTATCTTATCAGGTCGATCTAACTAGCTATACAGTAACGAGTGGATTCGATCATGACAATCGTTGTCTGCATGTACGAGGCAAAGCGAGAGAAAGTAGTACATGATAAAGAACGGTCAGAGTGTGCAGGTACGTTATACCTCGGCCCCCAAGAAAAGCCACTTGCTGCTGACATCGGCTCCGGTGGTCCAGGGCTCCAGCGTCGTCAGGCTGAACCCGCACCATCCCAGGTTCCGGACCAGCTCCATTTCGGTGGCATGTTGTGAACGACTGACGCAGGCGACGATTTGGGAGCACCCAAAGCTCGATATTCCCGCCAGTTCAAAGAGCGCGATCAGTCCCGACTTGAGACCCTGCCCCAGTGCATTCTCCTCCAGGAATACGAATAGCGTCCTTTCGCCATCCATTTCGGTCACGAATCCCCGATAGATCGCATCCGCAAAGTAGTCCCATACTTCAATCCATTTCAGGACTCGGTCATGATGCCCGATGTTGTGGAACGCATCCATCCCCAGTGACTCCTGTCCCGCGAAACTCCCCTCACCAAGGAATGTCGCGGTCAGTTTGTCACAGAAGAGCCTCTCACACTCTTCCGGGATGGTATGCGCTGCCTCCCCTTTGGACCCTGGCCAGTGGTTTCCGGGCCAGCTGCTCTCCGCGCCGGATGCGGGGAGCTCAAGGGGAGGACTTCGAAGCGGTGATTTAGACCCTGAGGGGACCTCAGGGATACCACTGTGCTCCTGTATAGCAGCATGAGTACACAGGAAGAAAAGGGGGGGAGAGAGTGTGTGTGTGATGCTTACCGGCCCCCAGCGTAGTGCAGTAGTGGAAGCCGTGGACCTTGGTGGTTGACGGCTCCACGGTGTAGCAGCTGGCAAGAATGCTAGTCTGAGAGTCCTGGTCGGGGGGATCGATGCAGTTGATGATTACTACTGTGATTACTGATGTAATTCGCCATGGTGGTCAACGGGAGCCGAGAAACTCTTCTTGACGGGTATCGAAAAGATGGATTTTGGTGATGAGCAGTAGCTCGAGAAAGCGGGTTCAGTCACAGTTGTTGAGATGTGGACAGTTGGGATGATGGACGGAGTTGTTGAGAGGGAGACGGGGGCGGAGGAGGGGAGAGTGTCTTTTGGTGGGAAGTCACCTGACTGTGCACGTGCACCCGAAATAACTATAGGAAACTACGGACAGCTATCCAAGTACGTACCTACGGTGTCTACAAGTGGAGGAAGAATAGCTTTATAACAGTCACAATGCGAGCGGCTCTACTACAAATACATATCTTGCTTTCTTCCGGGTCTGAGAAATCCTTGCCGCAGAAAGTTCAAGCAAAGAGAAGAGAGACCAGGTACAGATGCATCATCGACGGGGAATATCATTCACAGCTCGCGATAGTCACTGGGCCGCACTCTTCGATTGCGAGCTTGGTGGCGTTGTGGATTCACAGGCTGGCGGAAGTAGGGTGAGTCATCTTCCCGAGAGTATGGACCCCCAAAGGCCGTCCGTTGTTGGTTGGAGAAATTATTGACGCCCGGTCCCTGGAAGCCGGGGTTGGGGGCCATCGCACCGGGTGCCTGCGCCATCGGAAATATCGGCATCGACCCGTCGCCATTGTACATGTTGGGAAATCCATTCGGCATGGAGCCATCGCCAAACATCCCCGCCGGAAGGGGATTGAAGGGCATATTCATCGGGTTCCAGCCGGGGCCCATGCCATTGGCGAACATCGGGTTCATGAATCCCATCGCATCATTCCCGAACCCTGGTCCAGAAAAAGGTACAGGAGGCATGCCCTGCATTCCCATGGGACCAAACGGCATCTGGGGATTGAAGGGCATCTGAGCAGCGTTTGTCGATCCCTCTGGTACCGAAGCGTCAGCATTCGGCGCATCAGGTTCTCCATCACCGGCCTTCTGCTTCTTAGCCACATTTCCGGGGCTCGACCTCCCCGTGTCACGCTGGGCTGGCTCGTCCTCGGCTGGTCTCTTCTTCGATTGGGTCGGCGCACTCTCAGAGGCTTGGGTGGGCTGTGGCTCTTTGGATACTGGGGATCCTTGGGGCGCAGCTTCGGAGCCTTCGTTGGCGAACAGGCTGTCCTGGCCGGCAGGCTGCTTTTCCTTCTCTTTCTTCGCATCGGCCTTCTCAGCTTCGTACGCCTTGATGTTGGAGACAGCCTCATCATCCGGGGTGAGATTATCGAGGAGGACACCCTCCGTTCCACAACCCGGACAAACAAAGTCACTTTCAATCAAGGCATTTGTGATACAATCATTGCAATAGGTCCTCTGGCAGCATGGTGTTTTGGTCGGCTCTAAGAACATCCTCTTGTCAATGGGACACTCTAGACCTCGCGCCTGCAGTGCCTTGCTTTCCTCCGCTGCAGCTGCCTCCGCTGCTGCCGCTGCAGATGCCTTGGCCTTTTCCTGGTACAGTTCCCAAGCGGCCTTATCCGGTCTAGCAACGACAAAATCCCCATCGGCATTGACCATGACCCCCGTGTTCCTCGAGTCATCAGTGGAGCCATCCGGGGCCAAAGATTCTGGTTTCTCGACTTTGGTTTGAAGTGAACGCGGGATACCTGTGGAGCGCTTGACTCGGTATTTGCCGTCAAACTTGGGGTCGTTGTTGGTCGGACATGCTTGGATCCAATGACCTGATTGATTCCCGCGGTTAGTGACTTGCTATCTTTCAACCATGAGAGATCACACGTACCTTTTTCTCTGCACCGGTAGCACAGATATCCGGGAGGTGGAGGGTGATCTGGGATATTGACTGGTTTGCCTCTGCCACGCCCAAACGGTACTGGAGTCGCACTAGAATGCAATGTTAGTATCTAACGAGGTATGACGCAACGAGTGAGGTGCTCATACTTGGCCATCTCCTGTTGCTGCTCTTTCCATTGACTGGCCTGCAGGTTGAAAAGGGCATTTATTTTCTCTTCTTCCGTCTGTGCATTGTTGAGCTCTAGCACGTTGTTGCTGATGCCACCACCCGAGGCAGATCTTCCAACGGCGGACGGTTCATTGCGGGCATTGCGAGCATTGACAGGCATCTTGCCCGAGACATAACGAGCAGCGCCACCCTTGCCCGGACGCGCGGCGGGCAGCCGGCGGGCGATCACGGACGTCGATCGAGGAATAATGGTAGTGTCATCGTCATACTCTAGAAGGGAGACAGTGGTCAGTCGTTTTCCAGCTGGAGGAAGAAGAGGTAGAGACGTACCCTCCCCAGTGTCCTCGTTGTAGATGGACAGCTCAAAGTCAGATCCATCGCCCAATCTACTCTGGCTGATGATCTCTCGTTTGAGCTCAAAGACCGAAATACCTGTGCCATCGAACGTGACTCTTGAGGGTTCCTTTTGGGATTTGAATTTGAAATGAACAGACGATGACATTGTATTCAACTGTGTGTGTGATGCGATGCCCCGGGGGGAGTGCAATTAGACCAAGACTTGGGAACACCACAGTGACAGAAATACAAGCGAGAATCAAAAAGGGAAGACAAGAAGAGAGAGAAAAGGGAAGAAGATGGCTGATTGCCCAGGATCACAGAAAGAAAGTCAGAAAATCCAACCAACCAGTCGGACTTGCTCAAGGGCGGGTTTGAGGAAAGAGGTAAAAGGGACAAGGGGAATTGATAGTGGTGTCTCTACCGACGCGGATGCTCGAGATCATGGATTGAGAATTATCTTTCTTTCTTTGTTTGCTTTCCTCTTGGGGTGTTGAATGGCCGAGTGTTCAAATCACTGCATACAAATGAAGATCAAGGAGTAACGAGCGCAACTGTCGAAGAGATGCGGCCGTAACAAGGAAGAGAGACCTGTTGCAGTCCGATCGTTGGACTTTTCCGCTTTGGAGAGCCTCCTGACACCCTGACCAGCAACTACACCAGATCGGAGCGACCCTTGCCGAGACTGTACCGACCGACCACGCGGGTCGCGGAGAGGGGAGGGGGATGAGAGACCACAGGAGGTCGCGTCACGAACGTCGAGTTTCTGAAGGACAGTAGTCAGTGATGACTGTGGTAGTCCGGGATGCGACAAAGGGGCTGTGGTTAGCGAGCAGGCCTTGGGGGTTGGGGAGAGTAAGAAGAAGAGGAAAGAGAGAAGTGGCGGGAAGGAAGAAAGCGGAACGCTGAGTCAGGCCTCCACCGCCTGGCCTACCGCCTGGCCTACCGCCTGTTTGTCTATGCAAAAAAATCGATATCTATCTACTAAAGGTACCAATCTATCTAACTACCTGTACACTTAACCGTCGCTCTCACAGACCAGCCTCAAACTGACGAACCAGAAACCCATCCGTCCGAAGATAATCCTTAACCTCGCTCACGGTATACTCTCCTCGGTGGAACTGGCAAGTGGTCAATAACGGTCATCCATTTCAAGGCCTTGGTTTGAGGCATCACTTACCATGCCTGCCCCCAGGGCTGCGTCCGTCGTTGTCTTCCGGAACACCTCGGCAAAGTGCCCGGGGTTCCCTGCCCCGCTGGAAGCAATGACGGGGATCTTGATCGCGGCCTTGACATCGTTGATCAACTCTAGGTCGAACCCACTGTTGCTCCCATCCTTGTCGATGCAGTTCAGCAGGATTTCTCCGGCTCCCATGGCCTCAACCGCCCGCACCAGCTGTCGAACGTCCATGTCGCGAGTTTCCCGTCCGCCCTTTACCGTGCACTGGTACCAGCAATAGCTTTGCCCCGCAGCATTGGGGTGAACGGTTTTGAGGGTATGGTGGTGGGTGTGCTCGGGTCGGTCCACGTAGACCCGTTTCGGGTCGACACTCACCACCACGGCTTGCTTTCCGTAGGCATTGGAGATCGTCTCAATCGCTGATTGGCCGCTGAGCTTTTCGCCGGCGCTGTAGTAATCTTCGGCAGCAAAGACCGCGTCTGAGCCAATGCTGACCTTGTCAGCTCCGGACTTGAAATACATGGTGGCCACGTCCAGAGCGGAGACGTGAGTACCATCCGTGTCCACGGCGTCTTTGATTCCTCCACCAATGGTCAGGGGCACGAAGACGGTCTCCGATGTCCTCCGCAGTATCTCCAACATGGGCGTGTCGGCGAGTGGGCAGTTGCGGAAAGAGGTGATGTTCAGGAAAGTGACCTCGTCCGCTCCTTGCTCGTAATACTTCTTGGCCATATCGACGGGCTTTCCTAGATTTCGGACCTGGCCACCAGCGTCCATTCCGCTCTTCTCGCGCACATCGTACTGGTCACCTTTGGTGACGACTAGATCGCCCGAGTCGTTCGTCCGTACATCAAGACAGGCAATAACTCTGCGAGTCAGCCCGTCCTCTCCTTTGCCCACAACTATATCCTGGGAGAGCGATTGGGCTTTATCGCTGTTTAAGAATGCACGGATGACACGAAGCCCAGCCTGGCCGCTCTTTTCGGGGTGGAACTGTGTTGCGAAGATATTGTCTCGGGCAATGGCGCCGATGAACTCCTCCTCGCCGTAAGTGGCCGTAGCGACCGACCATCCATCACTCTCGAGAATGCCCGATTCGTAAAAAGCCGCGTAAGAATGAACGTAGTAGTATTTGCTTGTCGGCCGCAATCCATAGAAACTCCGCTGCGTGGAACCTCCGACGCCGGTGTTCATGGCGGAGTTCCAACCAATATGTGGCACGCTCTTGGTGGTATCATTAAACTGCCGCATGCGCATCGGAATCAAACCCAGTCCGGGGACATCGGGGTCCTCCTCTGAGCCTTGAAAGAGTGCCTGTAGGCCAACGCAAATACCCATAAAGGGTTTTCCCGCATCGATATGCTGTCGGATTGGTTCCAAGTACCCTCCTTTGTTGAGCTGCGAAAGACAATGACCGAAGTGACCGACGCCGGGGAGGATCAGTTTCTACAAGGGAAGGTTTTAGCAGCAGCGACCAAGGGTTCGGAAATGGGGAGTTACTCACCTCGGCATTCTTCACGTCGTCGGGGGATTTAATCCATTCGACTTCGTAGCCGACTTGATTGATGGCATTGACCAAGGACCGGATATTTCCGGCCACGTAATCGAGCAAGTGCACGGTAGGCATGGCGACAGACAGTCAAGCTGGCGAGGACAAAGAAAGAAGAATGAGTGAGTGAGTGGGATGCGACATGGGCCCCGCCAAAGCTGAGTCATTCCGATCTATATATATTTTTTTTCTACAGGGCAGGCTACCCAGAAGTAAAGAAACCCATCCATTATTGTTCTAGTTGACGGTCTTCTCCCCAGTATCCTGTAAATAGATGAGTCCGTTAGAGGGCTGCCAGTCGTCAAAATTAGCAGAGCACCGAATAGAGGTTAGTGGGAGATAGCTACCGGACTGAACTGTCGCAGGCGGACACCAGCAGCCTCGAGAATCGCGGCGCTCTAGATTTCGGAATTAGCGGATGGAATGAATCTATATATGAGAGTCGCATGGCGCGTACATCTCGGTCCATGTTGTAGCTTTGAGAGTAAACCACCTCGGAGATGCCCACTTGGGCAAGTTTGACGGTGCAGGTCAAACAGGGACACCTAGTACGGAAAGATCTGTCAGACAGGGAACGCATGGCAGTTGGAACAGCAAAACAGACGTGTCACAATACAGAATGGCTCCCTCCCGAATCCGTTCTCGACCCGCTTCGAGCAGCGCGTTCTCCTCGGCGTGGATACACAGACAGGTCGAGAGGCCAACGCCGCCTCCATCTCCACGGTTGCACCTCGGGCCTGCAAGTAATATTATGAGACAAAAGAACAGGACCAAGGGTCATCATTTCGTACATCCACCTTCATTACAGTTCGTGAGGTGTCGGGGAGTCCCATTGTACCCGGTGCTGATCACTCGCTGTTCCCGAACCAGCACACAGCCTACCCGTCTTTTCATGCAATTGCTCCGCTGGGCCGCCAAAGAAGCCAGCTGCATGAAGTATTGATCCCAGTTTGGACGCAGTCGTTGCTCATCGGCGAGCTCGAGCGCCTGGAGAGCGTGGTGCAGTTCCTGGAGGGAGGATGAGGAGTTGAACAAGCGTACCTGGGCTCGATCGGTGAGATAGACCCTGCCGAGGTCCCGCTCGTACAGGTGACGGTCATTCCAGAGCACGAACTTTTCCAGGTCGGGTGGGTCCAGTTGTCTTCTCCGGCACCGGTCGGTGAAACGCTTCCATCGCAGACTTACGGGGGCGTCGACACTCACGAGGAGAAAGAAGGGACGTAGAAGGAAGCGGTCGAGGGTGTTGCCATCGGCAATATCGGTGGTGACCCAGCGTTCTTGCCATCGCTTGGTCGCGAACTCGAGCAGGGTATCGGCGTCTTCGAAGACCAGGTCTGCGGATTGAACATCGCTTCTCTTGCGAATCTGCGAGGCTTGTAGGCGGAGGTCATCGTCGGGCTCGTCGGCGATGTGATGGCGGCGTTTGTAGGAGAGCTCAAGGAGCTGAAAGCCCTGGACCTGAATCAAGTATTCGGCAATGGTATGTTTGCCGGCGCAGATACCGCCACACAAGCCAATGAGCATGATGCAGTATGTAGGTAGGTTGTGAGGGAGGAGAAAACGCGGACGACGCGTAGGTGGATCTGAGTGGGGGTGATAAGCAGATAACCGAGAGAAGTACTATGAAGCACTGCCACCTACGCGTATGCAGGCACGTCCGAATCGTTGTAGGAATGATAATTGTACCTAGGTATACCTTGGTGGTATATCCTATGTAGTATATTTGTAGTATACCCTAGGCAAGTCCTAGATACACACTATGTAGGTAAGTCCTAGATCTGGTGATAGGCTACACGCTCAGCTGATCGGCCCTTCTGACATCACCTCTTCTTCTTCTTCTCTTCTCTCCTTCTCTCCCACCACCACTTTCGCGCCCACCAGAATGCAGTACGCGCCCTTTGCCTCCGATATCGAGCTCCCCTTTTACACGGCCCTCGCTTCCCACAAGATCAACCATGACAAGCTAGACGACTCTGCCCGCGCCTTGCGGGGTCTCTATGAGATTCGCTCGGCGGACCCCGCCAACGCTTCATGTCGCATGCAAATCCACGGCAATTCTCTGACCAGTGATGAGTAAGTGCCATGTCTTCTGCGCGGTCCCCCGCTGACACTCGGGATATAGCGTGCCCGCGGGCTGCTACCGGGCCGAAGGCATGATCCGAAATGTCAACACCGTCGAGGAGTATCGGAACATGGACAAGTCGCAGATGCTACATCAGGCCGGTCAAACGGTAGACACCCCTTCCCCAGATCCTCGGACTGGCCTGCTAACACAAGGATGCAACAGATTTGGGATGCCATCAACGATACGACGATTTACTCTTGCCCCTCCTTACTATCGTCATTTGTGATCCTGTCATTCGCCGATCTTAAAAGCTACAAATTTCACTACTGGTTTGCCTTTCCGGCAATCCATTCAGATCCCCCATGGGTCCCCATCGAATCCACAGCCTCCCAAGCGGGCCAGTCGCGCCAAGACACGGAAACAAACCTCGCCAGTGGAAAGTACCTGTCTTCACAGGAGAGCGCATCACTGGTAGATGCCGTTCAGACCTGGTGTTATGGAGTCGATGCCCGACAGCGGGGGTTTTTTCTAGCACGAAGGCGGAAGAGCTCTGGCTCAGGAACCAGGGCGACACAAGGAGACGCTGCTCCAGCAGATTGCACCTGGGCGATAGCGGCATTGTCGGAGTACGAGAATCATTTCTTTACCGGCGCTAAATTCGAGGATTGCTATATTTGCTTTGCGGACCCATCAAACTATGAGAATGCACCCGGGTGGATGCTGCGGAACCTGCTGGTTGTCGTCCAACGTCGGTGGAAATTGGATAAGGTGCAAATCTTACGGTATCGCGATGTGCAGTCAAAGCGGGACCAGGGCCGCAGCATCGTCCTACAACTGGAATCACGGTCGGAGCCAGGGACTGACAATGCGAAGCCCACGCAGAGCACCGGGCCACTGCCCAAGGTGACGGGTTGGGAGCGCAATCCTGCCGGCAAATTGTCCGGGAGAATGGTAAATCTGACGGAATACATGGATCCAAAAAGGTACAAGCCCAAAATGGAGGCAGCTAACTGCAATAGTGATTGCTGACTGTGTTTGTGTCTATCTCCAGGCTGGCTGATCAGTCGGTCGATCTAAACCTGAAGCTCATGAAATGGCGAATCAGCCCGACGTTGGATCTAGACAAGATCAAGCATACCAAATGCCTCTTACTTGGGGCTGGCACCCTTGGTAGCTACGTCGCTCGGAATTTGATGGTATGAGAACTTGAAGTCGGCTCGGCTCGTCATTGGGAGCGCTAACAATCGAGTCTCCAGGGCTGGGGTGTAAGGAAAATCACATTTGTGGACAAAGGAACCGTATCATTTTCCAATCCCGTCCGGCAACCACTCTTCAATTTTGACGACTGCTTGAATGGTGGCGCGCAGAAGGCGCATCGAGCATCCCAGGCCCTAACAGAGATCTATCCCGGGGTAGATACCGCGGGACATGTCCTCTCTGTGCCCATGGCTGGCCATCCGATAGTAGATGAAGGCGAGACGCGCGCTAACTTCGACACCCTCAAAAGCCTGGTCGATGAGCACGATGCCGTCTTCCTGCTCATGGATACCCGAGAATCACGCTGGTTGCCCACTGTGATGGGCAGAGCAGCCGGGAAGATCGTGATGAATGCGGCATTGGGGTTTGATTCATTTGTTGTGATGCGGCATGGCATCGGCGGAGGTGAGGGTGAAATCGCCGACCTCGGTTGCTATTTCTGCAACGACGTCGTGGCTCCGATCAACGTGAGGCCTCCCCAAAGATGTTCATTGAATACATGATTGACAGAGGGCAAAACAGTCGATCAAGGACCAGACACTTGATCAGCAGTGTACCGTTACCCGTCCTGGCGTCGCTGCCATAGCCTCTGCGTTGCTGGTCGAATTGCTCGTGTCGGTACTGCAACACCCCAAAGGGCCTGCGGCACCGGCCACCTCAATCCCGAATGACGAAGGCGAGAGACATCCCCTTGGGCTTGTGCCTCACCAAATCCGAGGATTCCTCTCCACATTTGAGAACATGTCGGTCACTGGCAAGAGTTACAGCAGCTGCAGCGCCTGCTCCGACAAGATCATCAATGCATATAGGGAGCACGGTTGGGATTTCGTGAGAAAGGCCCTCAACGAACCCGGCTATGTAGAGGAACTGAGCGGGCTTAAGGAGGTATATAAACCCCGATTCCCGGCCATCTCCCAAACACTGACAGATGTTAAAAGGTTCATGAGAAAGCGGAAGCCGCGCTCGCCGACGTTGAGTGGGACGAAGAGTCTGAGAATGAGGGCGTTGAGATTCTGTAGGCAGCATTGTGTCGATTCTCAGTCTTGCGTGATGATGCTGTCGGTCCCTGGGTGTGCTTGCGGATGGTTCCTGAGGGTGCTTGTGTTGCGTTTTGTTGCTCTTAGGATTTTCGCTCCAGGCCCACGAAATACGCCTCCTTTGATTCCTGCTGACCACTTTAGCCATGATCATCCGCTGGAATAGAGCAAGCAGGGCACATACACTGCGAGAGGACTCGGGCTTGAGCCGATGGACCCTTTGGAACAGTTCCCGCAGCTGCTTCTCTAATTGCTTGTCCTCCGCCCCTTGGTAAAACTTGCAGACAAAATGCCCGCCCGTCCTCAGGACATCCGAGCTGAAGCGTAGGGCAGCATGGCAGAGGTCCTTTCCCGAGTCAGCACATGCAGAGTCGTGACGGACAATTGGAAGCTTACCATACTCCCGGCGTGATCCCTGAAACTCACGCCGCTGGTATTCATCATCCTATAGGGATTACTTAGACTTCGTTTCCAGAAACCAGAAGTCTGGTGCCAGGGAGCAGACATATCGCTGAGAACCACATCCACCGGTCTTTCCAGGTTGGGAGTCTCTTGTTCTGTGTCCCCTTCCGCCTGTCCTGAATTTGCCGTGGCGAATGCCGAGAATTCCGGTCCTCCCGTGTCCTCCAAGCTGTTTCGCGGGCGTGGCCGGCCCCTATTGGGGCTGCGCAAGAAGTCCCGAATATACTCCTGCACCTCGGGGGAAAGGAAATTGCCCTGTATTGTCGACACCCCTTTGGGAGGTTGGGCCGGGATGATGTCGACCCCAAGAACTCGGCCGTGCGGTTGAGTGCGATTCACGGCCACCTGGTCGACCATTCAGCAATGTTGGTTTGTTTTTTTATTTTTTGTTTTTGTTTTTTTGGATAGAGGAATATCAAACACACCTGCGACCAAGACCCTGGCGCATAGCCCTGCAGAATGTTTTAGTAAGATGGAGACCTCGTAGGCGACCTCTCTCTCTCATACCAAGTCCACCACTGTCTGCCCTCCCCGGAAGATCCGGTATTTCTCGTCAATCTAATTGCAAAGACAATGTCAGAACAGGCGAGTTACTGTGAGGGATCGACCAGGGGTTGGTACCTGCAGCAGTTTGAATGCAGCGCGACTTTTCAGGCCTTGCACTGCGGCCTCTTTCGTAAAGCGATCCTGCTGCTGACGAGCCTGCCAGCGCTTGGATGAGGAATGCCTACCCTGGACCGGGAGCCAGAGGCGACATACATTCCAGCCGAGGGGACGAGTTGGAGGCAGCAGCAGCATGGAGGGCCGTCAGGAGGGAATTGGAGTGGTTGAGGAGGAAAGAGTTTCTGCCGGCAGAATAGTTAGTTACTTACTACATGAACTAACTATATATACCATACCATGCACGACGTGGGATTCATATTATTAATTACTATTCTTCTTCATCGCTTCCGGTCTCGCTTCAGCGGCGAAAACCCCACCGGTGCGCCAAATCCAAGCGCTCGAGGTCCGCCGGTCACAGGGACCACCGAATTCCCCAGGGCGAGCTTGCGCCCAGGCTTTCGGGTCTCGAGTTCTTCCCCCTCCTCCTCCTCCTCCTCCTCCTCGTCAAACAGACGATCTCGTTGAGCGCCCAGCTTGCGCTTCTTGACTTTCACCCCCCCGTTTTCCGCCGGCGGATCGGGGAGCTCGTCGCTGAGATCTCGGGTCTGCATCGGACCCCCCAGGCGGCTGGCCGGTTTCTTTGCTTCCTTGCGAGATGCGGTCAGGACAGACTTGCCTTCGCCGGCCTCGGGTCTTTGCCCCGGATTCTTGGTGGAGGTAACAGGGGCTGCGGCGCGCTTTTTATTCGGACTGCTCGCATGATATTTGGCAATTGATATCTGCGATTCGTCTGCAGACAGGTGGATCTCGTCCGCCTCGGCTACGGAACTGTTTGGAGAGTCTGACGGCGCCCCAGTGCGGTTGAGAAACGGAGTAATGGAAAACGCGGATTTGTCACCCGGCAACACCTGGGGTCTCTTCACTTTCTCTTGTACCCGAACCGCTCCGGGGGTGGCAATGGTCATGGCAGCAGGGTAATCTGGGGCAGCCCGCTGCAGGGGCACCATCCGAGATCGCGAATATGAGGCGTCCTCCGACTCCATCCTCATGCTGCGCCGGTGCTGCAATTCTTCTTGGGCTTCCTGTAACTTGGTCTTGGTCGACCGCAACTGTTTCTTCAGGCTCTCGATCTTCCCTTCTAGTACCGCTCGCTGACTCTCCCACCCTTGCTGGCGGCTATCTCGATCCTGTTGCTGCTGAGCCCGCGCTTCGACTGCCAGCTCGCTGCGCAATTCCTCGACGCGTGCGGAGACCTTTGCAAGCTCCTCTGCTTGCTGGGATGCCTTGGTTTGCGTGCGCCCGTGGGCATGCCTTTCATTTTCGAGTTCCACTTCGAGTGAATTGAACTGTCGCTCCAGTTCGCGTTTTTCCGCAACGAGGGCCTGATAAGATGAGTTCTGCGCCTGCAGCCGTTCAACCTCGGTCCGAAGCGCAGTCGTCTCTCGGAGCAGACGCTGCTTCTCTGAGAGAGCTGTATTGTAGCCAGTCGAATGATGGCTGAGGTTTGAGATCTCTCTCTGCTGGGGATTAGAAACGTGGACATTGAACTGGGTGGGCCACTTACTTGAAGCCTTTCTATCTCCGCAGACGAGGCTTGCATATGATGATCGAGTCTGTCAATTTCCATGCACGCTTCACCGAGCTGCTGACAGGTGTCGGACTCCGCCTTAGCCAGTCGAAGGGTCTGTTCATTGGCCTGGTCCAACTGCGAGCGCAGGGCGTCCCGCTCGAACTGAAGCAACAAATGCTCCATGCGCCGCACGCGATCTCGCTCGGCATCCAGCAGACGCGCCGATGCTGCGGCGGCCTTTTCGTAGTCTCTCTCAAGACCAGCGGTCTGGAGGGCCATCTGCGGTAGCCGGTCAATGATGGACATGGTTGGTTGTTGTTCCCTCACTGATTCGTTCCGCGTCGCGTCCATCCATACAACCTGGGTTGATTACATAAGCAATACTACGTAATCCGGACTGGACACCTGGCACGGATCACTCACTCACTTCCTTCCACTACTACTTCCTTCTTCTCTCCTTCTCTCAATTGACTACCCCGCTGTCACCATGAAGCTCTGGACAGCGTGGCTCCTTCTGCTCTCCATCGTGTCTGTGGTCGCCCAGTCTTCCTCCGATGCCAAATTGGAGAAATTCCAGGCACTGTCTCGCTCCGGTCCCGTCGAGTTGGACGCCGACGCCTTCGACGAACTGACGTCCAAGCCTCGCGATTACTATGCCGCTGTTATTTTGACCGCGCGGGATGTCCGCTATGGCTGTCTCATGTGCCGTGAATTCCAGCCCGAATGGGAGTTGATCTCCCGTAGCTGGAATCGAGGCACCAAGCTCGATGGTCTGAACATGGTCTTTGGGACCCTGGATTTCGATCAGGGTAGGATGGTTTTCCAGAAGGTGCGCACGGAGCCTCGGTCCCTCCCTACTTCTCTCGCTAACGAAGGCAGCTCATGCTTCAATCGGCGCCCGTCCTCCTCTTGTTTCCTCCCACCAGCGGTCCTTTCGCCAAGGTTGAGGAGGGCCCCTTCCGATTCGACTTTACTGGGTACGTTTGTCTCCTGAAACGGTAATTTTGAGGTCATCCCGCTCATATATTCCATTTTCTTTCCACAGTCCCCTCTCCGCCGACCAGTTGTACTCGTGGATCAACCGTCACCTCCCGGAAGGGCCCAAGCCCCCATTGGTTCGGCCCGTCAATTACATGCGAATTGTCTCCGCCGTCACCATCCTAATGGGAGTAGTTACTTTGTTCACGGTGCTGTCACCGTACGTGCTACCAGTAGTTCAGAACCGGAACCTCTGGGCGGCCGTCAGTTTGATCGCTATTCTGCTGTTCACCAGTGGCCAGATGTTCAATCATATCCGGAAAGTGCCTTATGTGGCAGGTGACGGCCGAGGCGGCATCAGCTATTTTGCCGGTGGATTTCAGAACCAGTTCGGCCTGGAAACCCAGATCGTGGCTGCAATGTGTAAGTGGATTCTTTCTCTTTTCAATTGGTCGTGCTGCTGACAACGAACGTCGACGTAGACGCCGTTCTGTCCTTTGCCACCATTGCGCTGGCCGTGAAGGTGCCGCGGATGGAAGATGTCAAGGGGCAACAGTTGGCCGTGTTGATCTGGGGAGGCGTGCTGTTTGGGATGTATAGCTTCCTACTGAGCGTGTTCAAGGCTAAGAACGGAGGCTACCCGTTCTTCCTGCCTCCGTTCTAGGCTCCGCCGACATGGTTCTCTCTCTGCTTGGCTCGATAGAATCCTCGGCCGGAGCTGTGGAAGAGACCACAATGCATGGACGGATGTCCCTAGATCTGCCGTAACGAGAGAGAGATCTATATATCCCCGTAGCGAGTAGAATAATCGGTCTGTGAATCTAGATCCCTCGGGCTACACATACTACATACATGTGTAGGCAGGGCAGACTTTCGGGCCCACATCCACATCTGTCCTTTCCTGCCCCTCGCTCGCCCTCTACACAAACCCTTGCAAGACCAACCCAATAAATAAACAAAATCAACACCGTCCAGGCCATGTCCGGCCCAGGCGAAGTGGGCCAGGTCCTGGCATCGTCCGCCACCGGCACTACCTTTTTGGTCTTGATTCAACTGGCGTCGAGAGTCTTCACATTCGCCTCCAACCAGGTGATCTTACGAACCTTACCGCCAGCCGTGCTGGGCATCGCAGCTCAACTGGAGCTCTACCAGCTGTCCATTCTGTATTTTTCGCGGGAAAGCATTCGCTTGGCCATTCAAAGACAGCCCCTGGCCGAGTGCTCGCCACCCAGTCAACCAATCTCTGCTCAACGCGTCAACAAAGCAGCAACGCCATCCACCAAACGGTCGGATGCCTCCCAATCCGTGGTGAACGTGTCCTACTTGAGCATCGCTCTCGGGATACCGTCATGTCTCGCATTTACGATGCTCTATCGCCATTTTGGGTCCATGGAGGTCTCCCAGGCACCCTTCTTCTATCCTAGTGTGCTCATGACCGGGGTTGCATCGCTCATGGAACTGGGCGTAGAGCCATTCTTCGCTGTGGTGCAGCAGCGCATGCTCTATGAGAGAAGAGCCGCCGTCGAAATGCCAGCAGCATTCATCAAAAGTCTCGTCATCTGCTCAGCTTTCATCTATGCTGGGCAAGTCCATTGTGATGTTGGGGTCTTGCCCTTTGCTCTTGGCTATTTGGCTTATTCACTAGCCCTTATCTGCGGCTACTCTCTGGCCATGTTCAAAGAGGCGCACGAAGGCCAATTTTCATTTCTTCTCAGTTATGTAAAAACCGGGTATGTGGGAGGTGGATATATATGTGTGTGCTCGGTACGCGGGAAACCCATGCTGACCATACATAGAGATCCATCGAAGTATTACATGCGTCGGTTTTCTCGCCAGCTCACATCGCTAGCCGCCAGCGTATTCTTCCAGTCACTTGTCAAGCACATCCTAACGCAGGGTGATTCAATTATGCTTGCAGCCATGTCTAATCTGGAGGACCAAGGCATATATGCGATTGCGTCCAACTATGGCGGTCTCATTGCCCGAATTATATTCCAGCCACTGGAGGAGAGCAGCCGAAACCTGTTTTCGACCCTCCTCACCAGCGATGACACTGGAACCCGAAGAGTGACCCACGTCCGTGCCGCCAAAGCTCACCTCTTAGACATTCTCTACGTGTATCAGCTGTTGTCGGTCGTCCTCTTTCCTCTAGGTCCAGTGATGGTCCCACAGTTGCTCCGCTTCCTGGGGGGCCGTCAATGGATGTCACCTAAGGTCGGGGACTTGCTTTCTCTTTTCTGTTACTATATCCCCTTCCTGGCATTCAACGGAATCACAGAAGCATTTGTGTCCTCGGCGGCCAACACCCGGGAGATCCGGAAACAAACAGCCTGGATGGGTGCCTTTTCTGCCTGTTATGCCGTGGCGGCCTACATTTTCCTAGAGGTGGGCGATCTGGGAGCGTATGGCCTGGTACTGGCCAACATTGTGAACATGGCGGTCCGGACACTGTGGAGCTACCTCTTCATCAAGTTCTATCTCAGACGAAATGGCGATGGCCTCCGTCTCAAGGAAGCAAGCATTCGGCCGGGCTGCTACATCGTCGCGGTCACAGCGGTGGCCATATCGGCTCAACAGAGACTGTCGAGACCGGAAAGCGGATTCATCCAAGCAACTGCATTCAGTGGTATATATGCGCTTCTAGTGTAAGTCAAGTCTATCAGACAGTTTCTTTGGCTAGGACCTGACCATATAGCAGGATCTATATAGAAAGGCGATATGTGATGAAGCAGGTGACGAGATTGCGCCAGATCCTGACGTCGCGTATGAAAGGCAGCAAGAAAGAATAAGGGGGGCAAGCAGAAAATCAATCCTCAAAAACAATCTTCGTGGCTGTTTTGTCCGTGTCAACGTCCTTGAAGAATGCACCGTAGGCATCATGTTGCTTCTTCTTAACAGTGGTCCCGAACTTGAGCAAAGCTTCGGGCACCTCTTGCTTGGCGGCCTTGAGGACATTGATCAAACTGTTCGCTCGTCAGTCCTCGATCGGGTAGAAAGGGGGAGTTCAAAAAAGAGCCACTCACCCGCCAGACAGTGCCTTGTCAGTCTCAGTGAATAATGTGATCGCATGGCCTTCTGCGCCAGCACGCCCGGTTCTTTCAAACAATCAGCACAAAGCGCCTTCAAAGTACAAACAAGAAGACATACCTTCCAATTCGGTGCACATAGTCCTCGACCGTGAGAGGGAAAGTCACATTGACCACCAACTTCACGGCGGGAATGTCAAGACCGCGCGCCGCTACATCGGTTGCTACGAGCACGGTAGCAGCCCCAGATTTAAATGCATCCAGATTTCGAAATCGCTCTCCCTGGCTCAGATCCCCGTGAATGCCTGCGACCTTAAACCCCTTGGCTTTGACGAGCCGCTCCACTCTCATGGCCTCTTTCTTGTACAGACAGAAAACCAGCACCTTTTCAGGAGAGCTGTTACCTCTCTGGGACCGATTCAGGATTTGGATCAGCCGAGTCTCCTTATCATATTGATTGACGACTTCAACCTCCTGCTTGATCCTCGTATTCGCGCGGGGGTCCGCGGAAGGATCTCCGCCGATGGTAACGGTCACCGGCGAGGACATGAAACCTGCGGCGAGGTCCCGAACTGACCGAGGCCAAGTGGCTGTAAACATGACCGTCTGTCTCCTCGAGACAGGCATGGGCTGGATGATATCCTTGATGTCCTGTTCGAACCCTTTGTCAAGCATGCGATCTGCCTCGTCCAGGACAAGGTATTTGACCTTCTCAAGACTAAGAGAGCCATCACTTTGGAGGTCCTTTAAACGTCCAGGAGTGGCGACTACGATAGCCGCTGATTTGAGAGCTTCGCGCTGTTCATCCTTCCTCACGCCGCCGTATATACACGCCACGCCAGCCTGGGCGGACTCAGCAAACTTGACAAGCTGGTCATAAATTTGCATGGCAAGCTCACGAGTGGGGGATATGATCACCGCGGTCGGCTGGCAGGGTTTTTTGCTTCGTTTCGAGTCCGAGATTTTTTTGAGACACGGCAAACCGAAGGCCAGGGTCTTGCCACTGCCAGTCTCGGCGATACCGATCACATCCCGACCGGCAAAGAGCAGGGGCCAGGTGGTAGACTGAATGGGCGTTGGCGACTTGAACGACTTCAATGGGCCGTATAGATCGCCATCGCAGGCGGGCAGGTATTCGAACGAAGTGATTGGGCGAAGGGTTGGGGCTTCGGGCAATGGATCGGTCACTTTGATTGTGTGGTCCGCATGGAATTGGTCAATCTCGGACTGTGCAATCGCACTGAGCGCCGGCGCTTCTCCGTAAGATACAGGAACCACATTTCCTTCCGGCGCGTCTTTCTTAGAAGATTTCGAATGCTTCTCCGACTTCGACTTCTTCATGGGTCGCGAGTCCGTGGACTCGGCGTGATGGGATCGCTTAGCCATGATCTCCGATCAATCAAAGAGAGACGGAGTAGGAAATTATTATTGGCGGCGGATGGACTTTTTTGGAAGGCGAGGGAGAAAAAAAAAAAAAAAAAGGGAAAAGACCCGCGATACTGCCTATATTCACCGCTCTCACCTGGGTTGCGAAGTACCTGGGTACGCAATACAAGAATAATAATCCCAAGAGAGAATCAATCATCTACGTCTCTCATCTCAGTCATGAAGTATTCATTGCCTGGTGATATCAGAAGAAAAAAAATACGTGGAATATCAAGGCCGGGTGCAATAGGACTCGTCAACGCAGTCAATCAGACACTTCTAAATCCACCTCCTCAATCTACTCCAGACCGTAGGAACTGATCATGTCGGCCAGGCGGGAGGCCTCTTCCGAGTAGTTGATAGCTTTGGCTGAGGAAACTTGATATCGAACACTACACATTGGTCAGTATTCCACACTGGATGCAGCAGGAGGTTTTTGCTTACCGTTGCTGTTCGCCAAAGGTGTCAATCTTGGCTCGGCATCGGAAATTCCACGTGCGACAGTAGGCTTCTTTGAAGAATTCCCCGAAAGCTGGACTTTCCTCCTGGCGGAGTTCCATCAGGTGATCGGCCGAAGTGCCCATGATCATCCTCCCCACTTCATCAAAGCAGCTGAGAAACAGCTGGCCTGTGTGGTCGCTCACGCTGATGGGCATGATGTAGCGATATTCGGGTCGAGGGTGCACCTTGTCACACATCTCACAACGCCACTGACCGGGATCGGTCTCGGTCACCTTCTTGTTGCAGCCTTCGGAAAGGCAAGCGGGGTAGCACCAAGTACTATCCTGCTTGATGTAGATCACGGTGGCTTTCAGTGAGAAGTAATCCACTTGGTCAGACATGCCCAGCTGTTCCTCACGGACTTGTGCAATTGTCTTGAAATGATCAGGCCGGGCCGAAGAGTTCGAGGCATTGGATACGGACGCATGGGAAGTGAAGTTCTCTGCTCGGCCCTGGGCATCATACCATCCTTTGAGTCGGTGGGCTTCCTCAATGTCCGGGTCCACAGTCATGGACCCCGAACTCAGCAGGCTGAGGCTCCTTCCTCCAAAATCAGAGACCTTGACGCCTTTGAAGGCAACGACAGACTCAGGTGGCGCGCTGAAATTGTTTGCCGTTGCACCCCATATCGTCAAACGAACAGAGAAGCCCGTGTTGTCCACCAGGGTCAGCTCGCGCTTGTCATATGGTTTTTTGGTCGACTTAGACGTGATCTGGGTGGTCTCCGCAACATCCTTCAAGACTCCGATGACATCTGTAGTCGTATCCTTTTCAACGGATTGAAGATCGCCGATTGTGGTGAAGTTAAATCGGATCTGCGGAACATCGTTCTGCTCCTCTGCCTAATGTAAACCGTTAATAACATATCACCGAACCCTGCAACAAAGATTCTTACTTTCTCAACAATGGTGTCTCTCTCGAAGGTGAGTTCATAGTCGTTGTTGAGATTGGTGAACTGCTTCTTGGCAATCTGCACACGGCAGGGGCTGGAAATGTAATAAACGCTGCCTTCCTGGAAAAGATCGAAAAGCATATCACACTGGTCATTGAAACCAGTCGCGCGTATTTCACCACTGTCATCCAGGAGATTAACACTGAACAGTTTACCCTCGCCGTTCTTGTTGTGCCATGTTTTGATATTTGATTTGCTTGTGCAACGAGCTTTGATCGTCCATTTATTTGAGTATGGGGAAATGGCCTCGATTGGGTAGATGGTTGCGTGGGCCGATGCGGACGGGCCTCGCATAGGCTGTTCTCGAGCCGTCGGCTGTGCTTGCGCGCCTGAAATGCGGGAGCCATAAAACCCGTTCGTAGAAATGGTGGTCGGCTGGGCCTTTGCCTCCTCCTCGGCCTTGGTTTCGAGGGGGCTTGGGATCCCCAATCTTCTCCATCTCGCCGAGTTCCTTGAGAACCTCGAAGTCCAAAACAATGAGGATTCTGCACGACATGAGTGTGATGGGCAGTGGTTCAGAGGGGTAATACTGACCTCTTGCCTTTGACCTGATTGGACTGGAAGGATTTGAGTCGGACAAAGCATCCCTTTCGAAGGGTTCCGTCCGCCACGAGGGGATTCACTTCTGTTCACGCTGTTAACACCAACAATCCACCTTTACACCAGCCAAGTCTCTTAACATACGGGTGGCAAGCATGGTCTGGATGTAGTTCGCAATGTCGCTAAAGACGGCCCTGTAGCGCTCCTGGTTCTGCTGCGGGGGCAACGGCTTGACCTGGACACATTGGACAATCGGTTCGTGAACCTGAGGCTTGGATTCGTCGAAAATCGCGCTATGTGCAAGTGGTCAGCCGGTGGCTCTTCTCGATGTCGATTTGGGGAGACCAACGCCAGAGCACCCACGGTGATATGGGATGCGGCGTCTGAAGCCATGATGGGGACGGGGATGGGGATGAAGTCCTGGCGAAGAGTTGAACAGTCAAGTCCCGCAGACGACGACAAGAGATGGAGGCGACGGGGAGAGAAGGAACGGGTGGGAGAGAAAACAGCACGACGCGTGTGTCGCGTTAAGTGCTGACTGAGGTTGATGCCTGAGGCCGAGTAAGTCAGTCCCCCACTACTGATAACCAACAGCTGCTGTTGCTCATTCCTTCCTTCTCTTCACCTACCTCCCCCACCTCCCGAATAATCATCCAACATGGCCTCGTGTGCCCATGCTGGCGCTGCAGGTTCGTAGACTTTTTCCATTCAATCTTTCCAATAACCCCCATTCACTGACTTGCTGGCCAGATCTAAATCCACCGGGGCCTTCCCAGGCAGTGTATCGAGAAGACTGTACCCAATGTTTCGACTCCATTGTACGTTCCCCTGTGCACTCTACTTGCTCCATCGATCTGACCTGCATCTTTCTAAGGATGGCGAGTCCGGTTTGAATGTATGTCTCCATTGTTTCAATGGCGGGTGTGCCGGGGATAGGGACCACGCTCTTCTTCATTACCAACGTTCGGGTCACACTCTGGCGCTCAATATCCGAAGAACACCCAGGAAAGTCAAGGTATGGCAACCGTGCGAGTCGTGGGCGATTGTTGACATACCTATTGAATAGCGGGATGAGCCACCACCAAAGATCTCGAAGCTTGCGATCGCCGCGGAGACAGAGGAGGATCGATATGACATCGCGACATCTGTGGTGTGCTATTCCTGCCTCCAGAAAGATGTCGATAAGACGAGTGGGAAGCTACCCGTCGTAATTGAGGGGATCATGAACGCGATGACTTTCTCGAAGAGGGAAGAGGTCAAGGCTTGGGAGCAAGAGTTTGTGCCTTGTGAACATACCCTTTGCCTGGTCCAACAAGACATCGAGGATCCTAACGCCAAAGGTATCACTAGCTATCATATCAGCATGGGGATAGTGGCTGACATCTGTATGCAGACTCCAGTCATTGCTCGACGTGCGATTTAGCCGAAAATCTCTGGCTGTGTCTCGAATGTGGGAACGTAGGCTGTGGCCGAAGCCAGTTCGGTGGCAGTCAGGGCAACTCACATGCTCTTTCCCATGCAGACGCCACTCATCATGCCGTTGCTGTCAAGCTCGGATCGATCACTGCAGAAGGCTCGGCTGATATCTTTTGTTATCAGTGCAACGAGGAAAGGACTGATCCAGAACTCGCAGCGCATCTTGCACATTGGGGAATCTATCTAGCGGGCCGGGAGAAAACCGAGAAAAGCCTAATGGAAATGCAAGTGGAACACAACTTACAGTGGGAATTTTCTATGACCACTGATGACGGCCGCGAGCTCTCCCCGGTCTTTGGACCTGGTTTTACGGGACTGTCCAATCTCGGGAATAGCTGTTATTTGTCCAGTATCATGCAATGCGTGTTGTCAGTTCCAGGATTCCAGGAGCGGTACTACCGCCCCGCTGAGGAACCGCCTGTCAGTCAGGCCCCGGCACAGGACCTGGAAACACAAATGAGGAAGCTCGCGGACGGAATTCTCTCGGGTCGGTACTCTCATCCCGATTCTCGTGTTGTTGCGTCGCCAGATTCGCCTGAAGTTCCTCACCAGAAAGGCCTAGCACCAACTATGTTCAAGTACCTCATTGGCCAGGGTCACGAAGAGTTTGCCACAATGAGACAACAGGATGCGTTTGAGTTTCTTCTTCATTTATTCAAGGCCGTCAGCATGTCCAAACATCCTGCTGGACTTGTCAATCCAGTGCAGCATTTCCGTTTCGAGGTGGAACAACGACTTCAGTGTTTGGCGTGCAAGAAGGTCCGATATAAAGTCGATGAACAAGACAACATCTCCATTGCGGTGCCCGCGCGTCGTATTTCTCCTTCCAATGAAACGAGCCAGTTCGAATCGGTGACTTTGGCCGAGTGTCTCGAAATCTTCACCGCGGAAGAGATCGTTGAACTCAGCTGCCCTGGATGTGGTAGCCGAGATGGGTTTTCTAAGCGATCTTCCTTCAAAACGCTGCCGCAAGAACTGGCAGTCAACGCTCGTCGCTTTGAGCTGGTCAATTGGGTTCCCACCAAACTAGATATTCCTGTTCTAGTGGATGACGAGCCGTTGGATTTTGGGCCCTATCTTGCTGGTGGGCGTGATGCAAATGAGGAGTTATTGCCGGAGGTCAAGGAATCGGCACCATTCGTCCCTGATTCAGCGATTCTTGACCAACTCTTGGCTATGGGTTTCCCTTCTGTCAGGTGTGAGAAGGCTCTGCACGCGACTGGCAATTGTGATTCCGAGGCTGCCATGAACTGGCTCTTTGCGCATATGGAGGATCCGGACATCGACGAACCGCAGGTCCTGGGCAACCCATCCTGTGGGTCTACCGAGGCTGAGCCAGATATGGCAAAAATCGCCCAGTTGGGGGAAATGGGCATTGGGGAACCCCATGCTCGAAAGGCATTGGCAGCAACAGATGGTGATGTCAACAGGGCCCTGGACTGGGTATTCAGTCATCCCGATGAGGCGCTGGAAGACGACCCTGAGGGTAGTGGCGGTGTTGACTCTCATCATGTCACGACTGGGTATGACACTATACCAGCCCGCTATCGTTTGCAGTCTATCGTATGCCACAAAGGAACATCTGTTCATGCAGGGTGAGTTTCCTTGGTCCTGCTTTTTTCTTTCGGTCTATGCTAACATTGATAAGACATTATGTGGCCTTCATTCGGAAATCGTTTCCAGGTCAAAGCGAGCTTTCGTGGGTATTATTTAACGACGAAAAGGTCGTGAAGTACGAGGGCATAGACGACATGAAGAAAACGGCCTATATGTATTTCTTCACTCGAATCTAAGATATTGTGGGGGATCCTTTGTGCTCCTATGGGGCTTGGGATTTAGCATGATTTCTTTGGGAAGATATGTGGGAACCGGTATCGATCATTCTGCTACATGTAGGAGGCTGGGCAAATAGCAGATCATCATGCAGGTCGAGTCTTGAGGACAAGGAATAGAAAAACATATATGGCTGACCATCCAGATGTATCTTTACCTTTGGAGAGCCTGTCCCCATGTGGTCAGTTGCCTTTTTCCTCATCCGGTAGTAGAAGCCATCCTCTTGATATATATTATGAGGAATAAACATGATGCTGCAAACGCGCCCATTTGAGTGTGAGCGTCCAGGGCCAAGTGCATGTAGAATAATTGATAGATGTATTTACGATAAGGATGATATAGACATCAACTTTCTTTGGAAAGAGTGATGGATATTCGTTAATCCTTGGTGCGCTCCACCTGAGTAGGGTTAGGCACTATTTACTTCAAGTCTGCCTGTCATGGAATCGTATAAATGGAAACTTAGAGTGGTGTGAGGATTGTGCCTAGGCGCGCGCACTCCTACCAGGGCGCACTCCTTCCAGCACGCAACTAGACTTAGATCTCCTTAATAATATCAAAGACCTTTAATACCCTCTCAATGTTATCGAATTCCTGGAGATAATATACGATGAAATCGTAGAGGCTAGTGAGCAACGGCCAAGAAAAACTCTAGAGGAAGATGCCATTCCTAACTCATTCTAGTGCCAAGTGTTTAGGATAATAGCTGTCCCTGGCATGCTCTACTAGCTAGCTATACAATACACATATACGCATAGGGTATGATTTTCCCCACTTATCACTCACTACATTTAAGCACTATGATACTCTATAAGATAGGTGACTCGACTACTAGGTTACAAAATCCTACCGGCTAGTTACTCCTCCAAATAAAACATATGTCACGAGCGAGCGGACCAGGTGATCAAGAATAATATTTTAAATCGAATTATTAGACCACTAACGTCATTAATTTCAAAATTCCACCTATCAACTTATTAGGGCATACGTTCCTTAATACTCTACTTGGCTGTAGTCGCTACATTGCGGGGTGGGGGGTATTCTGGGCTTCGTTAGCCTAGTTCATCGACTCCCTAGATTCCTATGTACCAAGCCCTCTACATGAGCCACACGCCTAGTCTTTTTATTACGCTTTTCCTTTTGTAGATCGTCTTCTACACGTAACTCGCAATTTCCTCACTCACAATTGTAGCGTTATGTATCGTGAGCTAGCACGTATTGATTAGCCGATCTAACGCTCTATATATTAGAGAAGGTGAGCTTTATAATGGACGACCAAGTATAGCTTTGACTAACGAAGCTTAGTAGTTTAACATTTTTCCCCCAAGGGTTGTCTTTGACCGGGCGATATCTATATAGCGGTACAGTAGCGCTCGGCATCGCCTTCCATGTCGGAAACATTGAGATGCTCTTTCAAACACTAATAACATGATACAGAAGAATAACACGTTTGGTATCTGCCCGTAATTATACCAGCTCTTTTTTTGGGAGTTGCAAGACAGATACGAGTGCCTTAAATTAGAAGCGTGGAACTCCTGAAAAGGTTCCACGCAAACGTTAAAAACAGCGCAAACAAAGCAACTTCTGAACTGGCAAAGTGCCAACTTCTCTCCCTTCTGCATCCCGCGGTTGGTTTATTGCAGAGAGCTTGGTGCTTCCTGAGTCCATCTGGGGTAAAGGTGCTAGAAAAAGATAAAATTGTTTACATTCTTGAAACTATTAAAAGGTGTTGTAGTAGTAGTAGTAGTAGTAGTAGTAGTAGTAGTAGTAGTAGTAGTAGTAGTATTTATTTGCCCGATTTAGCTTGCCTTTATGTATAGCCGCTATGCGGGAGTGCAATCGGGCCTGCCCGACAGCGAGAATGGCGCGCAGCACCCCGGCGCTCTGTGTGATCAGGCGCCAATCATGAATGTAAAAATTTAGGAAAAATAGAGGAAAAATCAAAGGTGTAGAGAGCGACTGGAGAGGTCACATGATATTAAAAGGTGTATTTATCATAGAACGAGAGGGGCTGATTATTAAGGAGCAAGTAGGTGGAGAGCTCAGCGGGAAGAGTGCCAAGCATCCTAATAAAGGTAATTCTGATTGAAAAAAAAAAATACTAGAGCGACAGATTGGCCAGTAATAGGTCCAGTGGGCTGGACTGTAAGTTGATAAGCCCAGTGGACCAGAGAAAGAGGCCCAGGCGCTGTGAGTATACCATCGATGCTGTGGGGCTATGGGGCTGTGGGTATATAGCTATTTCGAGCGTACCACCACCCTACATGGCCACCAATCACTTAATCTGAGATTATCTATATAGGTCCTATAGTACACCTTCTTGGGTCCGAAATCTATTGCCCCGCCCAGAGTTGAATCCTTTATCTTCTCTCTCTTCTCTCTCTGTATTCTCTCTCTTTTCTCTTCTCTTGTCTCTCTCTTTTTTCGCGGTTTCTTTCTTCTTAGGGCATTAATAGTGGGTATATAGCTATTTCGAGCTTATACCCTATATAGCCACTAATCACTTAATCTAAGATAACACATGTAGGTCCTATAGTGCACCTTATTAGGTCTAGAGCGCTATTGCCCCGTCTAGAGTTGAATCCTTTATCTTTTTCTCTCTCTTTTCTCTCTTTTTTCTCTCTTTTTTTCTACGGTTTCTTTCTTCTTAGAGCATCGACAGTGGGTATAAAGATATTTCGAGCGTATACCCTACATGGCCACCAATCACTTAATCCAAGATTATCTGTATAGGTCCCATGAGTGTACCTTCTTGGGTCCGGAGCGCTATTGCCCCGTCCAGGGTTGATTCCTTTATCAATTTTTTTCTCTCTTCTCTTCTTTTCTATTTTGTGGCTTCTTCTTGGGGCATCAACAGTATTTAGTCTGCGCGACCTACCATTTTTCGTCTAGTTCTTCATTCAAGCCACTCTGTTGCCTCCTGGGTTACTGCATATCTCCCTTCCGCGAGCCGTCTCTTTCTTCTTTTTCAAATACATAAAAATGGCACCTATCCATTTCATTGTCATCATCCATCTTTTCCTTGCAAGTGCTGTTTTGGCATTACTCGGGCCAGGTCGTATGGCTGTTGGTTATCGGCATGCTCATCCGGTAGGTAAAGGCTCCCTATCTGTCTTTTCTGTTTCTAATTTGTTTAGGCACAGGTTGAGAGTTATAGAAAAGCCGGGGATGTTCTTACCTGGGAGCGGAGTGAGACTTCAGAAGAAAGCTTTTCAACATTCGGAATTGGTGTATACATGTCTCCGAAACGTAACGGATGGGTTTGGAAAAAACAGATAGGAAACTAGTAAGTTGAAAAATCTTTGGATAAAATTTGAAGAGCGAGGGCTAATAATCTCTCAAGTCACTGCCTTATTACAGCCGATGAAGCTGCTTTTACCCAGAATTCGAAAGTCAAAATCCCTACTTACGTGGTAACCAAGAGTGGTTTAAGAAGACCGATTGAGGGCATCCTGGGGTGGGTCGCAGATTATATTAAAGAACAATGCGCAGATCCGGATACTGCTATTCGTCTTCCTTTGAACAGTAAGGGGAAAATTGAGATTATGATTCCCCCAAGTGATCTTAACCAAGCTGGGGCGGATTTGGATCTCAGGGTGATTTGTGAACAGAATGTGGACGACTTACCGGACATTGAGATCAATCTCAATAGTCCTGCATGGACAGCCAATGCTGTGGGCAATTATGACTCAGAGCCATCGGTGGAAGATTTGGTCTGGAACTGGAGTGATGACGATGAATGATTGATTTCTATATGGAAGCGGAAAGGAATGAGTAGGAAGATATTAATGTAGCCAGGCACGGACTCGGATGATCCGATTAGTCTAGTTACCCAATTCTTACAGGGGGGAAGAAGAAGAGAGCTAGCTGTATGTTTCTGGAACTTAGCGAGTGCTTACACTAGAACGAGAAAGCGGGATAGGGCAGAACGGAACGACGATATCCAGTAGTGTTACGGACCTTATGACATGAGGGGCCACACCCATCGCCAACCATTCCCAGGAGTTATGCATAACTCCAGTCAACGACACTCTCAGGTTGTCAGGCGGGCTTTACCGCTTCTGCCTTCGACTATTTAATCCCTATCGGCAAACCCGTTTAGAAACAGATATATCTAATCTTAGTATAGCTAGTATCCTCTTCTAATTTGATAATTTAAACTATACTACCCTATTGCCTTTACTTATCATCATTGATATATGCATAAAATAGATATTTCTTTTTCTTTACTTCAAGTATTATTAACGTTATTAGCCTTCATATAAGTATTTAAATTTGAAGTATTAAAAATACTATTTTACATTTATAGTAAGATAAATACAGTATATGAAATAGATTCTAAAAAGATTACCGTTAATTTATTGATAGTGTATTTAATCAGCTAAAACTCTACTTAGTTCAAATATTCGTATAATAATACTATAAATCCTACTAAAGAGAAACCCCCTTCGATAGTTTTTATATTTTATTTACCAAATTTCCGTCTTCTGGGCCATAGTTTTATGTCATATATATTTAGAAATCAAACACAACCTATAAAGAGCCAAAGACTATAGTGAAATAGTGAAATACTACTCACTACCTTACAGGAAAAGTGTTATAATAATTAGTAGTAGTAATAGTAGTAGTATTTATTTGCCTAATTAACCTACTTTAAATATTGCTAATGTTTAGCCTACTGACAACGGGAATAACGTAGATAAAAAATGTAGACAAAACAAAGGGAAAGTCAAAAATATATATGGCGACTAAAGAAATCATGCAAATAAAGGAAAACTAGTCAGGTCTCTAATCCCACCTAATTAATAAAGCCGCTCCAATAATCCTATATTACCTAAACGCGCGCGATTTTATTATGGCAAACTCCACCGAGATCTAATACACCGACGACGCTAGCAGGCAACTTTTAACTACTTTTGTTACTCTTTCACCTCCTTCTTTAGCTTTCTTAAGATTTTAAAGCCTTAATTAAATCTAGTACTATTTGCTAGAGTCAATAAGTCCATTTTACTTCTAGATCGTCTTCTCCTTGCCCCTTCGTTTTAAGAGCGAGTAGTAGTTAGAGTACTAGAATTAAACGCTATCTAGAGCTCAATCGCTGTATTCCTATTAGTATAATGACCTCAGAGGGTCCTTTGCGATGATCCGCGCATAACAATATTGTTCCTAATATAAATTAAGCTTATATAGCGTACAATAAAAAAACCTCTAAATAGAGAAAATCTACGTTACAATTCTGATAAACTTAGCTTTGCATAGGTTATAGCGATAGTAAAACTCGTTACAAGCCAAACAGTATAAATTATAGTAATATATGTTTTTAGACTATAATTGATTATAATGGGGGGTTAAACAAGTACTAGACCTGATGGCCGGTCGACTCAGGGGAGGTCGTCGGACGTCACAGCAGAGACCTGGAGAGAGATCATGGAAAGGAAACGAACGGGTAGTCAAGTTGTATTGATCATGATCTCCCAGAAGGGAAATCCTATCCATCTACGGCGGTGGGCGCTGACACCTCAGGCACCCATCCATCAAGACCCATCTAGAATAAGTAGTCGAAATTTTACCTTGGTATGACTGGTCGTATAAGGGATAAACTACTTTCCTAGCCATCGTAGCCTATGTCTACCTCTAGTCTACCCATTAGAACTAATTTTAATTTGTTAATCGTTGGGTAGATTATTATACTATATATATTACTAGTATAGGAATGATGTACATTTAATAGTTAAGTGGAGTATAAATCCCTTGCACGTGTATATTTAACTAACATGGTTAGTTATATGAGAAACTGCTGATTATACCCTTACATTCATCGTAATCATTATAATCATTGGATATAGGTTATTTGAACCCCCTAAAACACGTATATATTTAAGCGTAAAGCTTAATTAGGAGTTTAACTATATCGACAAGATTAATCGATAGAACCAGTATAGGTACCATTTTCGCACCGTTGGTCTGACAATTGAAGTGTAAGTAACTAGCTTCCGCGTTACAAGATGCCTCAGATATGGGTTCGCTTTCTTTAATAGAACCTAGTTGCCTAGGGATCGCAGCCTATAATGAAAAACTTTAGATTGTAATCTACATATTACGTGCTCCTGGAACATAGAAACTTTTACTAAAGCAAAATAACAGAAATAACACTCTAGAAGCCTTTTTAATTAAATACAAAAAGTCCAATGGTACATACTCTCGAATACATACTAAAGCATACTAAAGGTATACTGAGCCCTGGACAAGACCATCCTACTCCTGGACATAAAGCACAGCTCTATAAGGTAAATAAATGGGAACTACTAATTGAAGTCTAATAATACCCTGCACTAGCTATCACACCGTCATACGTATATGGGAATTTTTAAGATCAGTTAAAAAGTAACCAACCCCCGGGCGTCTGTCAGATTTCGTAAGGTCTCTGAAGGAAACCCTTGCAGATCCATTGCTATCCCAGAGTCTTTAGACAGTAAGGCCAGCAGAGTGCACAAACTTCGTTTTCTAACAGGACTTGTAACCATCGGTCTGATATTCAGTCTTCCTATGTAGATAGTAAGCCGGTACAAAAGCAGTCATGACGATATGTGGTAGAATACACTATGTGAAGATGAGGGGCGTAATAGGTCATCTAATGGCATCGATAAGCCTCGCCTGCAGTTTCGACATAGCTCGAATTGTGAAGTGTCTGGGTTCCAGTACAAGTCATCATCAAGCTAAATAGTTCGGTCGTTGGAGGTTAACGGTGTGAATCCTTAGCTTCGATCTTCTAACAATTTCAATTTGTTTTGTAAACACGCTAGATGACTTTCAGCGTGCTTCTGCTCGACCCTGTTCAAGCGATTATCCATTGGTTCAAGTTGAAGAATAGTCATGTCAAGGCAAGGGCATGCATTGGAGAAAGTATCGAATTTCATTACAGCTTGGCGCATAGAACAGAAGGTTTCTTTTCTTTTCTTTTTTTTCTTTTCTTTTTTTTTCTTTTCTTTTTTTTTTGCGAGCTAAATAGTTGAGAGCCCTCAAATTCATCATACACCAAGTTGAGAATTACGGCGACTTCACCTAAGGGGCCGCGGACCAATACCTGTCGTAACCTGGTCCAGTGACAGTAGAAAAGCGATTTATCCATACGACTACCAGTCGTATAAGTGGTAAATTTCGACTATTAGTGCTTAAGAGCTATAGTAGTCATTTAACCACCAATTTTGATTTATTATGCTCTAAATCTCCAAACATAACGTTATTTGAACTCATATGCCTCCGCCTCCATCCCACCTATTACATATAGCTTTGATTGTAGGTTATCTCCCCCCCTCTCTCTCTCCTAAGCGCATACATATATAGGACATGATTAGGGCTAAAGTACGATTAAATGATAATCATGTTAAGAAGCTAAATGAAGTATTCCACCCATGTAGAAGCATTCAAACTATTCGACTATTCAAAATGCTTTAGTAGTAACTAGATTAGTCCCTATATAATCTAATATAGATTTGTTTAAATCTTAATATGCGATTTTAGTAGCCCTCCTTAGTAGACTACTAGCTAATAGAGCTTATGGGAGACCTCTAAAATACTATTAAATATTAAATAATTAATTTTCTTTGATTTTAAATAAGAAAAATAAAAGTATAAAGAATTCACAAAAGTACCTTGAATAGAGCAGTTTAATATGAATAGTAGGAAGAAATTTAGTAGTCTTTAACCAGTCTATTAGACCACCTAGAATTCTCTCCCTATATAGAACTAGTTTCGTTAGCTTTTTAGCCAGTAAGATACCCCCTCCTCCTACGATATTGCGACTATATTCTAGTTAGGTATAGAAAACGCCTTACCCTAATAGTACCTAGTAGGATCAAGAAATTTAACAGCGTTAGTATACTGATAAATTAACTTATTAAAGTTAGGTAGATAGCTCTCTAGAGAATTATATAAAGGTAAGATTAATGACTAATAATAATACTACGCGCTCTTAGGTAATTATCCGCTCTTCTATAATTAGGTCTATAATTCGTCTAAAAGAACTAGGAAATCCTTTAATTTCTTAGTTAATATTAACATCTAAGCCTCGTTAGAGAAGATAGTAGACGTTTATATCCCTTATAATAATATATTCGATAGATAGTGTTTTATAGAAATTATTTTATAGTATAAACAGTATATATACCTACATCTAGCTAGTTATAGGTAAATAAGATAGCTATCATCTAGTATTTCTATAGGTCTAAAGTTTTAGGCTAAAAGCCGTCCTTCCTACCAAGAGTTTCGTAGTAAAATTAGAAAATGGTAGAAGTCGCTATCGTCGACTATACTATATAAAGGGTAGAGGCTAATAAATGCTATAAGTATTTAAATTAACATTTTTATTTCAAGGGGAATAGCCTTCGGATCCATATAGTTGGCTTAAACCCTTTACTAGTTAAGCTTCTATATACGTAGAGGTATACTAATCGCAATTCACCTATCTTTTGATATAAAAGATAGAAGAGAGGTAAAAAGAGGTAGGATCGGTTAATACATAGTACCTAATAGCGTATTCCTTTGCGGCTCCAATACTACTATTCTACTATTACTCTCTATATTTCTTATACTTATTAATCCTTTAGAAATTAAGCAACGTCTAGCTATAATCCATTTATATTATTATATACTAAAGGATTTAGAAATTCTTATAAGAATTATTATTATTGCTATTACTACTACTATCGTCGTAGTTTAGTTATATTCTATAATCTTTACTACG